GCTCGACAAAGGAGGTACGAATTACCTTCAATGGGCACATAACTTTCACTATTTTCTCGGTGTTCAGGGGTGTTGGCAATACATCACCAATCTTCCTCTTCTTGAGAACGATCCTCGTCACCACGTGTAGACAATCAAAGACAAGACGTTCAGATGTGGTTTCTCAAACTTGTTGCTCCCGCTCTCTCTACAAACATCAAATTTCTTGACACGACTAAAGAAATGTGAGATACTCTCGACGAAGGTTTTGACACTAAGGGCAGCATTGCTTTTACAATGAATGTTTTCGAAAACATCATGAAGATGCGCAGCACCGCCTCTCCTTTTCACACCACATTTCTCATCATGCAGAAGCTTGGCAATCTATTTGATCAGTACCAGCCCATTACGACAGACACAACCATTCAACGATGTTACTATTAAGAATTCCTAATAATTACATATCTCGATGTGATTAATCCAACTCTAGCCTCTCAAGTACAAGGCTCTGTATTAAATGGCGGACCCCTTCGATGTTAGTGAAAACCTTCAATGCAATCAAACAAGTAGCTCCTCACATCTCTACATCGACTCTAGCATCGTCGAAGATATCATCACATGTCCTCGAAGCCTCAACTATGGCAATTACTACTCAAGAAGCAAGACAAGGAAGGAGCCCTACCCTTCATACCAAGAAAGGGAAGAATGGTCGTGGAGCTTCTTCGGGCTGGGATCACCTTTCTCTGTACGAAAATTGTGGGAGGACTAATCATTGGGCAACAGATAAGTCTTCATTATCATGAGTTAATAATTAGTAACTAATATAGTTTTAGCCTTAACTCATGATAAATAGACTTATATTTGTGTTAAAATATAAAAAGTGGTTTTCAATTGATTAACATGAATTTTTGGCTAATTATGTGATTTTCTATGAATTTATATGATTTTTATAGTCTTATTTTTGAGATAAATGAAGAAAAAGAAATAAAAATAAAAATATAGCAAAATGAGGGGGACCCGCTGGCCAGCCAAGCCCGCAAGCGGGTCAAAAGTGCAGTCGAGGAGGAGCCATGAGCAGGGGCTCAAGTAGATAGGACTGATGGGGGCACATGTGTGCCACTCCCCTTCCACGTCACCGATGGCCAACTAGTTGTGGGGCAAGGAGTGGTCATACACGCGAGAGAAAGGGACTCATTGACTGCAAATGTAATATTACTATATATTCACCCAAAACTTTGGCGTACAAATAATGTGGGACTAAACCCGCGTCACACCTTCTCCCTTAAGGCTTCAAAAATTTTAATACCTAAAATACCCCTTATTTATAATAGACATATAACATGATGATGTCACTTAATAAGGGCATTAGAGTAATTATTTCAATCTCTCTCATACAAGTGGGCAACTGGCATGGGTTCGAATCCTCCTAGAGTCAAAACTCGTATTTTATCTAATTATCATGACTTTCCTACAGATGACCAGTGAAGGATTAAGCCGCTAGAATCAGTAGATCATCGGCAAAAATCTCGTCAACGTGATTCGCAGAGCATTGTTACTAAAATTGTTGAACGATTCGTGATAAAAGGATCATGAATCTATCGAGTAAATAATTTATGATTGATCGACGAACAAGTTGTTATTGGGAAGAAGACAATCCACTAGGAGACGAGTGGCTACCTCTTGAAAGCGTATCAAATGCATTGAAGAGTTTTCTCTTGCTGCACAAACCTAAGGATGAAGCTCCCTAACATGCTCCCCACTTCATTCAGCTCCTCTCCGTTGAGTGATAGTCATCAGAGAGTCGCAAAGTTGCCATTTTTCTACTTTGTTGGGTGACAGCCGCCGGAGACGATTCGACAACTCATTTCATTGATCTCTAGACTTTGCAAGGAGATCTAGAGATTCTCCACATCATCCTTGTCCAAAAAGAGCCTTTGAGGCCGTGGACACTGCACAGCGATCCTCTTGAACACTCAAGATTCTAATACATCGTCGACGCATCGCCGCCGTGACATCGAAACTCTGTTTTCCTACTTTCAACTTAATTTCTACTTCATTTAGTGATAATTTATGTTATTTAAATTTACCAAGCTATACTTCATTCAATTACGATTCTTCTAACTTTTACAAATCTTAATTTGATCAATTAAATCGTCTATAATTGCTTATGTAAAAATCATCAGATGTAACTCTAATTTCGCCCGTTTCACGTTTGTCGAGCGCTAACATCATCCTAACGTCCGCACTCTTATTTCCCTTTTTCATAAATTTTAAATATATTTTATTTTTATTTTGTAACAGAAAATTTATAAAAAATCATATTCTTTGAGTAAAATTCTGAAAACTTAACTGATATTATATTACATCCCTGTGATTGACCTGAAAAATTACCACTATTTTTGAAAGTTTTATTAAATTATAATTGATATATTTGTTCATAAATACTTTTAAATATCTAAAAATTAGTATTTTCTAGTTTTATAAATTTTTAATTTACGTGATTTACTATACAACGACTAAGTCACGTCAGCGACCAAGTGCTACAAAAAGTTTGCCTATCCATCTAAGTGCCCAAGCTCGCTTCCTTTAGGCAAGTTCTACGCGTACTTTGCCGCCTCTTCGTTTACTATCTCTTCACCCTTGCAAGGGTCCTCTTTGGGACGAACTCCAACTCTTGCGTAGATAACCGGGATCCTCTATGTCTCGTGAGGAATATGATCAATGGATGCACTCCAAAGATGTGGCTTTTACTTCCCACACATCACAACACGTTTCATCTTCCAACGTAGGTACCACCTTTCTAACATCCGCTCCTAAGTCTGAGACTTGGATCATTGATTCAGGGGCATCCGCCCACACGTCAAGTACCTCATCTCTCCTTTTCCGCCTCTAAAATCTAACCTATCCCGAAACTATCACGATTGCTGATAGTCGTCCTTGTTCCATCATCATAAAAGGAGATGCTAAACCTACTTCTTCCATGTCCCTATCTAACGTCTTCTATGTCCCTAACTTTGATGTCAATCTCCTCTCTATTAGTACAATTACCAAAGTTATTTATTACTTTGTTCATTTTTTTCTCTATCATTGTGTTTTTCAAAATTTGCAGACTAGGGTGCAGATTGATTTGGGTAAATAGACTAGTCAAGGCCTCTATGAGCTTATTCTGAATATTTCATCTATTGGTCTCTCATGCCTATTATCTACAAAGATTTCTTCACTTATGTGGTATCATCGTTTTGGTCATCCAAACTTTTTGAAATTACGTAAGGCCTTACTTGAACTTTCTCTATCTGATTTTAAATGTGAATCTTATGAATTTAGAAAATATTTTCATTCGACGTACCATCGGCATGATTCCCCACCATGCGACTAGTTGTTTGAATTAATTCATTGTGACGTCTAGGGGCCCACACGCATCACTTCGGTTTCTAGTTTTTGCTACTAAATGGTCCTAATTGATGATTTCTCACGTGTATTATAGGTCTACCTCCTTATTGATCAAACTGCAATCATTCATCATCTTCGAGAATTCTTTTTGAAAGTACAGACCTAGTGGAACACTACACCCAAAATTCTTCAAACGGATAATGCTCTCGAGTTTACACAATCCGCAATTCAAAAGCTCTGCAAATCATTTAGGATCATTCATCAAACAATATGTCCACATACGTCCTAGCAAAATAGAGTGGCAGAAGAAAAGCACTAGCATACTTGGACATGACTTATACCATCATGCTTGAGATAGGGGTTCTTGACTACTTATGAGCCGATGCCGTCCTCACATCCACCTACCTCATTAACCACCTTCTATCATCTCCCTTAGACGGCAAAGTTCCCTTTCGTCATCTCAACCCTAAAAGTGACCTCTTCTCTCTACCCCCACAAGTTTTTAGATGTGTGTCATTTGTACACAACCACACCCCAACAAGTCCAAGCTTGCCCCTCATGCACTAAAAGGCGTTTTCGTTGGCTACTCATAGACACAAAAGGTATTGTGTCTACCTTCCTCGAGAGTAGAAGTATTTGGTATCAACGAATGTTATCTTCTATAAAGAGTCTAGGTATTTTGGAGTGCCCTCTTTGGCACTTTCATTCATACCTTCTAGGACACTACATCTTCATCATTGTCTAGTCTCAACACTTCAGTTTATTATCTCCTTACCATTACCATCTCCCAATCCTAGCCCACTTCAGTCTATTCTACCACCTCTAAAAGATTTATTGGCAGCCACTCTTAGACCAGTCTCTCTACAAGTATCCAACCAATCCGCAACGTCATCTGTAAATCCGGTGCCTCCGGATGATCTTCATTTGTCTATCGCTCTCTGAAAAGGTACACGTTCCTACACTCTTCACCCCATTTCTTATTCTATCTCCTATGATTGCATCTCTCCATCTTATCAGGCCTTTGCCCTATCCTTGGCTACTGAATCGATACCCAAGTCTTACAAGGATGCTATGGCAGTACTTCATTGGAAGGCAGCCATGGATGAGGAATATGCAACCCTCATCTATCGAAAAACTTGGAAGATCGTTCCTCGCCATGTGGTACTAACATTATTTCTTGCAGATGGGTTTACACCCCCAAGTATCTTCTAGATGGCACTATACATCGCTATAAAGCTCGACTAGTGGCATGCGACTTCTATTAGTAATATGACATCGACTACGATGAGACCTTTTCTCTTATGGTCGATCTAAGCTCGGTACGTATCATTATTTCTATGACAGTCAACCTCGACTGACCTCTATACCAGCTAGACATCTCCAATACTTTTCTTGATGACGATCTTGATGAAGAGGTCTATATGGAGTAACCTCCCAACTACATGATCAAGGCAGAATCTGCCAAAGTGTGCTGTCTTTGCAAAGTTATATATGGTCTCAAATAGAGTCCTCGAGCTTGGTTCACTAAATTCAGCACCCTCATTCGGCAATGTGGTTTCTCGACATGTGAAGTAGACCTTACAATTTTTCACAAGACCACTACAAATAAATGTATTATTCTCGTTGTCTACATGGACAATATGATTATCATGAGGAGTGATATGGCCGGCATTCAAGATACCAAGACGTTTCTTCATGAACATCTAGATATCCGAAACTTGGGGACTCTCAAATACTTCTTAGGTATAGAGTTTGCCTGCTACTCGGGGGAGATTGTCATCAACCAACGTAAGTATGTACTTGATCTTTTGCATGAAATGGGACTCCTCGGATGCAAGCCGAATGTATCTTCGATCGAAAGTCGGCCAAATTTCTAGAACTCAACCTCGTCTCTCTTTGTTGATCCTCACCCATATCGACATCTAGTTGAAAAGCTCATTTATCTCACTGTCACACTACTCGACATTACTTATATGGTAAATCTTCTCAATTAGGCTATGCACAAACCTCAATACAATCATTGCGAGACTGCCCTCAAACTTATCGCCTATCTCAAATATGCTCTTAGATGAGGAATCACTTTCCGCCGCCACAAACATTTTCACATGGTCAACTACTCATACTCTAATTTAGCTGACGATTGTGTAGATCGAAAGTCTACCACGAGCTATTGTATCTATGTCGGAGAAAATCTTGTGAAGTGATCTAGTCCCAAGTAGTGGGTCTCTTGCTCCTCCAGCACTGAGGCTAAATATTGGGTCATGATGAATACATAGTCATGCATGCTTTGGGTGCACAACCTACTTCAAGAGTTGGGTTATCTAGTGCAAGGTGTTATGCCTATGTACTGTGATAATCAAGCAGCAATCTTCATAGTAAATAACCCGACTTTTCATCTAGGCACCTTGCATATTGAGATTGCATGCCATGTCATCCGCCATTAACTTTTGGACGAGCTTATCTGCACTCCACACGTGATATCTTCAGAGCAACTTGTGACACACGTGATATCTTCAGAGCAACTTGTGAACATCTTCACCAAAGGTCTACGAGTTGCATCATATGATACATTCTCATACAAGCTAGGCTTAGTCAACATCTACGCTCCAATTTGAGGAGGAATGTGAGTACGAATGCCCACTAGATGCCTCTTGGCCTTCCCGCATCTCTTGGCTCTTCGTCTTCTTCACCCCTCTATCTCTTAGCCTTCTCATGTCTCTTAATATTCATGTTCTCACCTAACTCTTTGTCTTCCTCCTCTCTATATAGGGAGACATGTACCCCTCCAATTTGCTTGAGCAAAACATATTCTATTTGTGTACACTTTTCTTTATGTAAGGGTATTTTCAAGATTATTTCAGCTAACAAGAGTCACCTGTAATTTAGTTCCACATCATTTGTTTTAGATATCTTTTGATCTATATAAGTTTGAGCTCTCTTATATCATGTCTTCTCCTAAAAACAAAATGGCTAGGACAACCTAGGGAGAATAGATAACACATGATGAGATCATATCTTGCCACACATACCAATTCACTCTCAGTGACATAGAAGAGTGACCCACACATGCTCTACATGATTTCTCAAGCCACTTGAGCCTAGCTTGTGGTTCCACCCAGTTTGGGTCCACACACTTGAGTGGTCCCCCTCTTGTTAGGGGTTCAATTGCCAAGTGTTGTATGGCCAATAGGTTCCATCTTGTTTATATTTTATTATTATTATTAATTGATTGTCAAGTGTTGCTTGGCCAATAGCCTATTAATTAATCACAAATTAATATTAGTCATGTCAAAATGATTTTTCTTAATGTAAGGTAAATATAAGATTTTTTATCATGAGTTAATAAATAAAATATATCATTAACTAATTATTAAATCATGATAATAGAGACTTATTAATGACAAAATAAGAAAGAACAAAAATAAAACACAATGAAAATAGAAATCAAACTCATATGTGCACAATGTTGCTCTACTCATCTCCACTTATCACCTAGAGAGAACTTAGCTAGAAAAACTTCTAAATTCTTCCAATCTTCCATTCTTTATCACCTAGAAAACTTCATCCATTTGTCTTAGATCTTTCTTCTATTTTTTATATAATACTATCTCAACAATCATTGTAAAATCCAAATTTATCTTCATCTATTTTACCACCCAAAATAGAGCATGGAAGATGATGTCTACATGGATGATGTGGCATAACCTCTTGACGAGGCCCAAAAATGTTGATGTGTCCTCTTGGTAATGTGGCCATGAATCATTGTATTCTGTTCTCATTATTTTGATCATTCATAAAGACTAAATTACCCTTTTAATATTGTTGAAGTCTCTTTTGTATCCTACATATAGAAAAATAAATAATTAGGCCCCAAAATAAAATAAATATAAATATAAATTTAAAAATAAAATTATATAAATACAAAAAAAATATTTACATATTGTTTATTTTTAAAATAATGATAAGAATGCACACTTTTATCCTATTTTTAATTGAAAGTATCATGTTATCAGCTATCAACACTTGATATTTGGTAAATTGGTTGTATTCTACAACAATGAAAATCAAGACACTTGAAGAAGTTTCAATTTAAAGACCAATAGATTATTCTAATAGACATATTTGATTGTTCTTCTTATGTTTTGTTGCAGGACAATGAAAGTACTAAGTTTGCTCCCAAGTCAAGGTAATTCATTTTCTTAGGATATAAATATCTCAATGCGTTTATGTTTTTTTTATTATTTCTTTATCATCTTAAAATATTTTGAGTGAATATAGAGGACAACAAAGGACTAGAGCAGCGATAGAGGGGACTCTCCATCATCGTAGACTATTATTGCAGAGCCGGCGTGAAGAGAGAGAGATACGTGCCGACACGATGAGTCCCTTCCGGACACTCCGGCATCGGCGGCAGACAAGATGTAGCCCCGGGCGGCGGTCACCATTAGCAGGGAGGGTCTAATCGAATCAGAGTTCTCGTTCCTGGGTCGCAATCATTTCCGCAGAACAGCAAGAATGGATGAACTTCTCCCGGAGGACGATTGCTTTAGTCAGCCCGGTTTATTCGTTTCTCACGAGTAGCACCACATTTACACGAGTACAATTAGCTAGTTCCGAGGGCCTCTCTCTCTCTCTCATCCTTTTGTTCTGATGATGGTGATGGTTCCCCTCCCGCGGGTGGATATTCTGGTGAGGCCCACGATGGCTTTGCCGGAGAGGCCGGGGCCGTCGCCGGAGACGCAGGGGAGGCAAGCGAATTCTCCAATGGGGTGCCGGATGGGCCTCGAAGGCCGCATGAGCAGCCGCCGGTTTATATCTTCGAGGGTGGCGCCACCGTCGAATCCGCCTGACCTCACGACCGCGAACGGGTACACCACCTTCCTCCTCCTCGTCGCCGCCGTCTTCTTCTTCTCCGGCCCGGAGTCCGCCGCCAACTCTGCGGAGGAGACAAGCGAAAGGAATCCTTTCTGTTACGCCCATGAACAGTGACAGGTCCGTTGTAAGGGAAGGAGTGGCCACCTTTCACGGGGAGGCCTCTGAATTGAGGGGGGCCGTCGGGAGGCGAAGAAGACGATGGAGAGGGGAGGCGTAGTTCTCCGGCGAGATTGGGGCCGTTCATCTCCTCCGCCGTGGCCGGCGGCACCTGCATGGGAGTTGTGCACTGGGAGGACGGGGCGTCTCCGGCGAAGCTGCTCGGACCGGCGGCGAGATCGTGGAGATAGCTGTTGTAATTCCAGAAGCCCTGAAGGGAGGAAGAGGAGGGAATAATCTGAGACCGCGCCGGAAGAAACTGACCGGAATTACAGCGAAGGCCGAGAATTACTCGGACGAGGTCCTCGAGGCCGACGCCCTCCGCCGCCGCCTGGTCGTGTGGGAAGAGCAGCGTCCGCCGCCGCTTGCACCGGCCGCCCCACTGAGCAACGGCATCTTCCAGGTACCCCGACCGGAGCTCCGACCTGTGTAGCGACTCCAGCGCTGCGAGGAGCAGCATATGGGATACGATACTTTAGGAAGGAAGACGGTGATAGCGAGAGAGAGTACCGAGGGAGACATGGTCGCCCAGAATTCCGTGCCCACCGGCGAAGTCAGATGCTGTGGCATCTTCGAGGTCGTCCAAGTTCCAGGCCATGGAGGGTAGCTGGGCGCCGAGGTGGTAGTAGCAGTCGTCGTAGGCCATCGTCATCTTGCCACCGTAGAAACACAGCACAGCCGGATGCGCTCGCCAAGCTACGGCACCTCCTCCTCGGTCAAAGAGGGATGGACTTATAGAGAGAGAAACCAGGACGGAGAGTAGGGCAGGGAACAAATAAAGGAAAAGCTGGGGGGTGGGCGGGGCTTCGTTTCTTTCTCGTGATTCGGGGCGGAGTGGGCTCTTCTTCTTCCTCCTCCTGCAACTCTCCTTTCTCTTTCCGCCTGCCAACCCTAATTCTCTGCTCGTCGTGCATGTGAATGGGCTCGTATCTTCGGAGCCCAGCCCGATTTATGCGGATCCATCTTTGAAGCCCGCGAAGAAAATAGGGCCTGGCCCGAATGTATGGGGCCGATTTTACTCTTACCACGTACATCGTGGTCAGTCTGTCTCTCTTTGCTCTCTTATTCCGTGTGTCTCTCTCTCATGAAATGCAGTGGCCCAACTTTTACAGGGCCCGACCCGGAGCCCATTTTTCGGGTTTACTTGTAAGGCTGAACTGGGGCCCGCCTTCGTTAAAGATCACCGGGTTCAGCAAAGGGAAAAGCCCGGCCCGGCCCATCCATAAGAGCTAGAAAATCAATAGGCCTCCCTGTGGGGACCGCAGTTCCCCGGGGGTGATATGATGACGTCATTCCGAAATTGGGGTGTCCGCACCGTCCGATCGCAAGCGGACGAACCGATTTACTCCTCACTGCCCTCGTCGAGAAAGATAGTGGACCTCCGCTGGGCACCCCATCCAGCTCGGTGGACCGCCTCTCATAAAGCGGTGGCCCATTGACTCCCTGTGCCACCGGCGGATTGTCAGTCTCTCCATCTGAGAATTTGAAACAAAGACCTAGAGAGATAAAGAAGACAGGGAAAGAAGGGAGAGGAGAGAGAGAGAGAGCGATGAGGAGCGTCTTGAAGAGGAAGCAACGGGAAAGGCAGTCAGTGGGGATCCCGGGATTCGTGATTCTTGGGGGGCGCAGCCGGAGAGGAGAGGTGGGCCGCCGGAGTGTGTCCAAAGCGGTGGAAGCGGCGGAAGCGGCGGAAGCGGCGGCGGCGGCGGCGGACGGAGGAGGGGGGAAAGAGCGGAGCAGGAAGATGGGAGGAGGGACAAAGCGAAAGGAGGACGATGTCCCTGCGGCGGTCGGACGTGTCGGAGAGACACTCACAGAGGGGCGCCGGGCGTGGCGGAAGGGGAGGATGCGTGAGGAAGAAGAGTGAGAAAGCGAGGGGCCGCCGACACGATGATTTAAATTACTCAGAAGGATTGATCGAAGCCGACTCTTCCATCATGCCCTCTCTCCTTTTCTCTTTTCTCTCTCATCATCTTCTCCCAAAAAAAAAGGATTTAGAGAGAGAGAGAGAGGTGGAGGGGTGAAAAAAGATCCACTCTTTGCTGGGACTCCACGTGATTCAAAAGCTTTAATCGGATCGACAAAACACGCAGATTAAGTAATGAACAAGTCGTAATCTCCTCGCGACGTTGACTGGCCGCTGACTTGCCTTTCCAGTCAACTCGATCTCCGGACCAGTGATCTCGGACAGTCATCTTCACGCTTGGTCAGTGCGGACACAATATAGAGATTCTTAGAGAGAGAGAGAGAGAGAGAGAGAGAGAGAGAGGGGGGCGAAAAAGATCCACTCTTTGCTGGGACTCCACGTTATTAAATAGCTTTAAACGGATCGACAAAACACGCAGATTAACTAATAAACAAGTCCTAATCTCCTTGACGGGCCGCTGACTTGCCTTCCCAACAGCGGGTCAACTCGATCCCCGGACCAGTCGATCTCGGACAGTCTACGACACGCTGGGTCAGCGCGGACACAATACAGTTTTTACGAGTTGACTTCTGTTGCAGAATCGATCCACACGGTCAAAAACTGCGTCGATAATATCAAATCTAAAGGGTGAACAAATCTGATGTGAGCTGTTGTCATAATCTTGAGATGATAATTTTTGTATGAACCACTATTACAGCTTGCTACCGTATATAATCATATTTTTTCGTCGGAGAAGATGCAATCTGTGCAGACAGACGAGTTGTAGCTGGTGGGCGGATCATTCATGACTTCTCAAGCCTCGTAGAGCATGCCGACCTCCATCCTCTGCTGAAGGGGAACCCCCCTCGCCGGCAGAGCAGACCTGCAGTTGCTGTGGAGGAACTCGTAGAACCCTAACATGATCCGGTCGTAGAGGCTGGTGCCCTTGCCGACGTAGAACCTCGTCTTCCCGCGGACGTGCACGACGCCGGCCTGCATCGCCGCCTCCACCGGCGGCGCCGCCGCCTTGGGCAGGTCCCGCAGGAGCTTGTCAACGACCCGCGCCACCAGCTCGCCGCCCTCCAGGCCCGGATCGGCGTAGCCGAACTGGATGATGCAGCTGTAAGTCCCCGGCGGGCCCAGCGGCCGTATGGCGACCCTCTCGCTCTGCGGGACCTTCGCCGCCAGGGAGTAGCGTAGGGTGGTGAAGATGGTGACCTGGTGGAGGGAGCGGGTGTTCTTGATGTAGTGCCCGAGAACAGGGGTGAGGCCGTCCTGGATGTTGCTGTAGAAGAAGCAGATGCCGGGGACGCGCTGGATGTGGGGCTCCGACGAGAGCAGCGCCGCCAGGTCGGCGGCGGTGATCTTGTTCCTCATCTCGTACTGCATCTTCCTCTGGCGGCCGGTGTACCAGCCGAACATGATGAAGGCGAGGATGACGGAGATGGAGAAGGGGAGCCACCCGCCCTCGGGGATCTTGGTGAAGACGGCGCTCACGTAGGCCGCCTCCAGGGAGGAGAAGATGGCGAAGAAGAGAACCACCAGGGGGAGAGGGGTCCTCCACACGATGAGCATCACCAGGGTCAGCAGTATCGTCGTGATCACCATCACCATTATCACCACAACCCCTGCAGGAGGACGGCCCGATGAATGGAGAAAACCAGAGAAGAGAAGGTAGGAGGAAGAAGATGGCTTTTCTTTTCTTTTTAGGGTTTACCGAAGGCGTTCCCGATGTCCTGGCCATCACCGAAGGTGAGGATGATGGCGACGCAGAGGACCATGAGGATGTAGTTGACCTCGGGGGAGTAGACCTCGCCCTCCTTGTTCGGGGAGGTGTGCACCACCTTCACCCGGGGGAAGTAGTCCAGGGAGACGGACTGCTTGATGACGGAGAAGGTGGCGGATATCAGCGACTGGCTGGCGACGACGGCCGCGAGCGTCGCCACCACGAACATGGGCCAGTAGACGGCCCTCGGCACGAACTTGTAGAATCCGTCGCCGTGATTCCCCGGATTGTTGATCAGATACGCAGTCTGCCCGGCGTAGGTGAGCACCAGAGAGGGGTATATGGCGAAGAGGAAGGCCATCTGCAGGGAGAAAAACAGAAACTTTCAGACGAATGAAGGATCTGATTGATCGGCAGCGAGGGGTTGGGTTCCATGATCAACCTGGATCGATCTCTTGTTGAAGTGGCCGAGATCCGCGAACATGGCCTCCGCGCCTGAAAGAAGAGAAGAAATGGCTGGGAATATTACTTCTAATCATTTTTTCATGATGAATTAATCGTGAAATGACTTTGAAATATCATATTTAATCAGAAGATTTAGTGGGTCTACTTCATATCTATGTTTTTCTCAAATAAAAAAGAAAAAAAAGGACCTGTGATGCAGAGAACTGCGCCGCTGAGCAGCTGCCAGCCGGCCTTGCCGTTTGCGCGGAAGAAAAGGACGATGTAATGCGGCGACAGGGCTCTGAACACGGTCGGCTCGTAGTGCACGATAGAATAGACGCCGATGAGGGGAGTGGTGAAGGTCCAGGCCGCCATGATCGGTGAGAAGAGGAAGCTGACACGGGAAGTCCCGTGCTTCTGTAGCATGAACAGGAGCACCAGGATGACTGCAGAAAGCGCCTCCACAATGGCTGCGAAACGGAGAACTTCCGATGAGAATGCTGCAAGGTGTTGGGCTTCTGAGAGGAAATCAGCCTACTTGACAAGAACGCTTACACTTACTGACGGAAGGAAGGGGACCCCTCAAGCCATCCATCGCCGATAGAACTGAACCATTCATGGGACACGTGAGAATCTAGCGGAGGATGATATTATCATGGGCAGAAACAATGGTTTGAGCGATACGAACCCGAAATAGCAGGCGTGAGTATCCCATCGCCGATCAGCATGCAAACGCCTGATATTGCCACGAATAGCAGTAGTCGGCGAGCAATCAAGCTTTGCTCAAAGAACTTGCCGACTTTGCTGGGTTTTTCGATGCTCGAGCTGCTCGAGACGCTTCTCATCACGTCGCCTTCTCTTGAGGGAAGGATCCCAACGTCGGCATGCCGACACAGAAGTGAATACAAGGCGAAAGTTCCTCCTGCAAGACGACATGCCGCCCATCTTGTGTCAAACACACACTGTTGCTGCTAACGAAGATGCTTCTCATAGAAAGAAAACGAAGTGGGCTGCGTCACCACTGATCACATGGGATTCATCATTTCATGTGGAAATGGGGAAATGCAGCTTCGAGCATCACCAAAAATGGATCCAAAAGAAATGAGTGGAGAAATATGATCAATCTCATGAAGCAGATTTGAGTTCCTGAGAGAGAGACCATAATGTGAAAGAACAAATGGGCTCGAGGAGAAAAAAAAAATTAAAAGCTCACTTTAATGTTTGAATTATTTAGATGGTTGCTCAGAAACTGAAGATCTTCCTGAAAGAGCATGGAGAACAGAACAACATGTAAGTGGACACATCTTCTGGGATAATCTGGCAATTAAGGAGAGGAATCAAAAGTCAGAGTTAGTATGATTTTCGAATTTCGGGTCCTTTCATTTCAGGGTGGTACCACTTTAAAAACCATTCTTCAGTAATCACACGGCGTTCATGTTTCATCCACAATTGCTTCATGATCTGAATCCTCAAAACTTTAGGTTGTTGTGCTTAGAAAGGATACTAATTAATTATTTTATTAAGTGTCATCAATACTCCAGCTGGTTGTTTTTCCCCAATCTTACTGAGCGAGACAGATGATAAGCTCTCGATGAAATCGAGGAACTGGACTCATCAGAAAAGAAAGAGGAAACAGGCTAACAACATTGCTATAAATACTCTTCCTCCACAGTCATTGCTATAGGACAGAGTGCCTGATTTATTCATTTCTCAGTTGTCTATGCGTCGATCATACATTATATTTTAAGTAAACTGCATCCAAAGATCTGCCTCCTCATATTTGCATCAACGTTTTACTGTTACAGGACCTTATCCTCATATTTCGGCTCCTGGATGCATATCATCTGGTATATAAAGAGAGATACAAGCTTGACAGTCATGATTCTCGGCATCAACTCTCCATTTAGGTCAAGGAAAAGATGGTCTCATTTGACACTAAGTGCTGAATTTCTGTCTAATCAGATCATCTTGTTGGTCTGGAATGGGTCTGCCATTTTTGACCAAGAGAAAGCACCTGGCTGGTCGGTTTTTTACACTAAAGGGATAAAATAAAAAGAAATTGGCCAATCCTCGTACTGCAGAATATTGAAAGAAACTGGCCGTTCTAGTACCATGGCTAATAGAAACAAACTATCTGTTCTTGTTTGAGGCGATGAAACCTGGTTTATTGGCTCATGTAGGCTCACAGTGGTTGAGTGCCTCGTGAAGGATCTGATTAAAATTGACAGAGTATATTCTTGAGGGAAAAAAAATTCAGGTCGTTCCCATATGTGCCGCAGCGCAGAGGGCCAGAAAACCTTCTAAATAAGCTGTTTGAAAATATTTTACAAAGTTTAATTATTCTTTCTATTTCTCGAGAATTCCAGGATTATAACATAAAAAGTTCTTGGGGACATTTTATTACGGGCTTTGTAATATACTTAAAAATGGCATCAATTCGAATTCCCACTATCAAAATCAAAGCCGTCCTACCAAAACCCTTAGATGCTTCGAACAGCGACATACCAACAATTGATGCATTTTTTCCTTAAGAGGAAGCTGATCACCAAGGCTGTGGTTTCTATTTCTCAGGGATATAATGGCCCACAGACCAAGGATGTGACAAAAATCTACAATTCTAGTTCAGAGAAGCGATGAAGGCAAGAATAATCAGACAATGGTCAAAAGTATCAGGCAATGACCACAAAAAAGCTTCAGTGCCTGAATTTCACATGGGAATGGCTGGCAAGATACCCAAAAACCCGTGCTCAAACATGCAGAAGCCTGTTCCAGTAATCTTGACAGGATCAAAAACCAAGTATTTCGTATTTATATTTAAAATCCTGGATGAGTTGGTAAAGCAGTTAGTAGTAGTTTCAATGGAAGAGAGCCAAGAACTAAAAAACAGACTCATAAAACCAACAAGAAAAAAAACTAAGTTCCAAAGGAACATTGCATTTGATCCGAGCATCCCTATTTCAAGCTAAAATTGTCCCAAAAACTAAAAGGAAAAAAGAAAAAACCAGAGACAGTAACGCATTCTACATGCAGAGAAATAAACGCCCCTATTTACCTTCACCATGATCGTCTGCACTGAGTGCGATGCAGACATACTTGATGACCCCGATCAAGGTGAGAGTCCAAAACATTATGCTGTAAATCGCCAGATAATCATCCTTCGTTGGGGAATTCAAGTTCATGGATGGATAGACGTAGAGCGGAGAGGTCACAAGCCCACCAAAGACGATCCCAAGGGTCTTGTAAGCGAGCACACAATCGTTGAAGACACCGTGCCACCGGCCCTGGACAAGATTATGTGATGAAGATTTTCAGAACCAGAATCCGGAGGCCTACTGAAAGAGTGGCCTCAGAGAGACGAAGGAGACGCAAAATGTCTCGACAATGGGTTGAAAAATTGGCCAGTAAGGCGGGAGTCATCGTCAAACTGTCAAGAGATTCATCTCCGCCTCTCGATTGACAAGTGAGAGAGAAAAGAAATGGAAAGAATTGCCACCACAAGAAGCCAAACCCGGAGGGGACAGTTACAAAGTTCGAGGACGATAGTCACCATGGGAGGAGAAGAAATATATATATTTCGGCTCCGCCATACCTCCTCCTCCTTCTCGCCACCATGCTCCGCCTCGTGCTCGCCGGCGGAGCCTCCCCGCTCCATATCCATGGACACTCCGGCGGAAGCAGGACCAAACGACGACAAAATCAAACTGGATACAACTGAACCACAGACAGAGATTGAGGGAGAGGAAGGGGAGGAGAGGAGAAAAGAGATCTACGGTGGGAGGGAGCTCGAAGGTGGGTCCACCGGGGCAGGAGGAAGAAGGTGGATACGCACAACACCCCCCACTTCTCTTTCCTCTGCGGGCTCCTCCACGCTGGGCCACATCTTATCGATCACCACACACGACGCGTAAAACGCTCAAAAGGTGCCGCTACCAGGAGATTCCCGCCGTGGATCTCGCCGGAGCTGCCGAGCGGAGTCGTCGCAGAGGATGACACGTGTCCCGATATCAGTCCACGAAACGAACATCCCGACGTCGTTGCCTAATGGATCGGTCAAAAAGATCATTTTCCGTTCGACTGCATGCATAAATACAGGGGCGTACGTTACTAAATCCTTTTTTTCCACGTGGCGACGACCCAGTTAGTGTCAACGTAATTCCCTTGCGGTTTATAATACGCTTTTATTCTGACGCAGAAAAGGAAATAAATATTGTATAGTGATTGCGACGAAATATATATATATTGTTATTATTATTATCGGAAGACGGTAAGCGTATAGGCGGTGCTGGGACCTCTGATCCGGCGAGCAGAAACGCCGAGTCCTAACGGTGAAGGGAGCGGCGGCGGAGGACAAGAACCACACGAGGGAAGCCTCCTGTACATTCCCCCTTTGGCTCGCTCTCCTCTGGGAGGACCAATGTTCACACGGGGTCAGAGACGTGGTCAACGGTGACGTGGCCAGCCACTGATGGACTGAGGTACTGGTAGTTTGGCTGAGAAGTCAACAGCCTGTCTCTCTCTCTCTCTCTCAGAGACTGGATGTGACAATATTAATTTATTCTCTGAGAGACTTGACGACGGACGAATGATTAGATATTAATCAATCTTTTCGAAAGGGTTTCATCATCATTCCCCCGATCAAGATCCGAGACACTGGCGATTCTTTGCTGTTCAGGGCGAGCGGCGGTCAACGGGAGAGAGGATTTGGCGGTTCTACGCCGTTGCCTTCGGCCGGGTCTCGAGCTCGCCTCGACGATCGGCGGCGACGGCGGCGGACCTGGAAGCGTACGAGTAAGTTCCTCCGTGCGCTGCCCGAGGGGGAGAAGGGAACACATCCCGCTGATGATTCCCAAGAGGATGCATCCACGCCGCGGCATGTACCGGAGGTCAACTCCCCGCTGAAACGCCCGGAGATCCTCCATTGGTGGCAGAACTGACATGTTACAGTCGGCGGCGGGGCGGCGGTGGCGACGGCGATGCGACGCAGCGGCGATGGCGACGGCGAGGCGACGGAGCAGTGCTGGCGGCGGCGACGGCGGCGGAGGGAGGCAGAACCTACGTCGGCTGTGTTGAGTCCAACACTGCAGGACCAGTCGGGGTTCTTATAGGGCTCGAATTCATGGAGCAGGCCCACCTTGAAGGAGTATACTGACACGGAAACGCGGATAGGGAATTCAAGAGGCCCCAACCGTGGCCCCCACCCAGAGAGAGAGAAAGAGAGAGAGGGAGGAGGTCCCTCTGTTCGTCTCTCTCTCTGTCTCTCTCTAACTAGAGACGTGGATAGAACAGGTCAACCTTGTTGGAACCATGAAATATTAAGGCGAGCCAATCAAAGAATACGTTGACCAGAGCATCGTGCATCTTTGTGATGATTAAGCTCAAGCACAAAAAGGGTGCATCTTTGTGATTAATTAGCATTCTTAAGATCACCAGTAGTCGCCGCAGGAGCAGCGGCCGCCGAGGAAGCGGTGGAACCGGTTGGCGTCCCGGAGGAGGATCTCCCGCCCGGTGACCTTGGAGATGAGCTTGACGGCGTTGTGGCAGTCGTTGCAGACGCGGAGGTTCTTGATGACTCTGATCCTCTGCGGGGAAGGCACGGACATGAGGCCGTATGCGATGGCCAGCCTCTCGCTGTGGAAGTACAGCGACCGCTCCTTCTCCTCCCTCTCCACGTCCAGGAGAACGGACTCCACCTCCGGCGAGTACCCTTCCTCCTTGATCCTCTTCATCAGGGCCTCAACCTCGGCGGCGATAGCGGCGCCGTCGGGATGAGACCTGTCGTCGACCAGGAACAAGTGCATCCTGTTCCTCACCTCCAACCAGCTGTACCCTGGGTCCTTCCTCACCTTCCTGCTCCTCATCCTCTTCCTCGCTTCCGCCGCCGCATCCCACCGGCCGGCGGCGGCGTAGATGTTCGCCAGCAACACGTAGGCGGACGAATCCAGCGGGTCCAAATGGAGGAGCTTGTTCGCCGCCCATCTGCCGATCTCGCCGGCGCCTCTGCTCCGGCAGGCCCCGAGCAGGGCCCGGCACATGGCAGCCGACGCCGGGAAGGGCATCTCCTTCATCACCGCCACCGCCTCCTCGAGCAGCCCCGCCCTTCCTAGGGCGTCCACCATGCAGGAATAATGCTCAATCTCCGGCTGGATGTTGAAATCCCTGCGCATGGAGGCCATGAACTCGCGAGCTTCCGCCACCAGACCGGCATGGCTGCAAGCGGACAGCACGCCCACAAAGGTGATCTTGTCGGGGGGCAGACCCCGCCGCCGCATACTCCGGAAGAGCTCCAGAGCTTCTGCTCCATTCCCGTGCTGAGCGAAGCCCAGAATAATGGCGTTCCAAGCCGCCGCCGCCTGGGGATCCGTCCTCTGGAAGAGCTGGTAGGCCTCCTCCACGTTCCCGCACTTGGCGTACATGTCGATCGTCGAGGTCACCACAAACGGGTCGAACCCGTGATCCATCTTGATGATAATAGCGTGAATCTGCCGGCCCTTCTCCAGCGCCGTCAAGCAGGAGCAGGCCTTGATCAGAGACGCCATGGTGAACTCGTCGGGGAGGACGTTGGAGCTCCTCCTCATGCGGCTGTACAGACGGAGGGCGCGGTCTTCGTCGCCGTTCTCCACGCAGCCGGCGATCATTGCCGTCCAGGCGACGTTGTCGGGCTCGGAGATGCCGGAGAAGACGGAGAACGCGCCGGAGAGATCTCCGCTCTTCAGGTAAGCGTCCACCATCGCGGAGCCGACGCAGATGTCGCCGTCGAGGGCGAGCTTCACGGCGTGGGCATGGAGTTGTCTCCCCTTCGAGAAGGCCCCCGAGTTGCTGCAAGCTTTCAGGGCGGTGGCGAGGGTGAACGGATCGGAGCTCTCGCCGGCCGCGAGAGCTGCGGCGAAGAGTTGCAGCGCCCTGGAGCTCTCGTTGTTGGCGACGTAGCCGCGCATCAGAGCGTTGAAGGAGGCCAAGTCGAAGGAGGAGAGGCGGCTGTGGAGAAGATGAGCCTCGGGCATGCTCCCCTGATTGGTGTAGGCGTGGATTAGCGCAGTGAGGACGAAGATGTCCCCGTCCAGACCAGCTTTCATGGCGGCGGCATGGACCTGGGGATGGAACGGGGGGCTGGTGGAGACCGTGGAGGTGGCACGGAGGACGCTGGACAGCGTGAACTGATCCGGAGTCAACCCAGTTCTCTGCATCTCAAGAAACTTGCAGAGGGAGTCTCGAACCAGAGAGTGCTGGACGAAGCAAGAGATGAGAGAGTTCCACGAGATTAGGTCCCTCTGGGGCATTTCGTCAAACAATGCCAGCGCGCTACGAGCGGAGCCCATCTTCCCGTACATGTGGATCAGGCTGTTGGAGACGGAGACGCCGGCGAGGAATCCCATCTTCAGAATCAGTCCGTGGGCTTGCTCCCCCAGGTCGAAGCTCTCCGAGCATGCCAGAGCACTGAGAAGAACGACGAAGGTCACATGATCACAGCCCGCACCGGACCTCCTCATCTCCATGAAATGATCCACGACAGCGTCGTTCTCCCCGGCTCTGAGGTGCTCGGAGATTACCCTGTTGGAGGAGATCGCATCCGCGGGGCCACCGAGTATATTGAGCTTAATCCCAAGAGCCCTAACCTGGTCTGAATCTCTGTCCGACAGCCTTCCGCCGAGGAGATGGTGGAAGCTGCTCTCGTTGGGGAGAAGCCCGCTCCGCTGAAGCTCTGCGAACGTGAGGAACGCGTCCTCCGCCAAGCCCTTCTGAGAATACGCCCTAATCATGATGTTGTAGAGCACGCCGTCTCTCTCGTCCATTACGTCGAACAGGCGGCTTGCGTCCTCTGCACGTCCGAACTTGCAGTAGACGCCGATGAGTGCGCTGGAGACCAGAGGGTCGCACTGCAGGCCGTGCTTGATGGCGCAGCAGTGGAGGATCTGAGATGAGGGGAGGAACTCGGGGGAGGAGCACAGTTTGAGGAGGGGAGTAAAGGAGAGGGCTGTGGGAACGACCTCGGCCGGAGAGGAAAGGAGCATACGGCGGAAGAGGAGAAACCCATCTTCAGCCCGGCCGTGGAGGGCGTAGGCGGAGAGGAGGGAGTTGTAGGTGACGACGTCCCGGTGAGCCGGCGCCGTCGCCTCGAAGGTCCGCCGCGCGCCGGCGACGCAGCCGCACTTGGCGTAGCCGGCGATGAGATTGTTGGCGATGAAGCGGTCCCGAGAGCTCCCGGAGATGACGATCCTCGCGTGGGCTTCCCGGAGGCGGCGCAGGTCGCCGGCGAAGGCCGCTCGGCGGAGGACGGGATACCATGGCGAGTCCTCCGACGAGGCTGTGGAGAGCCGGCGGCGGCGGAGGAGTAAGAGGCAGCGGAAGGGGGCGGCGGCGTTCGAAGGGCTGGTGGCTCTCCTTGGGAGGGACGGTATCATCTGAGGGGCCCACGTCTCGGCCTACAGGCCCGAGGGGCTATTCCTATAAGAAGTGGGGCTCATATCGGGCCTGCTTATGAAAGGGAACTCCAGTGAGCCCAACCCATTCCCTTCTATTGGGCCGAAATTTTCTGGTCAGGTATGCCGGTGTACTAGATTTTGTTAGTGGAAGCTTGGACTTGTCTGAACCTGTTGAAACAAGTCAAGACAATCTTAGTGGAAGCACGGGAACTCCAAGAGAAGGGCGTGAGTATGTGGCAATTTGAGGACCTAATCTGAGCTTACCAGAACTGACAACATCTGATGGCGACGTCGGATCTCACAGGAGAGGGAGAATGTTACCAAGGTTCACCCACATGAACCACCCCTGGTACCAGCACTATGGCACACATCGACACGACATCAGCATACTCTAGCATGACACCCGTGCACAGTGGCATGGCACCCACGCATACCAGCACAACAATCATGCACGATATCGGCTCCAAGAGATATTGCGACATGATGTACCACTTCAACGTGGCGACCCAAGGCCACAAGAGTAGTCGATGTTGATGTCACAAGTATGACATCATTTGAAGAAGGAATGGAAAATGTCACCAACAGAATATCAGTGGGAACCCCTAATCTTATATCAGAAATATGAAGACGAAGCCAAAGGTGTAGATAAGATAAGGGGCACGTAATCATGGGAATGTCCATAAAGGACCCATGGCCTCGTATATGAGGACCTTAGATTATCAAAATTATCCTTATTGGTCACTCATAGACTATTGGGGATCCGATTGCCCAAGTGTCTAACAAAGATCTCGTATAGAGTGACCAGCATATTGGTCACAATGGTATCAAATATAGGTTGCAAAAAAAGTCAAACTTCTACTCGTCCCTCTTTCTTTTAGCGTTGATATAGTGTCATAAAGGTAGAGGGTAGAGAGGATACGAGTAATACCTAAGGGTAAAGAATTGCCCAACTAGTAGAGCAGCAAGAAACCACAACTAGGACCATTAAGACACTTATAGGTCAATTAGAGGTTGAGTTTAATAGTCTATGAAAAGAGAGAGCAGGTCTAAGGACCCAGATGGAAGACCAGACCTGTGAAGCAGTCGATACCTTAATAGGGAGATTTAATGAAGAAATCAGGTCAATTTATGACCAAATAAGGGAGATGGTCTCATCAAACAAAGCTCGAAAAGAGGACATATCGACGTTGGGGAGAGAATTCAACCAACAAATATCCATACTACAATAATATATAGAGGAAGTTGTGAGTGTCCTCCAAAAAATAGGATATGTAGTGCACAAAGACATATGGCATGGATCCAATGACCAAACACCTCATGCAACAGATGGAGACATGAAAAACTCAACACTTTTAGATGAAAGATGACATCCTATATACAGAAGGCCGACTACTTTGTGTCTCATAGGGAGGACAACTATGATATTGTCTATTGCGATAGACACACGATGCACTAAATGCAAGACAAATTTCTCGACAAAAGCCGTTCTTTCTTTTCTGGCTTGCAGGTTAAAGAGAGCAGAGATTGACAGCTCAAACTCTAAAAGGTAAAACATGAGGTGATTTTGGATTAGCTCGTGGGGACCCCAGACAGTAGTGACCACTAATGATATTGACTAAGAGCTACTTTTGGCCCAACATGAGCCGAGATAAGAAAACATATGTTCATTGTTATTTGATCAATAAATAGAATATGGTGGAGCAACAAGATGTTGTAAGGATGTTAGAATTGTTATTCATATCATAAGGACTATGAGAGTCCTTGTCTATGTACTTCATCACCAACCTCCCACGAGTAGGCAAACATGATGCCATCCTAGTCATGGTCAACAAATTCTCTAAGTATGCCACATTTATATTGATGCAGTCTGAGTATAAGGTAAAAGAAATGGCAGGACTCTACTTAACACATCGTCAAGCTATGGGACATTCATTGAGATATAATTTCAGATTGCAACCCCTATTTCATGGGGTGATTCTAGTCAGCCCTCTTCACCCTCCTCAACATTGAACTTCAAATTTCTTACTACCTTTCATCTACATAAAGATGGATAGATAGAGAGTATGAATAGGATGTTGGAGAACCACCTCAGACATTATGCATGGCACAACAAGACAATTAGATCGACCTCTTAGACATTGCCCAATTCGCTCATAATATTCAGCAATGTGTCTTGACAAGACACTCACTAATTGAGCTTGCCACTACTGGAAAACTATTGACACTTGTAGAACTAGTGAAGTAAAGGGGTCTAAAGTACTTGTTAATGACATATCACTTTGCCAAGAACTACAACAACCTCGTTGAAGAGGTCGAAGAGGTATTAGCCGAGGCTACTTGACAAATGAAGAAAAATGTCAATCATCATCAACGAGAGGTTGAATATATAATAGGCAATTGGGTACTACTATATATCTACCCCACTCACAAAAGCCTCCAAAGATAGAAGTGGCACAACAAATTAGTGCCGCGATTCGACGAACCCTTCTAAATTATTGCTCAGGTGGGATGACTAGCCTACTAGCTCCAACTCTCCCCACACCTCTTGATACACTCAATCTTTCATGTTTCCCTATTGAAGGCTTATTGATAACACGCTATTTATGCATGTAATTATATAATTATTAATGCAAATTAAGGCATTAATCATTACAAATATATGCATGTTATCGTATTTTAAGTATATTTCTATCATTTTGTGTAAATTCATGTTATGATCTTAAAATACACCAAATTATGGATTATTATAAATAATTACACATTACAATCTTTAATCCTAATTATATTTATGATCATAATCATGTTTTAAGAGTGAAAATATGAGAGAAAAGATATTTATTAACATTTATGTATTTATATAAATTTATTTTATATAATACATAAATGTATAAAATTAATTAAAATTTATTCTCTTCTTATTTTAATAATTTGACCTTTTATAATGGTAGATTATTCAATTTTGAATCCAACAAAACAAATTTGAATTAATTTGGAGTCGTATTTTGAAAGTTATGATTTTTACAATTTTATAGAATTTTCTGGAATTTTCTGGAATTTTTCTGAATTTATTTATATTTATTTTCGATTTTTAAATGTTTTAAATTAATTAAAAAATCGCAAAAAGGGGTTATATGTCGCGCGTGTACACGTGGATGCGACGTGGTACTCGGGGCCACGTGGCTCTGCCACGTGGACAGCACGCGGGCGCCTGCGTGGTGCTGATGTGACACGTGGCGTATTTATATTTACTATATATATTTATTTAATAAAATATATAGGTCTTCCGATTATCAGAAGACAAAGTATTAATCCCTCTTAATCGTCATATGTTATATACCCGAATATACTCCTTTGTTTTTCCCGTGTGGGACTAAAGTCCCTTAATTTTCTTATGTGCAGGACGCGTGGCGTGATCTCGTGCGTCCGATCGACATCGCGACAAATAGCGTGCGTAGATCACGTGAAATCGAGGTCCACGCGATCAGAGATCAACCACGTGCCTAAATACTCACTTAAGTGAATAAATCGCGACCGTCTGATCGAGAGTTATAACGGTCCAGATTATTCACATCAGATGGACATCCAATCACATCTTAACCGCATGATCACGATCGGACGATCGTCGAATCGTCGCGACGATTCGTGAAGAGGCGTCTCATCGCGATCGTCCATCGCGATCAACTCCATCAGATCGGACGGCCACGATCATTTCCGAATTTTATAAAATCCGTTCTTCGCGACGGAAGAATGGCCCGCGATCAATCTTCAAATTCTCTTTGTTTAGAGCTCCAATTCGCGTGCCATCTTTTGCATTGTGTTCGCAACTCATTTACGCTTCTGTTGGATGTTTAATTTCAATGTTTTATTGAAAGAATTGGAAGAAATCAACTCTTGAACTCCTCTTTCGTCTTCGAAAATTCAGAATGAAAAGCCTTGCATCCGGCGATTAATTGGATCATTTCGAAGGCTAATTTGGGTTAGATTGTTTTTTTTCATCTTAATCTTTCACCATTTAGTGTTAATTTTACTTTAAGTATTGTAGATTAAGTTTAATTTAGTTTTAATTTCTGTTTTTAATCATTTCGCGATACGAAAATTTCTCTTAACTTCAAACTTCGATTACTCTTCGAATTCTCATCCAAATCACCTGATTTTTGATTCTGTGGATTCGAAATTGAGTTATCTTTCTTAATATACTAAATTTTGCAATTTCTAACCTAATTTCATCATCCGATTTGACCGAATTTCAAAGATATCTCTCAAATTTCCCTAATTCTCCGTGGATTCGACCCTTAATTACCATTATACTAATTAATTACTTTGATTAATCATAAATTGGTAAGATTAGGACTTTGTTTTGACACTGAATCGTGTGCATTCAACGACCATACGATTTAGTCTCGTCACTTATCATACTATTTGATAGTGGTATTAGACTCTTGACCCACTATGGCCTATTATCTATCTCTCTCTCTCTCATCTCTCCTCTCTCTTATATAAGAGTCGTGTATTCTATCTTAAGATTATATGGATTCTAGATTTTTCCTCTCTCGTGTCAACATGGTATCAGAGCCTTAAATATTCCTTATTGTCATCCTCCTCTCCAATGCACCGCTCATCTCCGGCGCACCGCTCTTCTCTTCGTCGGCCTCTTTCCTCCTCGAACGGCTCTTCAACATCGCCGGTCTTCCCTTTTCCGATGTCGTCATCTCTGTCGTCGCTCTCCTTCTCCTTTCGGCACTGCCCTCCTCGCCGTCATCGCCTCTCGCCAGTGTTGTTTCTCTCCTCCTCTTCTCTAACGTCTCCACGCCATCGTTGTCGAGACCCCTCCTCGTTGTCAAGCCCTCACTGTTGCGCCATCGTGAGTGTTGTTGCTCTCAAGTGTTGAGGGCATCGCTGCCATCATAAAGGTCCCTCGTCGTCACGCCCTCATAGTCATGCCCTCGCCGTCGTGCCCTCACTATTGCGCCCTCATTGTCGCGCCCTTACTGTCACGCCCTTGCTAACGCTCTCTTACTGTCACGCCCTAGCCCTCGCCGTCGCTACTGCATGTAGTCAATCCGATATACTTGTGTGGAAGGCAACTACCGATATACCTGTAGCTGCATTGGTCGCTCAAGGGACTTAGCATTTGGTCATGTGTCCAACTGATGCCAACATTGTGACGTGCAATTGGGTCTTTACTCTCAAGTATCACCCGGATGGCTCCATCGCTCATCACAAAGCTTGTATGGTCGCTCCGAGCTTCACACAGACATATGGGATCGACTAAACTAAGACATTCTCTCTTGTCATCGGCCTGAACTCCGTCGGCATACTCTTCTCTCTTGCCATCAATCAGGCATGATCTCTTTCCCAATTATATGTTTGTAACGTCTTTCTTTACAATGATCTCGTGGAGTAGGTCTTTATGGAGCAACCTCCTAAGTATATTACTCATGGAGGGGGAGGGGGGAGGGGGGAGGGGGGAGGAGAGGTTCATCGAAGGTGTGTCTCTCGTGATGTGTCATTTATGAGCTCAAGTAGAGTCCATGTATTTGGTTCACCAAGTTTAGTAGGTTACTCACCACCTTCAGCTTTGCCTCCTGCACTGCAGATCTTATCGTGCTCATAAAAAAGACAAAGAATGACCTTATCATCCTTGTAGTATATGTCGATAATATTTTTGTGATTAGAAGTGATAACGTCGACATCTCTACTATCAAAATCTTCTTATAGTAGCACCTTAGTATTCGTGACTTGGGGACTCTGCGATATTTTTCTTAGGATTGAGTTTGCGTATCAAGATAGAAAGTTAGCCCTCACTCAATGAAAGTATACCCTCGACATGCTTCAAGAGATAAGCCTCCTTGGGTGCAAGTCGAAAACTTAACCCATGGAAGCTCGCCCACAACCCTAGGACACGTCATCTCTCCCATTCGAGGATGCTAACCGTATCAGCAATTGTTGGACAAGTTGATATATCTCACCAACCTTCGCCCGACATCGTGTATACGATTATTGTCTTGAGTCAATTTATGTAGGTGCCTTGACGAGTTTATTGGGAGGGAGCTCTACGAGTCCTCCCCTACATCAAGCAAGCCTTAGAAAAAGGACTCATCCATCAGCAACACCACCATCTCCATATTATAGCCTTCTCTGACACTAGATATGCGAGTGACAAAGGCGACTGAAAGTTTACTACGGATTATTATACATACATCGGCGATAACCTAGTCACATGTCAATCTCAAAAACAAAGGGTGGTGTCCTATTTTAGTGCAGAATCCGAGTATTGAATCATAACTAAGAAAGCGTAGGAAATGGTATGACTTCGATCACTTCTGGACAATTTTGGCATTACTTCTCCTTCTCCAATGCTCATACATTGCGACAATCAAGCCGCCATCTTTATTGCCAGCAATCTCACTTTTCATGAGCACGAAGCACATTGAGATCGATTGTCACTACATTTGTAATAAGGTAATGTTTAGACTTATCTGTACTCCTCATGTAGTATCATTTCATCATCTTGTGGATGTCTTCATGAAGAGTCTGGCCAGCATCTCCTACAACGCCACATGTACCAAGTTGGACATATTCGACTTACATGCTCCAACTTGAGGGAGAATGTTCAATAGTGGTATCGAACTCCTAACCCACAAAGACCCATTATCTATCTCTTTCTCATCTCTCCTCTCTCTTATATTGAAGTCATATATTCTATCTTGTGACTGCATAGATTCTAGGATTTTTCTCTCTCATGTCAACACATACAGACACAGATGACCTAGAGCTAAACCGGCTAAATTGACCCCCACCAATGATTCAAGCACACTATTCAAACATAACAACTACCATCTTATTCAGTGGACACAACCACGCCCATTGTAACACTTTTTTATCTTATTTAGTGGGGAAGGCAACCAAGAGAAGTAGTGATGTGGGAGAAGAACATGAATCTATGGCAATTCAAGGACTTAATCCGAGTTTATTAGTACCAACAACATCCAACAAAGACATTGGATCTCATAGGAGGGGGAAAATGTTACCATGGTCCACCTACATGACACACCACCTATGGTACCAATACCGTGGCACACGGCGGCATGACATTGATGTGCTTCGATTTAATGCATGTATATGACAACACAATACACGGCGTGTGCCGACATGGCACATACATACAATGTCACAACATCAGCTCCATGAGACATTACGACACAATGCACACTTTAACATGGCGACCTAAGGCCATGAGGGCAGCCGATGATGATGTCACGAGCATGACATCATTCAAAGAAGGAACAGAGTATGTCACAAACCTAATGTCATCCAGAGTAGGAACCCTTAATCTCATATCACAAATGTGAGGATAGTTAACTAGGGAAACATCCATAAAGAAGGACCCCTAGTCTCATGTATGAGGACCTTGGGATTATCATAATTATTTTTATTGGTCACTCATAGACTGTTGGGGATCTAATTGCCCAAACATCCAACAAGGATCTCATGTAGAGCAATTTACATTCTTGTCACAACCATGGAGGAGATATTTTCTTTTGCTTGATAATGTCATCAGTTATACCATCCAAACCATTGCATGAACACGAAGATCGCAGTGACTTGGGCTTTCCCCTCAAACCAAAAACTTTAATGTTCAATAGTTTAGGTTTGTGATGGTAAATATATAAAGAATGTACAATGTATGGTGATCTAGAAATATAACAAAATTACTATTATTTTTCTGATATTTATTAGTTGTTATTATGTCATCTAGCCTTCAATGTCTCAAATAAAGTGAGGAACTTTTCAGAATAAGAAACCCTAGTTCTTACTTATCAAGCATAATGAGAATGAGTTACAAAATAGAAGATAAAATGAACAATTTTTTATGGTGGTTAAAGCTCAGCATAAACATAGATATTTAATAATTGCTACCTACCTTCTAAGATAATTACTATTTATAGCATCAATCATAGTTGACATTAAAGGTTCCTAATAAGGCATGAATTAGGGAATGTTTAATATGAAAATATGTCAAAAATGTTCAAAGGAAAAAACAAAAAATACACATGGGGTACTTCTAAGCCCCTCAGTGACTTCCACATCAATCTTATGGTGAAATTGATTTGCCACTTTTGTGTCTAGGAAACACATGCATGGTCACTAAAAATATTTCTTCTAAAAACTGCTCTTATTGGTGTTTCATTAGGTAGTACATTTTTAATGTGCAAGAAAGGGGTTAGTGAGTGAGGTGTTCTTACATGTGTGTGTGAGTGTGTGGTGATGATGATGCTTTGGTAGGAGTTCAATCATCCTTCATATACGAATAATGAACCTTAAACCCTGGAATGTGGCTGGACAACTATACAAGTGAAACATTTATTCAAACTCATGATTATTTTAAAAAATAAGTAAAGAAATTGTGCTACTCATTGTGCATAGAATTGGGAGCAATTTCATACAAAACAAAGAAAATTTGAATACATAAATTGGTAGGAATGATAGTCACCCACTACACAATAGTAATGGGTTAAGAGAGAAACCGGATCTAAATTTTGCAGATTTAATGAGGATACTATTGCACTTAGGATGAGATAATCAGAGAAGAAAAGGGAAAGAATGAACAGTCACTATTGAACTGAAATAAAAAGTATCTCAGCTTTGAACAAGGGCGACATGATTATCTGAAGAAAGTGGGCATTATGTAAGCGATCATCAGCTTTGCTGAATAATCATGCCTTATCCACTTAAAATGAAGCACTAGGAAGAGAATACTCTTGTTTTTTTCTGCTGTGAACTTCGGGCTAGATCAGTTGATTTCATGAAAATCTTCCGATATGAGGAACGGCTGTTTAACCAGTAAGCTTAGTTATAGTTACATCTGCAGTAGCTTGTATAATGTTAGGGTTAATTGATTATCCAAGCGTCGCCCCTCTTGCTGAGGATAGCTTATCTAGTTTAGGTCACTGGAGCACCTCCCAACCTCCAAGAAATCTATGAAGGGAAGGCCTGCCTCCTCGGTTGGTTGTCCGTGCTCTATCCGCCCTTCTCCTACCTTTGTCTGGTCTTCGGAGTCAGGGTTAACCTGAAGAAAGTCGTAAAACTCGACCCGTTGACCTGCATCGGTGATCAGATCACAGAAAAACAATGTGAGAAATGAAGAGGGATGAGGTAAATAGCTTAGGGCAAGCTTCTATTTATTGACATAAATGTAGAAGAGGCTGACCTACACAGCTACATATCGATTGACAAAGAGTTTAGTCGCCCCACATATTGTAATTACCATTTAGTTTGTCCCCTAGATGCATGACTATTCTAACAATTATCGCTAGTGCATGTCGATTCTTTCGAGTTCCCATGCCACGTGAAAGAATTAGATGAGTAATTCGTAGCTAGTTGAGGATAGGAATATTAGATCTACGAATTGATTTTGTCACAATGATTTCAATACTATTGTAGCAGTCACCTACTTGGGGAAGCCCTCGGAGGCTGTCGGTGGAACTCGGAATGCATGTCTGTAAGGATCCGGAGATGGCCATAGGGTCCAAGGTTTTCAGGAGAAGTGTTCTCCTGTAGCCTGTTCTCCGTTCCTCTGACGAGGTTCTGGGGTTTCGAGGGGCCATGGGTCGGCTCGCCGGCTCTCAACCTGGACTGCTCTCGGCATCGTCGAGCCATGATCACATGCCAGTGATTCTTGATGGCGTTGTCGGTCCGCCCAGGGAAGAGCCGAGCGATCACAGCCCACCGGTTTCCGTGGATCCGGTGTGATGCGAGGAGACGTTCCTCTTCCTCCGGCGTGAAGGGGCTCCTGTTGATCCGCGGATCCAGCTGATTGAACCATCTCAGCCTGCAACTTTTCCCTGCTATTTTGAATTTTTCTTGAATATTCACGCCGGGGACGTCCAAAAGAAGAAGCGAAGATGTGAAGAGAGGGGAGGCCGCATGAAGGCTTCTCCCTATTTTGATTAACCTAAGGAAAATTGGAATTTACGGGAATAGAGTGCAAAGAAAGACCAGTAAAAAGACGCATATATGAAGTCTATATGGTGCACCTGATCTTCCTTGTAGCTTCTCGGCGATCGCGTTCCAATTATGCGGCCCGTATCTCTCAACCAGATCTTTGAGCTTCTCGTCCTCCGCAGGCCTCCAATGGCCTCTCGTGCACATCGATGCCCTCAGCTGCCTATCTTCTCCTTCTTCCTTTCGGGAGGAGAGGTAGAGAGAGGAAGAGAGAAGAGATTGGTCGTCCGGATCTTGAAGAAGGGTGGCCCACGAGAAGAAGGGGAAAATCATGAGAGCAGAACCGTTGCCGGGGGGGAGGGACCGGCGAGACGCCCGCCACAAGTGGAGATCACGCCATCGGATCCACAGAGGCCTCCTCCGTCCCCAGGTCGGAATAATACACAGACGACGTAGGGAACCAGAGAAGGCGCCCCGTGGGGGTAGAGGCGGCTATAAAGATATGACAGGACGCGATCACCATGTCTTTGGTCATCATTATCGTTAGAGAAAGTTAGGAGAGAGATACACCAAGTGCTTGGCGGTACGTCTAGTCCAACAAGATGTTTTCTTAACGAAAGAGAAGAGAGAGAGAGAGAGAGAGAGAGAACGGGGGGTTGCTTGGTGGGGTGAAATCTGTTCCCATCTCCACATCCCCCCGCGTTTCTAACCTACAACGTCTACTTATAACCAACCTCTCCCCATCATGCAGACGTATAAGCGTTGGGAAGAGCAGGGGAACTCCGCCGGGTTTGGTCGCGTTGGTGAGACCCGCGGAGGCGAACACAGGGTCTCGATCTCTCCCCCGCCCCCCGCCCCCCCATGGAAAAAAAACTCCGCTTTTGACGACGATCTCCTTTCAGCGCCTTGATTGCTCAGGGAGGGTTTTATTTCCGGTTTTATGCTGCTCGATTCGCCTTGCACGAATATAAGTGGAGGGTTACCATGCTTTCGTCTCCGCCTCAAGATCAGACCTAACGCGACCGAGAGTTCGCTGCAGACGTCGTTATCTACACGTGTGAGCTTGTAGCTTCTGTCTCCCCCAGAGTCTAGTTACCTGTCGTCGTCTGTCCGAGAGATCTTGTCGTTGGGGACGGCGTAGGTTTTCGGGTTATATAATTCGTTATATTGCACCTAAACTATGATGGCTTGGGCCGCATTACTGAGTAGCTATGCGTGGGTGATTAGACGGATAGAAGGCTATTCCATAATAGTTGTATAATATGATTATCTTTTAGTGACCATCTACGGTCATCTCTCCTGGGTTGTTTCTATGCTCTCTCAATAAGAAAAGGGCATATGAGAGGTGCATAATTTAACGAGCACTGTGGCGGCTTAAATGGGTTTCCCTCTCTCCCTCTCTCTCTCTCTCTCTCTCCCCTCGAGCCTAGACGGTAGATCCTTCCTAGTCTTCGATCCACTAGTGTGCTTGCTTCCCACGGAGAAAGAGAGGAAGCGTTAATGGAGACTCCCACCTGTTTCTTCGCGTTCCACCTACGCCGAGAGGCCCAACATCACTCCAACGGGAACCAGATAGACGAGGGATACGTTCCTCTCCTGTAGAAGGGGAAGATCCCACGGAATCCCATGTATTTCTCGATGATGATCGTCTGCTAGGAGAAAACATTTCAGGGAAGCGGGGGATGAAACCTGCATTAGGAGGGCACGAGTCGCTGATGATCTGGACTGACCTAGTCTCGTGGACTCCCAACGGGAGCCCTGCACCCAGGCGGCATAATTTCCATCTCAAGCAACTTTTTCGTTCCAATGGAGGTAGGAAACGGCGACCATCTCGTCCTCTCTGACTGGCTCCATGGTTGGGTGTTCAGGATTTTACGGTAAGAGTTAGGGTTAGGATATCAGTTTACGGAGGCTATCTTCGCGTACATGGCAGGAAGGGGGGAAAAAATGGCCCGAAGCTTACGTCGGGCACATCGAAGAGAAAGGTTGCTCCCCGGGTTCATTCCATCGGTGCACCTACCATACCTAACCAGACTCTCTCATTCGTCCCTGTCGCCCATCGACGTCACTCATCCGATCAGATTATATAATCCTGGGCTTCTGCTCAGAAATCGATGACGAAGACACTCCATAGACCGAAATTTCAATCACAAAGCCAGTGTGATGTGGGTTTGTGTAATTAAACTGGGTGGGTATCGCCAGATCGAAACAGGACTATTCGTACTGTCTATGGACTCAGGATCTCTCTCTCTCTCTCTCTCTCTCTCTCTCTAGCAAGTTCAGAGATGAATCCTTGGCTGAGTCCTCAACACTATGGAGAGGTCACGCCGTGGAAGCTGATCGGAACGCCTTGCAATGACAGGATTCAACCCATAGATAGTCGATTTCTGGAAAAGAACTAGGCGTCAATCCAATGAGATGTCCAAGAAAAGCTGGGCTTCCCCGTAATAAGCGTTCTCCTTGTTGCACCAGACGGCTATTCCTTGTTTTCCTCTCGCAGGGCGGCGTTTGACGTAGCTGACTTGCCGACTATAAATGCTGATGTATATATCTCGATAATTATTTTTGTTCGTGTTGGGATATGAATGGGCCGACCAGACCTAAAACTCCTAATGCCCAAACAGCAGTTACGTGTTCGTGACTCTCTTCCTCCAAGAAATGCCCAACTCATCAGTTCCAAGCCTGACGCTTAAGAGGCCTGACTCATATAGGCTCACCCGAACGCTTCTTAGAGAGAGGGAAAGAGAGAAGAGAGAGAGAGAAAGAGAGAAGAGAGAGAGAGACAGAGAGAAGAGAGAGAGAGAAAGAGAGAAGAGAGAGAGGGAGAGAGAGAGAGAAGGGGGGCTCTTGCCGCATGAGCCAGAGCACAACTTGATATCAACCAAGACCAAGATTAGGGCAGACTTATTTTCTCTTGAAAGTTTATTCTATAAAAATGGCCTCAACTCCGAGTTTATTTGTAAATTAAAGATATATAATTGTCTTTTATCGAAAATAATTCTGTCCGTGCTATTTTTTTAATTAATTTTGAAAGAAAATGTTATTAAAATCCTATAAGCTAAAAACACCCTCAAATCAAAGTGTGATGTCACCTGCTTTTGGTTTCGAGTTTGACTTTCTTAACAAAAAGCATGACTAGAGAATCTAATATCTTGCTTTAGGTGAGCCTTATCGGGTGGCTCGGACCTCGTCAAGTTCAGTTGGACTATCTCAGAAAGAGCGAGCGAGCCAGTGAGAGAGAGAGACTGAGAGACACAGAGAGAGAGAGAAAGAGGGAGAAAGAGAGAGAGATAAAGAAAGAGAAAGAGAGAAAGAAAGAAAGAGAGAGAGAGAGAGAGAGTGAGAGAGAGGGGGAGAGAGAGAGAGAGAGAGAGAGAGAAAGAAAGAGAGAAAGAAAGAGAGAGAAGAAAAGAGAGAAAGAAAGAGAGAGAAGAAAAGAGAGAAAGAAAGAGAGAGGGAGAGAGAAAGGGAGAGAGAGAGAGAGAAGCCTTGAGCTTGTAGTGAAAGGTTTGTGAGCATATAAATCATATACCCTTGCTTATAATAAGGTTTACAGCCAAAAGGAGACGATAAAATTTCACAAAATCTATATGATATTAAAATTTTGCTAATCCCCCAAAAAAACAATATATTCAAGTTACATAGAATTTTTAAGAAGATATCTGAAAATGGATTTGTGGCTGTTGATGACTATCTAGAGGCCAATCCAGATGGAGAGAGGGGGACATCGTGTCTCATATCAAGGGATTGTTTTATCAAGAACTCTCTCTCTCAGGCATTCTATAAGTTACTAAGTTGCGGGGGGAGGGGGCATTCCATTGTGGGCCTTCTCGTTTTGGGCCAGATTAACCCAATAAGAAGAGTGAGCGGCCCGGTCCAATGGGTTGAAAATGAGCCATCTCTCTCTCTCTCTCTCTCTCTCTCTCTCTCTCTCTCTCTCTCTCTCTCTCTCTCTCTCTGGGGTCACAATGGGTAGGGCAGAACTCTACAGAAAGTTGTGCTTTGGTCACTTTCTCAAAAGGAATGCCTTCCTCCCCACTCTAATACAATCACTTTTTTAATTTACCCCCCCCCCTAAAGAAAGTAATACTCTTAATATTCGAAAATGGATCTGTGGCCGTTGATCACCATCTGGAGCCCGATCCAGATCGCGATCTTGCACCGTTGAAGGATGAGACGGAAAACGGGGAGTGCCATAAACTGATTCAATTATTGAAAGACATTCTCTACGGCATTCGAGATCGTGACGCCACACACGATAAGCTGACCACTTGGCTCCAGGGTGGGACCCTCTTTCTGGACCCGTTCAACCTAATAACGAGATCGGGCGGCCAGTCCAATCGCTTCAAAATGAGCCGCAGCCCCTATCGAAGATGATGATGCAGGTGAAAAAGGCCTCCTCGTTGACTTCCAACACGTCAAGTATTAATCAAAGACACGGTGATATGTAGATAGATAGATGGAGATGGAGATAGAGGTAGAGAGAGAGAGAGAGAGAGAGAGAGAGTTCTCACACAAATGACAGAAAGCAGAGGGAGCTCAAGGGAGGGGGAGGATAGGCCGGCGGCGGAGGCGGAAGGGCAGTGGCGATTAGCAGACCCCGGTCTTGCGGGCCTTGACGAGGTTCCTCCAGGCGGTGGTGATCTCCCTCGTGGTCTTGAGGGCCTTCTCCTCGGCGGAGATCACCGGCGTTCTGGCCGGAGTGCCGTCGAGCTCGTGGAGGACCTTCTGTATGTCGATCACGAGGCGCTCTGCAAGCGTCCTGCTGAAGTCCTCCCTGATGACCACCCGCAGCACCGTGATGTGCTGCGCATCTGGCGGCATGGTGTAGGCCGGCACGATCCACCCGAAGCGGCGCAGGTAATCCGACACCTCGAACTCATTGTGCCGGCTCCGGTCCTTGAGCGAGAAGGCCACGAGCGGCACCCCATTGTCCTTGGAGACGATGTTGAACCGCCCCGTCTTCTCCAGCCCCTCCTTGAGCACCATCGCGTTCTCCTGGCAGTTCTCCATGATGTTCTTGTACCCTTCGAAGCCCAGCCGGATCAGCTGGTAGTACTGCGCGATCACCTGGCTCGAACCTGCAGGAATTGGGATCAGTCAAGCCTGTGAGCGAAACCTTATGGTCGCGGCAGTGAACAAGCCTCAGGAAGGAAAGAGAGAGGAAGGGGAGCTGACCCTTGGAGAAGTTGAGGGTGAAGGTGGGCTGGTCAGCCCCGAGGTAGTTGATGTGGAAGATGAGCTCCTCGGGGAGGTCCTCCTTGCTCCTCCAGATGACCCACCCGATGCCGGCGTACACGAGCCCGTACTTGTGCCCGCTGACGTTGATGCTCTTCACCAGCGGCAACCGGAAGTCCCACTCCAGCTCGGGGTAGAGGAACGGCGCAATGAAACCCCCGCTCGCCGCGTCCACGTGAATCGGCGTGTCCCAACTGCGCCCAGAAACCAGCCCAACATCTTCAGCCGCTATGAAGCAACAGCGCCGCATCCACCAGAGGAGGTGGCGGAGTACGCACAGGAAGAGATGTTGTTAATTACCCAGTCTGCTTGTTCTTCTTCTCGAGGAGGTCGTTCAGGAGCTTGACGTCTTCAAACTCGCCATTGAGGGTGGAGCCGAGGATGGCTGCGACGCAGATGGTGTTCTCGTCGACCAGCTCCACCGCCTTCTCGGGGTCCATCACGTAGTAGCCGTCCCTCAGCTTCACCTCCTTCAGCTCCACCTCGAAGTACCGGGCGAACTTCTCCCAGCAGACCTGCGGGAGCGGCCATTAGAGGCCCGTCATCAAAGAGAGGCTGACACAGAGCCGGAGGAGGAGGAGGAGGGGGAAGGAGGAGACCTACCTGGACATTGGCGCCGGTGACAATGTTGGGTTTGTCCCAGGGTTTGCCCTCCGCCTTCCTCTTGTTCTGCCACTTCCTCTTGAAGGCCAGCCCCGCCAGCATGATCGCCTCCGACGACCCCACCGTCCCCACGCCGATCGCCGCATCCGACTCGCCGAGCGGCGCGTTGAAGAGGTGGGCGATCATGTTCACACAGCGGTTCTGAGCAGCGCCAAATTCTCGGCGTCAGATTTTTCAGCGCTAAAGCTAATTAAATATAATAATAAAAAGAAGAAAATAAACCAAAAATGCGGATTATTTTCTTATGACGTCAATGAGAAATGGGCGACGTTTTGTTGACTTCTCCCTAATATTATATGATTCATTCACGTGGACGAACTATGTCGAGAGATCTCATTCGCTCATAACACCCTCATGGCGCCGTCGCCATTGGCGGGCGTTAGGTGGGTTGCGTTACGATACTCCGCTGGCCGGTTGGATAGCGGACCAGTGGTCCAGTCCCCCGGAAGAGAAACCGGGAAAATCGCGCCGCCGGATCGCCGCCATCGCCGGCAGAATCCTCTACAAGGCGGGGGGTGGGGGGGAAGAGGGGGGGTTTACCTGGAGCTCGGTGGTGACGGGATACTCGTCCATGTCGACGTAGTTCTTGTTGACGGCTGCCATGATGAGCTTGTCGCACTCCGGCTCCATCCACGTCGTCACGAAGGAAGCGAGGTTCAGCCGCGGGTTGCCGTCGAGCATCAGCTCGTCGTTGATGATCTGAAACGCCGCATCCTTGGGGATGGAGTTCTCCGGCATACGGAATCTGCAACAATCACAGAGGGCACCCACCCATCAGACGGAGATCCATCACCGGCAGCGGCGACGCCGCCCGATCTGGGCACGGCGGCCGTCGCCGGCCAGATCCGAGGAGAGGAGATGGTCACCTCGGCAGGGAGGTGCGGACGTAGCGCGAGGCGAAGGTGGAGTGCACCGAGACATCGGACTCCGACGCGGTCTTCGAGAGAACCATGATTTCGCAGAGCCGGCGCCGGCGGGGCGGAGGAGGAAGAAGAAGGAGAGGGGTAGAGGTTGAGCTTCTCTTGGAAAGGGGAGAACGAACACAGAAGGGCGGTGTGGGATGGGGGCAAGCACAGGATGCCGCTATATATAGGGAGAGAAAAGGAGAGGTGGGTTCCTTCCTCTTTCCCAAATAAATGGGTAGCGTGGAGTCAAGGGCCAGCCTGGGGAGGCCCTTCCTTGGGGACCCCCTTGGACCATATATTTTCTTCATTGCCTAAAATCCCCAAATAATCGTCGGGAATAATATAAGTCGCCACTTTGATCATAAAAATGCCTCCTTTTCTTGCATTGAATACTCGATTTCCCCGGAATCTGCGGAATATTCTCTCCCTAACCGCGGTTTTCCCATCGTCGGTAGATCTTTTCCCCGCGGCGGATGGGCGGCGCTGTCGGTAGCCGCCGTCGTCAACGTGGGGGGGTGGGGAGGGACCGGTCCAAAACCCGGAGCGAGCTGGTGCGACCGGCTCTTGGGACCGGCGGGGCTGGTCAACCAGAGATACTTCTGGAGACTGGAACCTTCGATTGGATGACTCAGCGCCCGAGGCGGTGAACAAGAGGACCACAGTGAAGTGGGCCCCAATAGCGGTCGGTGAAAAATGAAACCCATGTGGACAAGTCGAAGGCGGGCACGTCAACGTGCTAAAGGGTCAAAGCGGCGTCAACTCTCCTTCGCACTGCCTTATGGCTCAGCTCCAACCAAATATCATAACCCGTTGGGATATAAGCTTTAAGCTTAATTTTCCATCAATATTATATTATATAGCATTATACGTTGATAAATAAATTATATTTGATAATCCCGACGAAAAAGATAAATTATGTCCGTATCTAGGCCCTATAATTATTAAAAAGATAAGAGCACGTGTCAAATCCGTTGAAAAAAAATGTCACCGTTTCCATTTATTTTTAATTAATATTTTTCCAAAAGTCATCATTTTGAAAACATTATAAAATAAATTATGATTTTTTTCTTAGGATCGTGATACACAACTATTTTTTTCCCTTTTTATGATGCAGAAATCTCTTCAATCTCATAATTACAAAAAAAAGTGATAGTTTTAATAACCCTACTTAGCTTTATATTTCCCTTAATCACATTGCATCGCATTTTTCTCATTTATTTAGTCACCGGCTTGTAATTGGATATATTTTTAATTAGAACCATAGTCCCGTGTACCTCAATATATTACATTTCATTGGTATTTATTTTAAGATCATGCTATTTTTATATTTTCCACGAATAATAAAAGAATACAAAAATCATGGGAGACGAGGAGATTATTCAAATTATTTTTTTAATAAATCATGATTTTTTTTTACTGGGTTAAGAAAGTCAGCGATGCATGACGTGTACATTAATATTTATTTTATCTCCAGTTAAATGTCACTGAGCGTCTTACTATGCTGGATGATATGGGCCGGGGAATCTAATGTGGGCCCATTAAAGTGGGCCGCCAGGTCAGCCCGGTTAAGTGGAGCTACCGACATATAAACCAATAAAATGCCATTCGTCCAGACTCTCGACGAGGGAGGGAAGACGGGTGGGTCCATGAGGAGGGGCCACGTCAGATTTCCCGCCAGAGCGAAGGCCCCTCTCTACCTCCTCGCCGGAGCGGGAATCACGGCCCTGTCTCTGCGGTCGGTCCCCGATCCTTTCCCCTCCTCCGGCGATCTCTCGCTCTCCGCAGCCGAGAGGATTAGGCTCGAGGTGGAAGGCATCGTACGATCGTCTCGGGCTCTCTACGCTGTCAGTCTCCTCATCCTGCATCTCTCTCTCTCTCTCTCTTTCTTTCTCTCACCTCTTTCTCCATTTATTTTCTCTTTATGTTGATAATGAACTCTGCTGTCTATTCCAGATCACCTATGTTATCGCTGACTACAAGTTCTCGTTATGGGGCCTGGAACGTCGTCCTGTGGATCACCACAACAAATTACTGGAGGTATTCACGACATTATTCTATCAAAGACATGATGTAGGATTTGGATTATAGAGTATGCTCCGCATCCTCGTTTGCAGTTCGTTTCTTAGGCCTTCATTCGTGTAGTTTACATGTACCGGGCTGCAGTTCTCTCAAAACCCGAAGATTCTCGCGTCGAATAAACATTTTATTTTTTTACCTTATAGTGTCGGTTGGGTAACTTGAATTCTATCCAGAAACATGTTTGCATTTGGTTGAATCGGTGCCATTGAAAGATGGCGTATACTCTATCCAAGGCCATTTTTGCGTTTGATTAAATCAGGATGTTTCAGAACGTCTAAATGTATATAAATGTGAGCTTGTGAAGAACGGAAGCGCAGGGACCATTTTCCTTCTTAATAGATTACGTATTGGATCACGAAGCTAGCCTGGCGCTTTCTTTTCAAGTGGAAGATAAATGCAAATACCTTTTTTCAGGGTGGTAAATCTGAATTCTGTCATTTTGATGGTCCTTGAATGCACACAAAGCGCCTTTAACGCAGTATATTCGCGATAAAAGTAACTTTTTTGGCATTCATTAAACGTACATTTTGATTTATTTAATTCAATGATATGGATCAGCACATGAATACTGCATTTTACCAGTTTGTGTCGATATGCCATGATGGCCTTAAAAATGGTAGTGGGTTGTATTATAACCTTTTATTAGCTCATAAGTATGACCAGAGATTAACTTAGATATTGGATCCGGCCATTTTCTCTGAAACCTCCTGAAATGCACACTTCCCAATGAGCTACTTGTATCATGCTGAAATTCGCTATCACTGTCCCTATCTTGTGTTGTTATAGTAAAATGTTATAAGTTTCCACTTCACGTGCTTTTGTCCTTTCCTGAAAGGGCCTACTTCAAGTTGTAATGATAATGAGAAATGGACGCAACATGGTCTGCCTTTTTTCAACTCTTATTGTTCCAGGTCCACCTACGATCCGCCCAGAGGCTTTTGAAACTATGTGAAACCAACAAGGGCTTTTATGTGAAGGCCGGTCAATTTGTCTCCTCTTTGCGTCAAGTGCCAAAAGAGTATTCATCAACATTTTCAACATTACAGGACAAGGTATTCTGTAATTTTCTTGTACTTTACGATAGAATCTTGGTATCTTGATGAATATTTATATTTTTCATGTATTTATTTTGCTTCTCCAGGATGGAATCTTTGTATCTTGCTGAATACCTGTATATATTTTCCCTCTTGATGTTTTAGGCTGTCCCTTGTCCTTTTGAAGACATCAAAGAAGTAATAGCCAGGAATCTAGGGAAAAACTTTACTGACTTGTAAGTTTCTTCTGGCGAATTTATATTCTGTGTTATTTAGTCTGTGTTTCATTAACAGCTCTCATTATGGAGATTTGAAGTCTCCTCATTGAAGCGGTTATTGGCCTATAATTTATGCATTTTTTTCCTCGTCAACCAGAAAATCTAGCTGTATCATCACCGTTATCGTCGTCCTTTCCAACCAATCTTGGACCTTTTCCTTCAATTGCTATATTTGACTTCCACGAGTTTGACTGGTATATTCCAATTGGTCTCACTTTTCAGAAGTTCCAACTTGATCAAATGTGAGTCAGCCACTCTTGTTTACGAGTGAATTAACTGTTTATATCCGCCATCTATGGGATTTGTGCTTAAATGGCAACCATATAAACGCAAATCTAATCGTACCCTTTCTTTCTATGGTTATCTGAGAATTTTTTTTCGTCCACTCTTAATTGCCACGTAAAAAATTCGTTTATCCTTTTCACAAGCACGCCTCTTCACCGAAGGAGGTGACTTAGATGGTAGACCTCCACTTTTTGGATTTGCATTTCAGACATCTGAACGACTTTGTTGCTGCAATGTAGTCAGGGTCATTTCCACAACCTAGGTTGATGCTCCTTTTCCAGCAGCTAGAAACTTCCTGGTTTTGTGTGAAATAACAGTTTCTTGTAGAGGAAACTGTAAAGAATGTGCTGCCCGGGCAATCTTGTGGGATATACAAATAGAAAGGACCATAAGAATTCTTGAAGAAAATTTCAATAATGTTCTTGACACGATTAATAGAACCACAAATCTGGGGGAGGATCAGGCATTAGTTATCGATAAATTGGATTTAGAACCTTTTTTTCCGCAGAAAATCTGAAGATGGCTACAATTTCCGATCTCAGTGACCTGTCTTCAATAGAACTATCAATATGTTAGCTTTTGCTTTAAAATCAAATCGCATGGTCTGTAAAATCAAACTGCATAGTTTAGTTCAAGGTGTCTGTCTAATGACTTGGCTAGATCTAGCATCTTGCTACATTAGAATACCATTTTTTCTTCTGAGGTCATGAGGCGGAGTCTTGGGTATCTCATATTTTCTGAGGAGAGCTTGTTGCTTTATATGCATCTGCCTTTTTCTGTATGTGACAGTCTGCCTAAAAAGTTGGTATCAAATGTACTCTTTGGCGCCAAAGGATATTAGAAAATGCTGAACCTTTTTGTCGCCGTCCTTCTATATGATGACAATTTAGCATTTCCAGAGACGGATCGAGCTTGTGCTTTTTGCAAGTGATGATTAGATCGTCTAAATATGTGACAGATTTTACTCGTTTGATGAAAAGCCCATTGCTGCTGCATCAATTGCTCAAGTGCATCACGCATTGCTGAGAGACAGACAAGAAGTTGCTGTGAAGGTTGGTCATGATTTCAATCATAACATGTCATGATCACTCTTTTTTTTTTTCCCCCTTTTCTATTCTTTTGTTCTTTCAGCCTATTTATGTGCACTTCTTTCACATCATACCTTACATTTCAACATTTTCGATTTCTCCTGATCAGTGTAGTGTGATGTAGTAACAAAACTTCATTCCGGGGATGCATGCCTTCACTCCAGCTGGTCGCCTTTCCGGATTGCACTAAATTACTTATTAACGAAATCTTTGTATACTTTTCTGTGCACCTCACCTGTGGATGACGAACTGTCATTGATTTCGCATTAAATGGCTTCTAGTTCACTAAAGACAAGATCCAAAATCTGTTCTTTATCGTAGAAGGCAGCTGTCTAATGATAAAAACATGTGCCTGGATATTTTATTTGTTATTTCTTTAGAAAGGCAAAAAATCTGCTTTCCTTTTCATCCTCGAACTACACTTTGTTCCCCGGTATCTACTCTCGTGTTTCGTTTCCACCGACACAGTTATGGCATGCCTACACTAGGTTCGCACTTCAGGGGAAATTAAACTCATCAAGGGTTAATATGTTACTAGTTTTTATACTAAAAGACTGTCGTATCCCTATCGAGAACTCTCAGAATTTTTTTATATTAGTTATCAAAGAACCTTGTGTACTGATAGACCTTTCTACTCATCGTGAACTTGCTTGAAGCTGCTATTCGCTGCTGTAGGTATTATATATAAATAAAAACCTCAGACGAGTGGACAAGCGAGTGATTACTCCACAGAATATAACCTGGCTAGTTATAGTACATTTAAGTATAATTGATAGTACAATTGCACAGAAGGTCACGTACACATTTAAGTATTAAATGATTTATAGTTTCATTTATGAGTATTTAATTATGTTGATGAAAATAGGTGCAATACCCAGGCTTACAGCAGCAGCTGACGGTCGACCTCAGAACCATGGCTGTCCTTTCAAGTTTTGTTTCACAGGTGCTTTGGCAATGTGCTTACAATAACCATGATTCGTTTTCTGTTGACCATCACTGTGAGAGGAGACGGATGAATTACCTCTTACTGTTCAGTAATCTAAAACCCTCGAAGGTACTTAAAAACTGACATCTCATCAAGAGTTTAATCGTGTTCATCTCAGATTTTCCCGGACTACAGGTTGGAATGGATGGTATCAGAGTTTAAGAGGACATTGTCTTCGGAACTCGGTTAGTAGTACATCTTCTTCCAGATTTGTATGTCTTGCCATGAACTCTGAATATCTAAACTTACACGGCGCCGAGGAGAAATTTAAATATTAGGTTTCAGTTTTTTCCTTTTTAAGGACTTAAACTATGTAGTAATTGGGGCTATGGATCAAGTGGCTGCTGTAGATTTTTTGCAGGAGGCAAAGAATGCGGAGAGGACAGCCAGAAACTTCAAAACGAAAAAGATCATCAAAGTTCCTCATGTATTCTGGGTATGTTTTCAACTCAGTCAAGTAAAGTTGACGTCTTCTGCTGATGTCTCTCTATTTGGAGCCAGAGTCAACGCCACCTAAGAGAAGACCACGTACTATTCCCTTCTCTGTTTGACCAGTTGAATACACGTGCAGGACTTGACAACAAAGCAGGTTCTGACGATGCAGTTTTTCCATGGACAAAAGGTATATAAATAAATCATCTTCATAACCTTGCTCCATAGAAATATCCGTTCATTCGTTATAATATCAGAAGGTAAATTATAAAGAATGCATTCTTTATATAATATTTATTTTAAAAAAATATTATGCAAACAACGATAAATTGTTTAACCTCCCTCTATCTTTGTAAAAGTGCTCCCTTTTCTGCTGACCATCTTCTTTTTTGGACGAACTCAATTCTGTGGCACATTTGCTAGCGTTTCTAACTATATAATCATTTCTCCCTCTTCTTTCAGATTGATGATGTGGAATTTTTGAAGGATTCAGGCATAGATCCGGGAAAGGTTTGTTTCCAGTTTAAGAAAAATAAAACTTATGAAGCTACCAACAATCTAATCCTGCTAAATAAAATGCATGACATCGTGGATAAGATTCCTTGAAACGAATGGAAATCTCAACTAACGCGTACTTGGTTTTTTTTTATTAAAAAAAAATAAAAGGGAGAGAAAAAAATTCAACCCACTGGGATCGACAAAACCTTGTCCCATGCATCTTACATCGAACACACGCTCTGATTTTCAATCCATACTAACCAGTTTCTCCTCTCCGAGTGAAGATTTCTCCTCCAGATATAAGATCCTCGCCTACAGAAAAATATTAATTTCTCGGTTTAATGTTCAGGTTGCCAAGACATTGGTAGAACTCTTCTCTGAAATGATCTTCATCCATGGTTTCGTCCACGGCGATCCCCACCCTGGCAACATCTTGGTTTCTCCCGACGGCTACCAGGGATTCTCTCTAAGTACGAGCTATCAATCGATTTCTTATTACACAGTTTTCGTTATTTAATCAGATAATTTCTGGTGTTGGGAAAATGCAGTTATTTTAGATCACGGCATCTACAGAGAGCTCGATGAGGAGTTCAGAACGGATTACTGCCGGCTGTGGAAAGCTCTGGTTCTTATGGACTCGCCAACGATTCATGAAATCGGTGGGAGATTCGGCCTGGGCCAGTATGCAAAGTATCTCCCCGTTATCTTCACCGGAAGAACACTAGAGAGGTATGCCTGATCCCATTTCATTGGCCAACTAAGGAAGTTTGACTTTTATATAAGGCATTATTTCTTTATTTAGTTAATTAGTTGGGACATGATGTTTGTGATATTCTTGTGGCAGCAAGTCAAACCTGGGGAAGCAGATGCCTGCCGAGGAGAAGAGGGAGCTGAGGCGGGAGCTGCTCGCCCTGAAGATGGGCGATATTTCCTCTTTCATGGAGTCAATGCCACCCGATTTTCTGACTGTTTTACGAACAGAGTAAGCCGATTCTCTCTCTCCTTTCCCCTTCTATACATGGAAGGTTTTCCAATCTCGTGTGATCTGTTCCAGCGGTCAACTGAGGTCCATCATGGGCAGACTCGGTGCGCCGGCGCGCGTACGATTATTATCGTACGCCAGATTTGCTGCCTGCGGCCTCTCCTCCAAGCATCGGAACGAAAATGGTGAAAATAACTATTAAAGTAGCAATTATGTCGTGCTGCTCTGTTTTATTTTTTTATTTTTTTCTTTTAGTCAACGCATGATCACTTCCTCCTCTACCTCAGCCTATCTGTTTGACCAAATCATCTCCGGGATCACAACAAGGGCCAGCTACCTCCATCTCAGGTTTCTCCTCGGTAAGCTTCCCCCCTCCCCCCTTCCCTGTTACAAGCTAGGAGCAAGCTAACCTCTCTCTCTCTCTCTCTCTCTCTCTCTCTACCAGAGATCTTGGAGCTGCTCTCGAGACTGGAGAGCTTGGGGCATTCAATTCTTGTGAAGGTCAAATGGCTTCTCCCGCGGATGGCCCACTTCACCAACTTGAGCCGCCGGACTCTCCTCGCAGATGCTCAGATGATCTGATCGCAGAGGACTTCGACCCTATTCACGCCCGAACTGGGGAGTAAACTCCCGTTGACTATTTGTTTGATTGGGCTCACCGGCCCAATTCATTTAGACTGGGCCCGGCCTGACCGGGCCCGAAACTGGCCTTCAGTCAGCAAGAAGAAGTTGACGGAAGGTGACCAATCGATCCAGAGGTCCGGGAGATTCTGACGTGGACGAACGTGGGAAAAGAGGAGGTGGCACTCTTTTCGTAGTGGGTTACCGTGGGCCATCCGTCGGCCGTTCTCTGCGCCACACCCACCTCCAGAGGGTGACGTCATCTGGGCCTTTCCGATCCTCGCTGGGCCGGAAATTGGACCCAAAAGCATTCCCTCCCTTGTCCCGTCTCTGATTCTCCCTCTCTCTCTCTTCTCTCTGTCCTCTCTCTCTCTCTGGCTGCGTTACGAGGAAGAAGAGGAGCACGGAGGCCCCGTGGGTGGGGGCGGAGGGACGTGGGGATGGCGTGACTCGCCCGCATCCTCCTAGTCCGCCGCCGGTTGCACCGGCGAGCCACCGACTCTCCGTCGTGATGCGCCGCCGCCGACATCCCCTCTCCGACGTTGCACCGGCGGAGCGTTAGCTAAGAAGAAGAAGACGCGGCGATACTTGCTTTCGCTTTCCCCGAATCGATTCGCACCGTGTCCCGTCGTCTCACTCGAGGAGGGCAAATAAATGAAATAAAAAGATGTGTGTGTGTGTGTGAGAGAGAGAGAGAGAGGGAAGAGATATTTATATTCAACGGGGTGCGGGGGGGAGGGATGGCCACAGAGAATTGTCGTCCGTACGGGGAAACTCACCGGCTGCAGCCGGTCAGCGGGAAGCCAGCCTGTCCACACGTGCTTTTCGCGCCCACGTCGGTACGTGCCAGAGCGAGAAGTTGCACTGGGGGTCTCTTATCAATGCGTGCGGAGCAAATAAAATAATGTGGGGGAGTAAAAAATAAAAGCACATAGGGGGTAATTGGTAATTATCACGGGGTGAAATTTGTGGGCAAGGGTGGAGGGGAATAAAAGTCCCCTCCCCCCCCCTTCCACCCTGGTGGGTCTTTAAGACGAGGGATTGCACTCCGACTCCCCTTCCTAAAATCCCCACCTCTCTACCTCCACCTCTCTCTCTCTCTCTCTCTCTCTCTCTCTTTACCTCAACCTCTCTCTCTCTCTTCTCTCTCTCCTCATCCCTTCTTCCTCCCCTTCCCCTCACACGCTCACTATCTGCGCGCCGCCTCCGATCTCTTGGGCATCCGTCCATGAGGATCAGGAGGAGATACCAGGCTCATCTCGGAGCTCCAGATTCGTCGTCTCTCCTCCCGTCGCCGGTCGCGGGGGCGGCGTCAGCGGTTGCGGAGCGAGGAGCGAGGGAGGGCGCGGAAGGGGACGTCGTCGCGGCGGCGGCGATGGCAGCGGGAGCGCCCGTGGCAGCTCATGTACCGGGGAGAGGAAGTGGCGGCGGTAGAGGAAGATGGTTGCACTCCAATGGGGAGCTTCTTCCCCGGTCGGTCTACGGGTGCATCATCACCAAGGCCTCCTCCAGTCTGTCGCCTCATCCGCCGCCGCCGCCGGACTCGGCGGGTGCCGGAGATGTCGAGAGGTGGGATCTCCCTCCGCTCGCGCCCCGTTCGCTCTTCCGGGACGCTCCCCCCGATCGCGGCCATGGCGGAGAGGTACTGGATAATATCCCCCATGGCCTCCTTCCTTCCTCCCTTCCTGTCTGCATCACCATCCTCATCATCCTCTCGCGTGGGCTTGTTCATCTTATTCCCGTCCCCTTCTTCCTCCCGCCTGTTATCATCATCGTCGCGAACGGTGCTCGCTTCCTCTCTCCTTGGGAGGGTGAGAGAGAGGGAGGCCTCGGATTAGCAGATCGGATCCCCTTCTGGGCCGCGGTGGAGACGCCGTTGTTGGGTGCAATGTGGCGGATCTTGTCGCCTCCGTCGCCGCCTTGGTGGGCAATCTCATCGGCCTTAGCGCCTCCTCTGCAGGCGCTGAAGCGAGAGACGGATGCGGAGAACGGCGACGACGAGGACGCTCGCAGGCGACGGAGCCCGGAGGCCCTCGGCGGCTGTGGTGCCACTGCTCCAAAGAGGTAAAATCTCCCACCCTTTCTCTCTCTAGGAAAAATTTCCTTGTCCGTCCGTCTTTTCGCAGAAAAGCAGGCTGAGGTTTTACAACTATGCATGCCCTTCTCCCTCTATCCCTCCCGTTGCATCCACATGCCGCACGCCTTCCTTGCACCCCGTCTCCTCCCTCCCTTTACCTGCTCCTGCTCATTCTCGGCGCAATCCATAGTGGATACCACTGCCGTCCAACCTAACTAGAGAGAGAGATAGAGAAGGGAAGTGAGAGACTGGGGATCTACTGGGGGATGAGGTGGGTGATGGGGATGGTAGCCTCCGTTTCCTGGGAGGGCTGAGATGTGGGGTGGGCATCCGCCATGGTAAGCAAGATGTGGACGGAGGAGATGAGAGAGATGGTGGGGAGTGGGGGGCGGGGGGCGGGGTCTATCTTCTATTTCTCTGCTGCGTCTTCTTTGTTTGATGCGTCTTTGTTTTACTATATATATATATATATATATATATATATATATATATATATATCGGTGTTCCTGTGTGCAGTTCTCTCAGCTGGGGTGCAGAAGTGTCCGTGCCGTCGGGGAGTATGGTGCCTAATGGCACTTCGCCGGCGGCGGAAGAAGCTGATGGGAGGTGGAGCGACGAGGAGGCGATCGGCGCCGCCATGCTGAAGAAGAGGAGAGGATGCAACCGCCTCCGAGGAAGGAGGCCGGTGGGCGAAGAAGAGAAGGCTGTTGCAGAGAAGGAGACGAAACCAAGGTCGGTCAAGACGAGGAGAACTGCCGCCGCAGGTACTGCTCTCGGCATCCGTCATGTTCCCGGTTGTGATGGTGCACCGATCGATGGTCGTTTCGGTGACGCGCAGTGGTCAAGGAGGAAGAAGGGAACGTAATCTCTTTGGGGAGAGCGGCAGCGGCGGACGGCGGCGGCGGGAACGGGAAGAAGAGGCGGAGCCCGGCGGTGCTGATGGAGGGTTCCCGGTGCAGCCGCGTGAACGGGAGGGGTTGGAGATGCTGCCAGCAGACGCTCGTGGGCTACTCGCTGTGCGAGCACCACCTTGGCAAGGGGAGGCTCCGGAGCGTGAGCAGCGTCCGGTGCAACGGGCGGGCGAGGAAGAAGGAGGAAGACGACGACGGCGGCGAAGCGGCGCTGCCGCGGCAACAGCCGCAAGACGAGAAGGAAGTGAAGCCCGGCGGGAGGAGGAGGAAGAAGATCGGGATGGTGAAGGCTCGTTCCATCAGTAGCTTGCTCCACCAACCTGACCTCCCAACGCCAACAGCAGTGGCGCCGCCGGAGCCATGTGCATCTCCAGCTCCGCCTAGTTGCGGAAACGATAGCACAGTGGCGTGATCCAGTGCAACTTCCCTCCTTCGTCCGCCGAGGATAGCTCAGTGGAGAAGGAGCCCCAAGGATCCCGAAGAAAGAACAACCCACCATTCGCGCTAGCTGGTAATCCTCAGACATGCCCCCCCCCGTCCCCCAACATTCCGCCGGTTAAATGGCTTCTTCCCTTCCCGCATGTTGCACCCACCATGGACGGCACTCCCGACTGAGTATACACCTCTCCACCGCCGGCCCCCACCTTCCGGTGAATTCAGAGAAGAAGAAGAAAGAAAGAAAGAACCGCCGGTGCAGTCGCCGTTGCAGACGTCTCGCCACCGAGGACGACGACGATCGACAGGTCCAGGGCGAACCCTCGTCCCCATGAACAAACCTTCCCTCTCCGAGCTGGGTATTTACCTCTCTGAAGGTATTGGGTTTTCCATGGAGGGAGAAGAGTGTGGGGGAATCTGGGGGGCAGCCGTGGAAGGGACAGTGTCCGGCGGAGAAAGGCTGCGGGGAAGTAGTATCAGTCAGTACCCTCCCCCCCTGCAACAGCAGCAAGTAAAATACATCTCTCTCTCTCTTCTTTTTCTGATGGGCGAGGCGGAGGCCGACTGGTGGATGGCATTCTCGTTATTTTCTTGATTAAGCTGGACACGCCGGGGGCTCCACTACGAGGGTCATCCCTCTAGGGGCCTTTGCGTTAAATCACATCTTTCTCCCTCTCTCTCTTCTTTTTCTGATGGGCGAGGCGGAGGCCGACTGGTGGATGGCATTCTCGTTATTTCCTTGATTAAGCTGGACATGCCGGGGGCTCCATTACGAGGGCCATCCCTCTAGGGGCCTTTGCGTGAAATCACCTCTCTCTCTCTCTCGCTCGACGCCTCCTGCGTGCTCGGGCTTTACGCCGGTGGGTGCGCTCGTAAAGGCAGGAGGGGGGGAGGAGGGGGGGGAGGGGGCTCCTCCCTGTGTGCCACGTGTTGCTGACGTGGCCACGGCGGCCTCCGAGGATCTCGCGGCTCCCTCCTGCGTCCTCTCCCCAGATTTTTGTTTGCTTCGCCCCGTGTTTTTTTTTAAAAAAAATCGTTTGGCAAACAGTGTCCCGATTCCTGTCCGGATTCCTGTCGAGTTTTCGGGGTGGGGAGCGAGAGGTCCCGTCGGCGAAGGAAGGGCCCCACTTAGCCGCCGCCGCCCCCCTCGAGTCACAGGTCTCGACCCAGTGTCCCAACTCTGACTGCTCACGTTGACCAAACGCAAGTGGACGAGCTTTCTCGAAGCAGCCACGTGGACTTAATCTTCCTATACATTATGTAATACTTTTCAAGATTCCTTATTATGACGTCATTAAGTAGAGAGAGAAAGAAAGAGAGAGAGACCCCTGATAAAAGTCAAAGTCCAAACGGTTGTCTCCCTGCTTAATCGTGAGAAGACACCAGAGTCAACGAAGCCGGCCTACCAGCTTGCTCAACCCATGCTGTACGCCCGAATCCCCTCAATCAATATCATAAAATCGTCACCACCATCGTTGACTGTACTCGATCATCACCGCTGACCGAGGTCGATGCCATCGAGAACAGCTCATCAGCGACGACCACCATTCAACAGCGCAACGTGGCATTTAATCATCACCACACAAATCGGAATACCGAGAGCGAATGAAGAGAAGATAAATGTGGAGGGCCATTGATGCCCCAAGAGTCGGTGGTCAGAACATCTTTCCGGCGCCGTCACGGCGGGGGACGGCATCTCCGACGGCCATGCGCCGCCAGTTGCCGAGCATCGGCGCCACATCCTCGACCTTGTCGTAGAGCCCCAGGAGGCCGCCGGTGTGGACGAAGAGGACCCTCCGGCCCCTCCACGCCGCCGGGTTCTCCGCCATGTCCTTCAGCATCCTATAAACTGCCTTCCCACTGCGAAATAAGGGCATCAAGTTGGATGATTTGTTCCATACCCAGTTCATGTCCGAGGGAATTTGATGCAGATCGTGAAACCCTAATCCAAATCAGATCCCAGATCTGAGGCTGGGTATGTAGGGAGAGGAACGGGGAGGAGGAGGTCTTCAGTAGAGAGAGAAAGAGAAGAGAGAGAGAGATGGAGCCAGCGTGTTAAGAGGGTTCTTCGGAGAAAGATGGTATCGGCCAGGGGAGTCGATGGGCCGTTCATGAGGCCCGGAGAAAGTTAAGACAATGGGCTCCGGCCCGAATCCATAAATGAAGCCCGGGTCCAGCTCAGCCCCTCTCATGCGTCTCTTAGAGAGAGAAAGATGAGAGAGAGAGAGAGAGAGACCCAAAAAGATTTCAGAAAACCATAAATAAAGAGTAATGAGCGGGCATTGTGGCATACCTGTAGACAGGATCGAGAACAACTCCTGTGGCTTCAGCCACTCGTTTGACAAATTTTAGCTCATCAGTGGTGCTCATGGCGTATCCAAGACCCTTAGCCTGAGAAGACACAGTAAGAAGACACTCTTTAAACAGGCTGAGCCTGGCATTCGCATACATAGTCAACGTTCTCAAATCTCCGATCACCAGAAAACTCTAAACCTGAATAGATTTATAACAGATAAGGTATAAAAAAAAAATGGAATATAGAGAGATGAATTTGCATCATTCTTTAACACATGTTTCTTTTGATGATTCTTTCATGATTCCAAGCGAGCTAATTTGTGATCGATATTAAACATGAATAGATTTATAACAGATAAGGTTTTTTTTTTTTTTAAAAAGGAACATAGAGAGGTCAATTTGCATCATTCTGGATCCACCCAAACATGCATCATTCTCTTTTGATGATGCTTTTATGATTGCAAGCGAGCTAATTTTTCATCGATATTAAACATGAATAGATTTATAACAGATACGGTTGAAAAAAAATTGGAATTTGCATCATTCTTCTTTGACAAAAAAATGCTTTTATGATTACAAGCGAGCTAATTTGTGATTTATATTTCAATTCAGGTATTATTTTTCTTGAAATAATCTCACTAGAGCACCACCCTAATGGAATTGAAATGCAATCATCTCTGAGTTAAAAACTTGAACAAAATTGATTCAATAGGGTGACCAATCCATGTGATCGTGGAGGGCACTCACATCTCTGATGTCAACCAGGTCCCTTGAAGAAAGACCCGCCTGAAGCCCATCAATCAGGCCTTGAACATAATCGTAGAAGTAGTCGGGACTGTCACACACAGAGAAGGCGTGGACCTGCATTATTTGAAGCACCCGTTATGTCAACGGGCACACCACCGATCATGCTGGGTCAAGAGAGTTCCATCGACACATACTTTTGCTTTCAATTTGCTCAGCCATGATCCCAACGATAAACCAGCGATAGTTCCTCCGCTGCATGAACATAGTGACAGACATAATAATATTAATAGTAGAATCAAGAGACATTCTCGACATTGCACCTAATCTAAACCGTGAAGCTACTCCAGAGTTTGGTTGCTAGAAGGCATGAGATGAAATGGAAGAAATAAAGAACCCGTATGCATTCAGATAAAGGTTGGACTAGTAAGAGTAAGAAAGATACAGAACACAGTGTGTTATTCACGCCCTTATATTTCTTCTACATCTAGTAGTACTTAAAAAATGATAATTCATAGAAAAGTTATTGGGTGGTATCAGTATTCTAACAAGTCAAATGAAAGAGAAGATGAACTGCCACAATATAAGTATTTTACCATGGGGGAAAAAAAGCAACGAAATAATAATAGAAACCTCCCAATTGATGGATGCTGAAGTATGCATGACCCATATGGCCAGTCTAAAGGAAAATTCTGAATGTAAAGTTTCCTATTCAGGAAAAAATTGAAGCTAGAGAGTTGAGGATGACCTGCCACATGCAACGACTATATCGTCAAAGTCAACATCACCTTGCCCCTTCTGAACTTGTTGCTCTATTTCCCGAATAGCTTCAATATAGCCCCTGAGAAAAAATTACCTACGTTAAAAGTAATAATAGGGCTCAGAGGTAATTAGATAAGAACCTGAAAAACCAAGCATTTTGGCAAGGAGATGCATACATTTTTCTAGCTTATTTTCTATCTCAACTTATTTTTATCTTCAATAATTTGGTTCAGTTTATGCATGGCTCATGATAATGAGAAAGAAGAATGATGACCAAATTCGTGGAAACTTACTATTATTATCTATCATCATCATTCACCTAGTCACTGTGATAACAAATTGTTTGTCATTCAGATTAAAAAAGGGCAAGGCTCCACGAAATGGCCATGTCCTCCACTGAATTTCAATATAACTGGCTTCGTCAATGTTTTTCAAAGCGTGCAACATTCATGCCCAGATGATAGCAGTTCTAGGTACTGCTTTAATCTCACCAGGTGCCTAGAGAATTTGAGCCACCAACAGGAATTATATATGGCTTTCTCCCTTCATTTACCAGCCTCTCCTTGAGCAAGTCAGCGAGAACCTGAACAAAATAAACCATGAGCATTATATTCCATGAGGAAACTAAACATGCATGAAACATGAAAGTTAACAGCAACAGAACATTAAATAAATAGATAAATAGGATGTAAAAGAATAATAGTATTTTTTTTCTAATATAAAATCATTTTCACTGATGAGTGTCCTTTTTTGATATTTGTACCTTGTTTTGTCACCCGGAAAGTCAGATTGCAATAGTTGATATGACCCGTCACGTCTCAAGTACTTTTCAGACAGATACAATAGTGAGGAAACCAATGTACAAAGGTTTCTACGTGGACTCGGGCATAGATGTCTGACGGCGAGATCCCCGCTCATAAGATCCAGATCATTTTAACGACAGGGACCCCTTTGCTAAGCTTATGTATGTACTTCGTAGACTGACTGATCTGACTCTATGTTTTTTGTTGCATTCTGATTGGGGAAGAATTCGTCTACTCTATCTGGGCATACAGATTGTGACTTGGATCCCACTCTGCTTACCGTGAAGCTCTTTCTGATGGGTGAGTTAAGTATGGTTCAGACCATTGCAGATTATGAATTCATGACAAGTCCAGATGAGATGAGAGACAAACCACGCTCCCGATTGCCGCATATTCTTCTCTTGAGATGAGATCGACGTGTGCTCCCACCAATCGTTCGACCAGAAGATTGCCCGTTAAACCAGGGTCGTCGTCTACCAGCCTCTGCATCAGATTAGCCGAATCGGTGAAATTTAGGTAAGGGCACCAACCATTGTTACGCGAGCGCTGCTGATCCCCTCTGCATTTACAATGGGATGATGCTGAGGAAGGACGAGGACCTTCGCGGTGCGTAATATCAGGTACGAGTCGAGGTTCAAGTATCTTGCAGCGACAGCCGTCGCACGACAATGGTTGCTCTGTATACCCCCGACGGTGACGATGCAGTCAGCTCCCTGTGCCACAGCATCGGCCAAAAGGAATTCCAGCTTCCTCACTTTGTTCCCACTCAACTGCATCCCCGAGAGATCGTCTCGCTGATGATATCCGAAGGCATTTTGTCAAGGTACAGGCAGAAAACCCAGAAAGGTCGAGCGATTCACTCCAAAACAAGAATAGGATGGGAAATCGGCTAATTACCTTAATCCAGACTTCAGTCCCTTCCGGCAGATCGGGAAGATTCCACTTGTGAATAGGAGTGGGAAACTGGTGAAGAAGGAGACAAGATGAGCACTCATCGAGAGAAGAAAGGGGATCTGCCGGAGCAACACGTCTCTCCCCGCAGGAAAAAAGGCGGCGGGGAAGAGGAAGATGCTTACATGACCGAGGTTATAGACAAAGGAGGGAACGGGGCTGAGTTGGGAAGCCCAAGCAGGAGGCTCGTAGCTTCTCCTCGCCAGGAACCCGCCGATGTAGTGCCTCGAGGCTTCCTGGTCGGGTCCTCCCGCCACCGAGGAAGACATGGAGGCGGCGAAACTCGTACGATCGCTTCCCTGGAGGCGGCGCCGCCTTAATCCCCCGCCGTGCCTGAGCCCAGTGGCTGGACCGGCGATCGCGAAGCTCCCTCCTCGGAGCAGACCGGCGGAGCAAGAGCACATTCCGACCACTGCTCCACGCAGCTCCAAGCTTAGAAGAAGAGGAAGAAAGAAAGAAGGATTATTAACGGGGCCGTCGGGCCCGGTACTTGGCCTATTGGCCCGAGTCAGCTCCGATTCGCTACCCGAACCAGCCGCCTCGCCGCCAGGGGTGATATCAACGCGGAGACCCTCCGCCGCTGGCCGTCGCTCGTTGGCTATCTGTCGGAGATCCTCGGAACCCACTTCGCAGGATCATCATGCAGGTGAGTACTCGATTCTGGGCTCGTCTCCGGCGGCGGCGATTTCGCTTACCATTGAAGGGATTTGGCGTTTCTCTGCGATCCCCCTCTTCCGTTTTCTTTCTCAGGCCATCGATAGGCTCACCATCGATTCGCAGCTCGAGCATCTCCAGGCGGAATATGTAGGGACGGGGCACGCCGATCTGAACAGATTGTGAGCCTTTTCATCTTCTCGCTCCCCCCACCAACCTGGAACATACAGAGTCGGTCAGAATTTTCTGGAAAATGTGCGCGAACATCCTCCGATGTTCTTCAGTGGGTGGGCGGTGAATATCCAGCGAGACAGCTACGCATCGTACATCGGCCACTATCCTCTCCTGTCGTGCTTTGCCTCGGCAGAGAACGAGTCCGTTGGGTGGGAGCGCTATAATTTCATGCAGGTGAAATAAGCTTCTCTAGTACCTTCCCTGCAAGCTATCCTTTGACTACTGTTCATGCTCACCAGTCGTTGTCGAAGCCGAGCTAACTTGATGAAGCTACCCTTTGTGAAATTTGCGCGATTTTGAATCTCGCGCAGCTCTTCTCCTAAAACTTTTAATGGTTTCTTCTCCTTGGTTCTCTGATTCAGGGCTCAGGGATGAGCTCGTCTTGTGTGCCCTTCTGCTAGGTTAAGTGGGATGCTGTCACACACAGCAAAGGCCCTTGCTAATTGCTGAAAAAAATTATGCACACCCATTTCAGAATATTTTCGGGCCATTTTCTGCACCTTCACATTTGAGAAATTGTATTCATCTTCCCGTCCGATTACTTTCATCAGATTTTGCTTTTAAAAAAAGTTACTTGACAATTTTTTTCCAGACATTCGAAGTTGTGGAATATTTTTTTACTAGGACCATGCAGTAACATCATTTTTAATCCATTTGATTTAGATTGCTGTTCTCTCTGCAACGATTATTATGATGGGGCAACCATAATTATCAGCATTGGACAATTGTTTCTCGAAAATGTATTATCTTTTCAAGAAAACGGACCACAGATTATTTTTTTTGCCAAAGTTATAATTTTTCATGTTGACTCCTCCCTTACACTTGATTAGGGGCATTAAACCTCTCCTAATCTCCCGTAGTAGTTGAATAATAGAGAGATCAGATACCAATCTGGTCTGAGTTGACAACATTACATCCATGGATTGTGATTTTTATGCTTTCACTTGTTTCTCTCCTGATTACATCCATGGATTGGAGCTGTGGTCCTCGTTCTTCAGTTTTAAGTGTAAACTAATCTCGAATATATATCCCAAGTAGTCCTTAGGAATTGCGATATGTAGACAAGAACAGGACTATACAAGATAAAACATAGATCTCTAGGTGCATATGGGATCTATCCGTCGTAGTAAGATGTTTTTTTATTATTATTATCCCTTGTTTCTGCTCATTTGATGCTTCAAATAAAGCTTCTTCTATGATCCACGCATCTTGTATCAGCTTACATGACAAAAACAAGTGAAGCAGTTGCCTTGGCTTATCTCATCAACATCTAGCACGCCAGTATCTTCAGCCTGTGATCCCGGTATAGTGCAAGGAAACCGATTAGGGTCTTATTTGCCATAATTAGAAAAAATGGTCGTAATTATTTGGAAGATTACCTTAACTTTTGCTGTATTTTTACCATCATCATGATCAGTCGAATCGGTGGGGCTTCTCCAGGACGATGCCAAGGCATGCATTCCATGACAGAAGGTGTTGCTGCCCTGCGGTCTCCCACCGGAGAGGGAAGGAGACTGAAGGAAACAAGGACTCTTCTGGTATCTCTCAAGCAACGATGCCCGTCGTAAGCTGAACTCCGCAGTTCTTGGAGAGCCTGACGCGAGACTGTAACGGGGGCCCTTCACGGCCGACGTGGGACCATTCCGATCTTTCATGGATTCATGAGCGAGGAACGGGAAACGGTGGGCGCGGTTCGTCGCAGTTTTCTTCCTGGAAATTTCAGTGGATGATAAAATGGGGAGGATCTCGATCTCAGATGCTCGGATTTTAGACTAATGAGCCGTTTATGGGTCTCTTTTTGTTCTGATTTCACTTGGTTTGACTGAAGATGGTGCATCAGCTGTCGTCTCGTAGCCTGGAGCCGCCCAAAAGACGGCCTGTGGGTAGCAAGGTCAGACCCTGCCGGACACGTGCGCACACCGTCCCGGCCCGAGTCAACCCCTCGTCCATGTAAGAACGCCGAAAATCCCCGGAATCTATTCCGAACGCAGGAGAGAGAGAGAGAGAGAGAGAGAGAGAGAGAGAGAGGACCATCGGGTGATCCGTTGTAGCAGAGGACCTCAAGCTCGACACCGCTTGGTCAACCGCCGGCAGTCGCCACATCAGTTCGTTAATACTGACTGACCACATCGATAAAGCGGCTGCGGCGATAGTGAGAGAGAGCAAGACCGGCGGTAGTCTGGTCTTCATGCTTTAAATCCGATTGGCATTCTCCTTCACGGTCACCCGCCATCGATGAGAACGAGAGAAGGGAGAGAGAGAGAGATCTTTGAGAGCATTTCTTCGTCGTCAAGAACAGACGTACGAAATAGATCAAGCCATGACGCTATCATGGTCAATGGCGTATCCAAGAGAAGCTGATATCGTGCCTGCAGATGGAGACGAGACTGGTTGCACCGTCGTTGTTGGCGTTGGAAGGTGGGGCTGGTGTAGAAGGCTGCTGATGGAGCGAGCCTTCACCATCCCGATCTTCTTCCTCCTCTTGCCGGCCTTCACTATCTTCTCTCCCGGCTGCAGGGTGGGTGACGGCGGCGCCGCCGTCTCCTTCTTCCTCCCCCGCCCGTTGCACCGGACGCTGTTCATGCTCCGCAGCCTCCCTTTGCCGAGGTGATGCTCGCACAGCGAGTAGCCTACGAGGGTCTGCTGGCAGCATCTCCAGCCCCTCCCATTCACGCGGCTACATCTTGAACCCTCCATCAGCACTGCCGGGCTCCGCCTCTTCTTCCCCGACGGACCCGCCGCTGACAACAGAAGCCCTCCCTCCTCCTTCACAATGGTAGCTGTTGCACCGCCGCCGCCGCCGCCACAAGTATCGTCCGTCGCTGCGGCGAAGGTAGATCTTCTCCTCGTCCCGTAGGACATCGCTTTCGATTCTCTCTCTATCAGACCCCCGTTCTCGACCAACGCCTTCTCTTCTTCCTGTTCATCCTCCGCCCCATCGTCTTCGTCACCTCCCGACCTTGTTCCTCGAATAAGGAAACCTCCTCGTCTCTTCTTCAGTGGAAACTCCTCTCCGACTCCAGCGAGCGGCATCTGATGCTCCCCATGACCAACTGGTACTTCAATGGACTCTGCACCGAAGCTGAGAGGCACATGTAGGAGTTTATATGTTGCAAATGGGGGACCCTCACAAGCCATACACAGACAAAACTCCTAACACCCAGCACGGTCATCCTAGCACAAGGTCAGTTCATGCTCTCTCTCTCTCTCTCTCTCTCGCTCCTCTGATGATGGGTATTTACGACAGAAGAGAGAAGATGATAACTCTAAGGAGCAAAGAGAGTAAAAACGGGGGTGCAGGTGCAAGGGTTGAGAGAGGGGCCGTCCATGGCCGGCGCAGGCGCCAGGCATGCATACCCCGCAAGACTCCAGGCTTCTTTCCGGCCGCAAGATGAAATTATTTCCTAGAGAGAGAAAGGAACAACGGTTTACCTCTTTAGGGCAGTCGCCCCGCCGCCGCCACTTCGAGCACCCACGCTGCTGCGCGTCCGGCGAGCACCCCCATCCCCAGCATTCTCTCCCTCCTGCAGGAGTAGGACCCCCCAGCTCCGTGAGATCGGGCCATGGAGGCGACAGGATCCAGCACATTGCACCCCGCCCGACTTCGCAGAAGGGGATCTGATCCACTCGCACGAGACATCCCCGCGTGGGAGCAGCGGGAGGGAGAGAGATAAACAAACCCAAGAAGATGATAATACTAATAATCTTTTCTAGTGTCACCAAAACGACAAAGGTTAGTCGTGCAGGTCCGCCCGAGGAAGAAAAAAGGAGATCAGATGAACAGATATACAGCCGGATACAGATGGGGAGTCGGTTTCGAAGTACCTCTATCTCTCCCCACGGCGGCAGATCTACCCTCACACCTTCCGCCGCCGATGGCGGCTCACCGGAGGGCAGAAAAACGGCGGAGAGGCACTGAGGGGGCTGGCCAGGGATATGCCGATAAGCGTGGTGCAACTCTCCTTGTCCCTCCTCACAGCAACTACGAGACGCCGCCACTGCCGCCGCTGCGGCGGCCTCTCCTTCCTCGCCGCCCGTTGCGGCAGCTCGCGACGCCCCCGCTTCGGACCCTGCTGGTGCAGACGGATCTGGGCCTCGGAGGGGATTCTGGTTTCTTTTTCTGATCCTCATGGCGAGAAGGAAGAACACGCTTGGATGTCTCTGTAGAGATGGGTCGAAGAGAGGAAGACAGAGAGAGAGAGAGAGAGAGTGATAGAGGATGGGATGAGGTGAGATAGAGATAGAGAGAGAGAGAGAGAGAGAGAGAGAGAGAGAGAGAGAGAGAGAGAGAAAAGAAGAGATTTTGGGGAAGGAGGGTGCAGCTCCTCATAAAGGGCGGGGCAGAAATGGAATGTTTTTTTACTCACCCCCCCCCCCTCCGCCCCTTAATTAATGAGGGTTCAAGGCCTAAACAAGGAAACTATTAAGAGCAATTTTCCGAATGGCACGTGCGGGCGCCTGCGGCACGCTCGGCCCGCACGCAAGTGTACAGCCTGGCAGCAGCAACCGGCTGCAGCCGGTGGATACATAAATACGTGTGCATCTGGGATATAATAATCCGTAATGCCGTTGTTCGCTCTTCTGAATTTTTTATCTAAAACTGGGGCCCCACGACGAATTATTTCATATTTAAATAAATGGATAAAAAAGTGAGGCCAGGGGAGCGGAAGGAAAAGGAGGCGGGGCTTCTCATCCTCAGCTCGGCTCAGCTCAGCTCGGCTCGACTCAGCTCAGCTCGGCTCAACGCTATGTAGGCGGCTAGTTATTAACTTGGGCCAGACGTTGCAATTGGCCCAGTCCATTCAGGGCCCACTAGGTAGCGCCATCGCGCTGCAATTTTGGTTGCTGGCCAAGGCTCGGGGCTATACACGGGCTGCTCAAGTAGGTTTTTTTTTTCAGAATATTAAATAAATTTGATTCTTTTTACTCTCCCCATTAAATCCTCTGTTAATAATATCTAGAGACCCTTTAATCAATCTAATTTTGCATCTCATACCTTCCAAGATAATATATTAATGCATCACAAATACTTGGGGGCTTTTATGAAAAATGCCTATCAAGTCATTGATGGAAGAGCTAAATGACGTATGTTTCTATGGAAAAGAAAATTGAAGCAAACCTCTTTAAGATCTAATTTGGGAGATCTCAGACCTCCAAGTTTGCAATGTACATTTGCCAACATAAGATCAAAGACACCATTTGACCTGACGTGACCCACGTTGACTTTTAGATTGTCCAACATCAGAAGAGCAGCGGTTGAAAGTGTCATGGAAGTGAATGTTACGCCACCATTGATGAGTTGACTGTTGAAACCGTTCCTTGAAGGAGAACCCCTCTATATGCAGCAGCATTGACCTTTTTGGAGATTCTAAGTGCATAAGTCAAAATTCGATTAACTTCGTTGGGTTGACTACCCTTTTAGGGGGACTTAGAATCCAAGCAGATGATCATCACCGACCTTTAAGCGATTCTAGGTAGATCGTCCATTAATCCATCTTCACTGGCCGAGATGCCCATCACCTTTCGCATCATACTTGATGCCTTAAACTCTCATCTAATCTTTTATACTTAAAATTATCTCAAATATTTTGTCGATCTGCCCAATTCCATGCGGGCCTCAGAGGTTCCAAGGCTAATCTCCTTGTAGCCAAGAACTAGTCGTCGGCCTCGATGGCTTCCCGTGATGATGTTAGAACAAACTTACCATTGTACCCACTGTTCTAATGCGCGTGATGTCAATAAGACGAGCCTATCTAATTTGGAAACCCTACTGCACGGATGAAGGAGCACTAGCCACTTGTCATTGCACGATTAGTGGCACATCTGGGCTTAGAACCCTAATGCTTAATTGGCTTTAAATTTGGAAAAAATAGAAACCGTCAATGATTCTCTCCTCCAAGAAGTTGTCTTGCCATTAGGTGGCGGAAGGTCACAGAAACGGTCAATGCACTGCCGTAACCAAGTCACTTGCACATTTGGGTGGCGTACAGACGCGTGCACTGAAATCACTTGCTGTTCGCACGTAAACATCTTAGAGCGGGTGGGAAAGTTGGGGAGGAGAGAGAGAGAGAGAGAGAGCGTAGTCGAAGATGAGGTCACTCCGGGGGGCCTGGTTTGCCATTTGGAATGTCGTGAGGAAAGGGAAGTCTGTGGTCACGCGTCCTTCCAAAATTATTACAAGCCGCTGGTGAGACGCACGTCAGAGAGAGGGACATGAACGAAAGCAAACACCAACGACACCATTCGACGTTTTGATTTCTCGTCACCCCACGGTGTCGGCGGGGGCCCCGTCGTCACGGAGTGGCCCCCAAGGCGGCCGGGATGACAGGCCCATCTGAAAGCCTTCCCACTCCGTGGCCAACGGCGAGAGGGGGCAGAACCTTAGGCGCGGTTAGGATTAACCAGCTTATCCTCGCCTCAGCTCCGGCTTTTAGTCTGATGACTCTCTCTCTCTACCTCTCTCTAAAGATCTTGAAAATCATCGGAACCCCCCTATTGCACTTGTCACGGAGCTCCATTGTTCCCGAACTCTCCTCTCTCTCTCTCTCTCTCTCTCAATCAGAAGATGTTTAAGACCGTCGGCCCGCGGAGAAACTTGATACCTGCTAAGGGAGTTTATCCCTAGCCGGCCCTCACGAATGACGCTCACCATTTCGACTGCTGGATTATCTCGGATAAACTCGGATAACCCAGCATTTTTCCAGTTCTAACCGGTTATTAAACCGCTACATAGGGTTCGGGGGTACATTAGAGGGGGGTGGAGGAAGGAGATCTCCTCACCGGTGGCTGGTCGGAGACGAGAGGATACGAATGCGGGCGGAGAGGTCAGGCCCAGTCGGTAACGTCGAGGACACCTGGAGGCGGCTGCAACGGGCCTTTATGAGGTCTCTTCACACGCGACTCACGGGCACAGTGCATTATGTCAGTCCCTGTGGACCGGTTCTCTCTCTCTCTCTCTCTCTCTCTCTCTCTCTGACACACACACACAAGCAAAATTGTTTAACATCATCGGGGCCTCTCTCTCTTGTCATGGAGGTCCAACAAAAGGTTTCATTTATGTCTGTCTGTTTCCCTAAAGCTGCTTAAGATTGACGCGGCACTTTTGCTCTGTCCCTGGAGGTTCAATTATAGTCTCTCTTTCTCTCTCTTTCTCTCTCTCCCTCTCTATCTCTAAAGATCTTGAAAATCATCGGAACCCCTCTATTGCACTTGTCACGGAGCTCCATTGTTCCCGAACTCTCCTCTCTCTCTCTCTCTCTCTCAGTCAAAAGATGTTCAAGACCGTCGGCCCCCGGAGAAACGTGATTCCTGTCTCTCTCGCTAATAGGCCCACGAAGTTTTTCTTTCGGCTTTGAACAAAGTTGGAACTGTCCTCTATCGACATGCACGAAATATAAATCAAATAGGAAATGACGGTCATCCTCCTGAAAGAATGCATTCTCTAGATCTACCCATTGTCCATCAACCACGACCCGTTTCTTGCTCACACTCGAACCTGGACAAGCTGGCTGCTCACGTCCTGTCAAATCATTCTCATCTCCCGAATTTTCTACCGTCCAAGAAAACCTACTCGTGCCTCGCGGGAGGATCAGTGCTAAAGTTTAGCAGGGAACATGCTCTCTCTCTCTCTCTAAGGATCTATAAGGGCATCGGACCCACTTGTCGCTCTTGTCATGGAGCTCCAGTAAGTGGCCGAATTCTCTCTTCTCACTCTAAATACAAAAAAGATGTTTAAGACATCGGCCCCCAAAGAAACCCAATTCCTCTCTCTCTCTCTCTCTCTCTCTCTCTCTCCGTCTCTCTCGCTAATAGGCCACCACTGGGAACCAAGTTTTTCTTCGGCCTTTGAACAAGGTAGGAACTGTCATCTATCGACATGCACGGCATACAAAATCCAATCGGAAATGACGGTCATCCTTCTGGAAAAACGCAGCCTCTAAATCCACCTAATGTCCACCAAAAACGACCCGTTTCTTGTTTGCACTCCACCCTTTTGGAAAGCATGTGAAGGACAGGCTGGCCGCTTACGTCTCCTGTCAAGTCATTCTCATCTCCTAAATTTTCCACCGTCGAAGAAAACCTAATATGGCCGTTCGGGAGGATTAGTGCTTCAGTCTAGCAGTGAACATGCTCTCTCTCTCTCTCTCTCCTCTCAGTAGAAAGAAGGAGTTCATCTAGTGCTGGCCAATCAGGGAGGTTTTCCCCCATCAGGTTACATCAGACATCAGGGACGGCGGCTCCGCAACTGACTTACGACCGCAGTCTAAGTCTTCGCACCTATCAACTAGACAAAATAGGTTTCCAAGAAGTCGAATCTTCCTCCTCGAGATGCCGCTGTTCGTCCTCTTCTGACCACCGCGGGACTGCAACCCTCGATTTCAGCCACCGGACTGAAGATTATCTATCATCTAACATGATCTCTCTTCGAAGATATTGATCACCAGACCCGCAGGAATCTAGCCAGGAATCGGTTAGCCAGGTAAATCGCAATCGTTGGGCACGTCATGCATCAACCCCGGTGGAAAATCTATCCAAAAGCTCCGTTGGGCCTACGGAGCTCCGGTTTTCCACGATGCGAGTCTATTGCTCGCTGCCTCCAGGAGCCGCTACACGATTAGTTCACCTCCCGGTCGTCTCTACATGCCGAAAGAGATCAACAAACAGCGGCCCATTCAGAGGGTCGCACCGTCCTCGTTTCCCCACGAATACAATATACCAAGGGTTCAACGCCTTCCGTGGGAGGCTCGAGAGCTTCGAATCTCCGCTCGAGGCCACTGATGATGGCAAAACCTCGGCCATATGGCCCTGTTTGATCACATTTCATGAATTCAATCGGTTCATGTTACATCCGGAAGGATATACCACACAGGGGATAAGATCTTCCATCTCGTGAACGAAGAAGCTCGGTCAACGTCTGTGAGGGCGAGCTGTGCGACCGCGACGTCATCCGTCGGCAGGGTGGGGCAGAGGAGGAGCCGGTTCCTCTGACCCGGCGCAGGGTTCCCGGGGAAGGGAGACTCCCCCTCCCCCCTCCCCCCGTGCACAGGCCATGGGACGCGCTAGGCCGGTCAACGTCATATTTGCTGAGTCTGGTGCCTGCCCCTCGGGGTTTAAAAAGTTGTAGCCCAACTCGGTGTCCCCGGCTTATAGCATTCGTCTGAAGGAGACTGCGAACTCGTCTTCTAGATCTTCCCCCTTCTTCTAGGGCACCTTTCGAAGCCCGTGGAAGGTCTGCCACAGAAAACATTGGTGTATAACAAATAATCGAGACGTAGATGTAATATACGGAATCAGCGCGGCTCCACGAAGAGATCCCGAGATCCCCAACACCTGGCTTCGTCCTCCGACGTCGTTTGATAGGGAACGGAAGGAGCGGAGGAAGCAGCGGACAATGAACACATTTTACTTTGAGAATGATGGGATGATCGGGACGCCGGTTACAGGTTTGGTCAACACGCTGAAGTGGCCTCTTTTCGTGGATTTTCGTTGCATTAACCCGGCGTGATATAAATCCCATTGAAATATCCTATAAAATCCTGGCCAGCCAAATAAAAGTCAACGGACAAGGAGAGAAATAGCCCAGTAGACCTTTGCCACTTACGACGTCGTGTTGAAAACATCATGTCTGTCGTATAAAATCGATTTGGAGGCGAGTTGCATGGGCAGAATTTTATATTATCACAGTGTTTTGATTTATTCCTACCAATTTGGCATGTTCTTCCTTCTGAGAGAAGTTTGAGCGGCCCCTCCAGAGTCAAATCTTTGGATAAGTCAGCAGCCAGACCATAATCTTCTGACCCGAAATAGACCCGATTTGGCTGAGTCGCCTTGCTCGACGTAAAGCTTGGAAGGGAACTCCAAGGTCACGAGCTTGAACCCTATTCAAACCATTATTTAACATTCCTTTCGTTGATCGTGGCCTCTCCTTGGTTGACTAGGTAAACGAGTTGGACAGGCCAGTTCAAATGACCGCGTAGCTTGTCTTCGCGCATGGTATGAAGCTGCCTGTTAGTGTGATGAAGTCCGCGCCGGGCACACGCCTCAATTGGCTGCTTGTTCCCTCCCTGCTTAACCCTGAAGAAATTATAAACCAAGTGGGAGAGAGAGAGAGAGAGAGAGAGAGAGAGAGAGAGAGAGAGATTCCGCCCACCTAACGTTCTCTTACGACCGGGCACCGCCCGAAGGCAGAGACAGCGGCAGACAGATCCTACGAGTATCATATCGCCTTCAATGTCAATACAACGAAGAGCGGACGAGAAAAGGAAGGAGCCATTGTTGAGAAAGTCGAAGTTATGTATTTTCTACTATCCCGCCGAATCTTCCTTCTCTTCTCCCTTCTCTACCAAGTCTCCACCCTTTCCCACCGCCTTTCTCTCTCTATAAATACCTCACGGTGTCGAGGCATGTTGTGAAGAAGACGAAAGCCAAGGATCACAAACCGCACTCTTCCATTCTTTGTCTTCCCTCCACAGCAAACCCGAGCAGATTAGGAGGCCATGGCCTCCCCACGAAAGCTTTCTTCTCTTCTCCAGGCTGCAGCTCTCTTCTTGGCCATGCTACTCCACGGGTGCAATGCCCAGCTGAGCACCAGGTTCTACGATAGCTCCTGCTCAAACCTGACGAGCGTGGTCACCAACGTAATCCGACAGGCACAGAACTCGGACCCCCGCATCCACGCCAGCCTCATCCGGCTCCACTTCCACGACTGCTTCGTCGATGTAAGGCTCTCCCTCCCTCTCTCCGACCTCACCTTCCTTCAGCGGTTGGGTGCTCTCCATGCGATTCTGGCTTTAGGGGCACCATCACTTCCGTCTCCGCTCTCGATGATCTCATCTGTTAAGGTTCTTTCTGGCTTCCTCTAGGGCTGCGACGCCTCCCTCCTGTTGGACACCAGCGGAAGCATCCAGACCGAGAAAGACGCGGCGCCGAACCAGAACTCCGTCCGTGGCTTCGATGTGGTGGACGACATCAAGACGGCCGTCGAGAACTTCTGCCCGGGGATCGTCTCCTGCGCCGACATCTTGGCCCTCGCCGCTCAGATCTCCGTCTCCGAGGTGATTGAGCTTCTGCATGTCGGGTTGACCGAGATGTTCCTTCTTCCCTCCGAGTGAGCCGTCAACTTTGACCCACCGAAACCAAGTTCGAAAGAAGACTGACATTAAAGTGCACTCGCCATGCAGGCAGGAGGGCCCTCCTACACCGTGCCGCTTGGAAGGAGGGATGGAACGACGGCGAACCCGTCGGGAGCCAACAACGCCCTCCCCAGCCCCTTCGAAGGCCTCACCTCCATTCAGTCCAAGTTTTCCGCCGTCGGCCTTGACGACACCGACCTGGTCGCCTTGTCCGGTGAGCCTTCCTCGTCTCTCCCTTCTTCTTCTGCTTCTTCTTCTTCCTCCAAACCTCTCATCGTTTGACTTTCCCCTTCGTGAATACCTCGTTGCAGGCGCCCACACCATTGGGAGGGCACAGTGCTTCACCTTCAGCGGGCGCCTCTACAACTTCAGCGGCACCGGGAGCCCCGACCCCACGCTGGACACCAACTACGGCGACACTCTCCGGCAGTCCTGCCCCCAAAGCGGCGGCGGGTCAACGCTGAACGACCTCGACCCGACGACCCGGGACGCCTTCGACAACAACTACTTCACCAACCTGCAGAGCAACCGCGGGCTGCTGCAGTCGGACCAGGAGCTCTTCTCCACCAGCGGCGCCTCCACCGTCTCCATCGTCAACAGCTTCGCCAACAGTCAGAGCACCTTCTTCCAGAGCTTCGGCAACTCCATGATCAACATGGGCAATATCAGCCCCCTCACCGGCAGCAACGGACAGATCAGGAGTGACTGTAGGAGAGTCAACGCCAGCTGATCAGTACATGTTCGACATCTACGCGTCGTAGTGCTACTAAAGCGACGGGAGTTTGTGTTCTTTAAGGGTGGGTTTCGAAGAATAAATGGATCGAGCCCAGGTGCAGGTCCAAATCACGCTGTTGACCACCGTCCCAAATGCTAAGGTTCAAGTGGCCTACCCACCTCAGGCCTAAAGCTCTCTCTTCTTTGGCGTCTGTCGGAGATCCGCTGATGTCTCTGTGCTGAGCTTTGTTCTAGGGTTTGTTTTTTCTCGGAGAGATTATGGATTATCGAAGTTTATGTTCCATGACTTCTCTTTGCTCGTGCATGGGAGGAGTCGACGACCCAACGTGTCACAAAAATTAAATAAAATTTAAAATCATGTGATATGAATATTTACTTATAACCATACCTGCTTGTTATGTGTCGAGGTTAGTGTGAGGGCCTCCGAAATTAATTTTAATTTCGGAGGCCCTCACACTAGGATATGTTTATTTTAATTTCATACTAACACCGCTCAAATCATACATAACTATTGTTTCCTACTGAAGGAATATACGATGGATATTAAAATACTTTTAAATACAAGTATTTTAAAAATATTATATAATAGCCCTTGATGGGTTAAAGAGGAGCGAGAGAGAGAGGGGGAGAGAGAAAGCAACCATGAGTCTCAATATCGCAAGAAAAAAATTATAGCATGAGGGAAGTTTAGGCTTTTCAAAATCAGATTCATATTAACAGGCCTCGACTAAGGTGAATTATGCTCCCTCCAACAAGGCAATATTACTTCGTTTTTCAAGTATTAGCCCGAAGACCCTGAAGAGCGCGGTGAGAGTTGATACAAGCCTAAGTTTTATGGTTAATATTTGACTATTTTTCAGCTAGTTTTGAGCCGTCCTTCTTAATTATTTAATTTCCACATAAAACACAAACAGTTGTGAGAAAGGAATCCGATAAAACTCTGTATGCGCAGCGCCCATCTCTCTCTCTCTCTCTCTCTTTCTCCCTCTACTTCATCTCGCAGCATCTGGGTACCCTTGAAAACCTTTCAATATTGTCGCATATTTAATGTACGTTCCAAGGTGAAAAAATAATAGGGCTAAAATGCGATCTCATAAAATGATCATAAGCAGTCCCTTTCGACCGGATGTAACAGGCCACACAATGTGGGCTTCCTTCCCCATGAGGCCCGTCTTCCCCCGGAGCTGCTGACTTTTAGTGGCAGTCCTTGGAGAGAGAAAGACCAACCCTACGCTCTCGAACTATAGCGGCTGCGATCGCCACCGCGAGGGGCCTACGTAGAACCCTAAACCCGGCAAGGGGTCACACCAGGGGATGGAGGGGCTAAGCCTCAGGTAGACGACCATGGAGTGCTTCAATGCGAGGGGGCCCCGCTATCACCGCCCTCGTCCTACCTCCTGGTAGGGATGAAGAAGCTCCTAGAGCCCTCCCCGCGAGCAGCGAAGGGAGAGAGACTGCACGCAGTAAGAGCATGATGTGATGTGGGGGCTGGCGGAGTATCCGGCGAGTTGATAGCGGCCACCGCCCGCCGGCCGCGCGCGAGCATGGGGGCCGACAAGATGATGATGATGATGATCGTCGCACCCGTGCATGGAGGGAACGAGGGGCCGCAACAACCCTGCCGGCTCACGTGCCGTCTCTTGTCCCCTCCCCTCCGCCGCTATCGCCTGTTCTGTCCTGCTTCGTCGCCTGCCCTTCTTTGTGCCGCCCCCCCCCCTCCTGCGCCACCAGAGAACAGCTGGTGCTGGGGAAGGTGGCGACGTCGTGTAGCAAACATGCTTCCCCTTGTTTTCTTCTTACCCCATGGAGGAGGTTCCTTGGTTGCTGCCGGCGGCGAGGAGGGAGAGGAAAGGGGGTCTGCCATTGCCACCACCGCGGCTGGGGCTTCGCGCCGCTGTTCTGTCTTTCCGCTGCCGCTGCCGCTCTGTCTCGACTGCCCTCGCTCCTCCCCAAATCGATATCATTGCTGCAGCAAGCATTATGATTGACCACACAAGAGAGAGAGAAAGAGGCAGAGAGAGAGAGAGACGTAGCTGTCAAGTCTTCCCCATCTCCATGCCGAGAAAGTCAGTCCTCCGCCCCCCTCGCCGAAGCCACAGCAACGCGACTCCCAATCTCGCGAGGACATCTCTATCCCTCTCTCTCTCTCCAACCCCCCCCCCCAGACTTTCTCCGCATGCCCCATCATTACTGTCGTCTTCTTCCTCACTAGTAGCTGTTCTTGTCTCGCCGACGTGACGGTACGGAGATGGGAGGGGCTAGGGGCCCCCCCGGCGGAGGATGATGGCGGCGATGATGGCCGCGCCGCCCGCCATTGCCCAATCATCCTGTCGAGTTATACAGCAGATAAGACAGCCCGCCCTCTCTCCTCCGCCTTCTCCGACGAGCCCTTTCCTCCGCCAGTCAGCTCAATCATAAGGACGACGACACCCCAGCGAGCACCTACGAAGCTACACCGCCGCCCCGCCCCCCTTTTAGTCGGCGCCACCGCAACGGTCAGATCAAGAACGGTCCACTCGCCGCACAAGAAGATTTCCGCAAAAGATCCTGCGGCTGACTTCTGACGGCTCCCCCCCCCCCTCCGCGCACCGTGGGTATTGACTGCGGGTCAAGCCTCGATCTGCTGTCTCGCAGATCAAGATTTCGCTGGTCTTGGACATGAGAGAGAGATAGGGGTGATGACGTCATATACCACGTGTCAGCTCGGCGGCTTCCGCGCCGCCCCGACCGATGCAGATCCGGGAGATCCGCCATCAGGACCTTGCGAAGCCGTCGGATCCTTGGTCCAGACAATAGCGGCGGCCATTAACAATCCACCACCAGCAGTGAAGTTGACCAAAATGCCCCTATGGGCAGGCCGAGCCGAGGGAGACAAAATGGGTATTAATCTGGCTTTTTTTTGGTGAAAAATTTCCTCCTGATGAGGGGCGGAGGACCACTCAATCAGCGGACCATAATTAACGGGTCCACGAAAGGTGTCACCACGGACCGTACTAATGATTGCCTGCGGCGCGTGTCCCCTCGCGCGTGGACAGCTGTCGCGCCGACCGGCGGCTAGCCACGTCGTCCCTCGACCCAATGGCCGCCACGTAGACCCGTGCAGTCACGTGACCCGCCTCCTCCTCCGCCTGTCTATTTAATCCATTCTTCAATAATGCAAACGGAATGTAGGCTGCTCGGTGCAGTGGGCCAGGCCCTCTGTGGGCCCCGCTCCCCCCTCGGTGGGGACGTGCGCGTGATGTCAGAGGATAACGAGAGCAATGATACCGCCTCCCCTCCCCCCCCCAAACCGGTGCCCTCTCTCTCTCTCTCTCTCTCTCTCTAACCGTGAACGCCGGGATGGTTCGGCCGCCGATGGGGAGAACCGAGGGGGGGGAGCGGCGGCGGTGGCGCTTGCTGTGGGTAGGAAGCTCTTCAATGTCTGGAACCGGAGAGTAAAATAACACGTCTCCGCCGGAGAGGGCAGGTGGCGGCGGCTCCGCCACCGATCGCCGGCGGAGCTACCTCGCGGGTCTTCAAGGAGAACCATCCCCACGAGGGCGGGGCAGGGGCCGGTCACGGGGCCGGGCCCGGCGGCGAGAGAGTAAATGAGCTCACGGCCACCGCTGCAGCTTCTCCCGTGCCGCCGTACCGCGCGCATTCACTGCTCAGCTCCGCCGGAAGAGGTCAGCGGCAGCGAGGCGTCCGGCGGGGGAAGCTGGCGGGGAAGCAGCTGCCGAGCACATGGCGGCGGCACGCATGGAGGTGGACAGCCATGATAGAATCGAGACGGGCGAGCCCGGCAGCATGATGGGATCATCGAGCTGATGATACAGTGTATGATTTCTGCCGCAAACATTGCTATAATCGAATGTGGGAAGCGAAATCGATGAAACCGATCGAGGAAAGGTCTGATTTTTTTTACTATTAATATGCGGGTTGTTTATGATTATCGGCGGTAGTGTTGTCTAATTCCAGGGTCACGTGGGCAGTTTGTCAACCACGAGCGTCGGTCAAACTCGGTGGGGGCGGTGGGTAATCGATTTCCAGTGGAAAAGCGCCGAGCTTTGTCCTGCCGGCCCCGCCCGCTATAAGAACCCTAATGAACTGCTTTTCTTCGCCAGTCCACGCCGATCTTAGGGAACTGGTTTTCGATCGGCGGCGCTTTTCTGGGGGGTACATACTTTTCTTCTGATCTGAACCCGTCGGTGGCATGGAGCTGGGGTTGAGCTTGGGGGAGGCGCCGCCGGCCAAGTCCTTTGCTCCGGCGTGGAAGCGCGGGCGGGCCGGCGGCGGTGAGCTCCGGTTGGGCTTCTGCGTTGGGTTCGGAGGAGAGAGGGAGGCGGCACCGGCGGAGAACGAGGAAAGAGCGGAGGAAAGGGGACGGTGGCGCCCTTCTGTCGATCCACCGGTGCAGCTGGATCTCCTCCCCTTTTCTCCCATCACTCGGTTGCCTACTTCTTCCTCCTCGCCCCCGAAACTGGATTTCCCTTGGCCGCTGGCGTCGAATGGTGAGGGTTCGTCGTCCTCCCGAGAACGATCAAGGAGCTGCTCCTCTTCTTCTCTCCTCTAACTTGTACCACTATCTCCTCCCCAGATTCCGCCACCCCCTGACCTCCTATTACCCTTTTCATGGCGATTCCTGGTTTCCGCTCAGTGTTCCGTCGTATTCGCGGTGCTTTTAGGGAGAGAGTTTCTTGAATCGCTATGACTTCTTCCGCCGGCGGAGAAAGCTTTCGACCCCTTCCGGGCGTCCTCCACCAGATCGCAGAGAAAGAATTTGCGCTGATCTGGTTACTCCTACCTTACCGCTTGCAGGTAACTCCGACTGGTCTAATCGGGGGCTGGACGTGAACCAGGCGCCGTCGGCAGCGGAGATGGAGGCGGTGGCGGTGGTGGCGGTTTCATCCTCCCCCAACAGCGCGGTCTCCTCTTTCCAGGTCGATTTGTCCGGTGCCATCGCCGGAGGCGGCGGCGCCGGCTCCAGGAACGACAGCGGCGAGGCCGATAGGGCCTGCTCCAGGGCCAGCGACGAAGAAGAGAACGGCCCCACGAGGAAGAAGCTCCGGCTCTCCAAGGAGCAGTCCGCCTACCTCGAGGAGAGCTTCAGAGAGCACAATACGCTCAATCCGGTGAGTAGTACATTCAGGGCCCTTGCCCTAAACCTAATCCTTCCCCGTCTGTAAATTCATGGCCGCTCTTCGATGTAGCAGAAGCAGAAGGTAGCGCTGGCAAAGCAGCTCAACCTGCGGCCTCGGCAGGTGGAGGTCTGGTTTCAGAACAGGCGGGCCAGGTATTATTCTTCATCCTTTCAAGAAACTGGGCCACTTCTGGTTTTACCATCGGGAAGAGAAGGAAGGCTCTGACTTTTTGAGATGGTCTCCCCAGGACGAAGCTGAAGCAGACGGAGGTTGACTGCGAGTACTTGAAGAGCTGCTGCGAGCGGTTGACCGAGGAGAATCGTCGGTTACACAAGGAGTTGCAGGAGCTGCGTGCGCTGAAGACCTCCCACCCATTCTACATGCAGCTCCCCGCGACGACTCTCACAATGTGCCCGTCCTGCGAGCGGGTCGCCACCGCTTCGACGGCGGCCTGTTCTTCCTCCGCCGGCGGCCGGAGCGCCACCGTGCCGGCCGCCGCCGCCGCCGGCAAGCCCCATCCTTCCTTCGACCTCCGCTCCTCTATGCCCATCTTGACTCCGCCCAGATCGGTGTCGGCCTCGCAGCAGCGTCCCCCGACGGCGGCGCACCAGTCCGCCGCCTCCTGACCCTGCCGCCGGCGGCGCTATTTCCATCTCGATGTTAATACCGAAGAGTTCGAGGGAGTTTTTTACTCTGCCCCTCTCTATTTTAACAGGGTCATGTCTCCTCCCCCCGACTTTTATATTTGCTTCAATACTCTCAACTGCCTATCGGTCTCCACCCCGTACTGACTGCTGCTCTTATTCTCTGTCGTTCTCTGTCGAATGGCTGGTGGAAATGCAAATTTGGAAAATGAAAGGGTTTTTCCGAAGGGGAAAGTCTTTTTCAACCAATAACCATCTTAATGGGCCCGTTAGATTTATTGGGCTTATGGTAACAAACTCGAATTGACTCCCTTGTTGAGCCGTCTTCGTAGTCCATTAATCTCCGTTGTCCAACGACAGTGAGCCACTCCCAATTGGGCCGAATGAGGCGGCCAGTCATTCATTAGACAGAGACAGGTCTCCTGACCTGCTCTATAAATGAAGTGAGACAAGGGTTCTTGTTTGCGTTGACCCCCCCACCAAATCCTCCGAGCAGCAGACTGATGAGATCGCAGGGAGCTCGAGGACGATGATCGCCCGCAACAAACAAAACAATCCGATTTCTTTACATTCACGATCATCAGATTACAGGAGAAAATGGGGGAAAATTAATATGGGTGAACAAGATCGAAAACTTTATTTGATTACCAAGGGTATAGAACAGATGGATCGCCGGCGGCTAGGCTAGGCTCGCCGCTGATGGAGTTTGAGGAGGAGCTGCGCGTAGAGGAGCTCGTTCCAGGAGTCGGGCACGCCGGGGAGGCACCAGTGGCTGCAGTCCTGGAAATGATCGGGGGCTTGGCGCTCCGGCGCCGCGAATCTGTGCCTCCGGTAGACGGAAGGGTGGCCGTCCTTGCGGTAATCGGTCATCCTGGTGATGTTGAGGTAAGCGACGGGGGTCTTCATCCCCTTGATCACCGACTCGAGAACGCTCATCTTCGGAGGGTACGAGGAGAGGTAGGTCTCGTTCTTGATGGGCTCTGTCTCGCTGTGGCATTGGCCGCCGGAGTTCCACCGCCCGCCGCTGGAGAGCAGATAGAAGAAGAAGAAGAAGACGGGAGCACTGAGCAGCTGGTTTCATCGCATTCAACGAGAAGGGTGGTGATGGGGAAGGGGGGGGGGGGGAGCGGAGAAGGGTGGTACCTGAAATGGGAGGCGGAGTAGCCTCTGAAGAAGACGAGGCTCCTGACAGGATCGACGTTGGTGTCGACCCAGCGAGCCCAAGTGCTCAGAGCCTTGTGGAAGGCTTCGATGACCTTGAGCTCCCCATACACGCGATTCCCTTCTTGATAGTAGTCCTTCCTGGGAGGGGGGGAGGGGTGGAGGAAGAAGACGAGTCACACGGAGGATCGGAGGGGGAGGAGAGATTCTGGGGAGGGGGGCTGCCCACCCTTTGGAGGTCTTCTCGTGAGTCCACCAGTGGCCGGTGTTGAAGACGATGATGTCGGCGTCCTTGTACCTGGAGGAAGACTTCTCGATGATGTCCAGCCGGAGGGTCTCCTTCTTCTTCCCGGCAGAGTCCGGGGCCTCCCACTCCTGAACCAGGAAGGGGGAGCGGAAGAACTCCACGGAGCAGTTGTAGTCCTTCAAGTCAGAGATGGAGAGAGAGTGAGTAGAGAGAGGGATCAACGATGAGAGGAGCGCCCCCCCACAAGCGAGGAGCGTGGGTGGGCAATGGCTACCTTGAAACGGAAAGAATAAAAACCCTCGGTCCTAAACTCGTGCTTCCCGGACGCTTCGAAAACCCTGCTCTTGTCCTCGATGGAGTTCCGCAGAATGCAGACCAGGGACTCCCACATGTTCCTGTTGAGAGAATCGCCCACAAAAACCAGGCGCCTCCCCCTCAATCTCTCCAGCATGTCCGTCCCATTCAATCTGCGGAAAATGGAGGAAAAGATAAAAATCACAGTTCAGCAAATCCAGAACGCGTGACCTTCAATGGAGAGATCGATGCACCAGTAACCCTACCTGGGGATAATGCAGCCGTTGGGCTGCCACCGGAGTTTCTGGTAGGCATGGTCGGGACGGCCATTATGGTAGCAGTTGAAGGACTCGTCAATCTGGGGGCAGGATCCCGCCTTGTACAGAGGATAGGACTCGTCCTTCACCCATCTCCCATGGAATATGTCGCAGCCCACCATCGATTTGATGCTCCACTGAGTGTCCTTGCTTGGATTTCCGCCCCCCGCCGCCGCCACTCCGACGACCGACACAGCCCCCTCGCTCAGAGAGACCGAGAGGTTGGAAACCCTGGCAGCGTCAACGAGACCCGCCTTCTGTGGAATCCCACCTGATGCAGTTGCATTCATCTTCGTCGTCGATGGAGGCGGTGGAGCTGCTACTACTTGGGTGCCTACACTCGTTTGATTCTTCGGCGGCGGAGCAAGAATCACAGCGGTGGGGGGTCCTCCGCCAGTGAGGTTATTCGTCTCGTTCTTCGCATCTTGCCCCTTTAGCGTAAATCCTGCGCCGTCCCTGGTCTGGTTCTTCTCGGCGATCACATCTTGCCCTGAAGCAACGCCCTCTTTCGTCTGGTTCTTCTCGGCGACACCATTCCCGGTAGACTCGACCACAACACTAGTCTGATTCGAACGCGGCAGCAACGGCGGCGGCGGCGGTGGCGGCGAGACGGAGGAAGATGGCGAGGCGCCAAAACCCCAGACCTTATCGGCAGACGAGGAGGAGTTGGAGAAGATGAAGGAGAAGATGGAGTCGAACTGGGACCTCACGGGGGCGGCGGAGGAGAAGACGTTGTTGAGCCAGGGGGAGCCGCTGCCGTAGGTGGGGTTGAAAACGATGAACACCGTGCAAGCGACGAATGTCAGAACGAACCCGCTGGCGAATACCCTGGTCTTCCTCGTCCGCAGTACCGAGATGAGTCCCCTGAGCTCCGACGCAACGCTGCACCCCGGCGGATGCTTCATCGCATCTGCCATCGCCGGCAGCCCAAACCTAGGAACCAGATCAAAATCCAAATCGAAATCGAACGCCGGCGCCTCCGATTTTGCCGATCCAAACGCGCCGACGTTGCAGAGACGAACGAGAAGCAGGATGTAGAGGTGGAAGACGCAGGCGCCAGAGGACGGCAGCAGAGGACGGCGGCGGTGTGCGGAGGTGGCGAAGGAGGAAGCTCCTCTGTGTGGCTCAACGAAGATGTGGCGGTGTGAAGCACGGACACCAGTGAGAGAAGAAACTCACTGACCATTTCCTCTTCACGGCCACTTAACACCCTAGAAAGTCGATTAACTTCTTATCACCCCTACTCTTTATTAAATTGTGTTGTAAAGGAGGCACTGCCGCCTACCACATCGCTGGGTCTGCCGAAGAGAACTTTTCCCGTTGTGTGAGATGTTTCCGCATATATGACATTTTTCAGGGACTTTCGTAACAATGTTTTCTGATCACCGGCACCACGACGGTATCGATAAATCCCCGTGACGGTCGGTTAATCAGGCCGCTTTAACCGCTCGGATCACGTTACGGCGCCGTTAGAATCAGGCGTCCGCATGTTTCTCCGTCAATAGTTGAGACCGTTTGAGGGGCATTATCGTATTTTCTCTGAACCTCGACCATCTCCCCGACCTCTCCCTCTTCTGTCGTTCAAAAAAGCGCCGCATTTCTCGTTAGCTGGCGAAGAAATAAATTTATCGACATGACTGAATTCCTCTCACCCGTCGCCCGCCCGGCGGTTCAGCCCCCTAGGGAAAATGACAGAAACACCCTCAGAATCGCGACCCACTCCGTTTGTCAGTCTAGTCACCGGGCTTAGGCTCACCTTTTCCGCTCCTACGTTATTTTCTCTGATTTAAATCAATTAATTGAATAATCAGTAAATTAATAAAATGGATCTCCGCCTCGGAAAGGGACCTGATTCGGCCCTCCGCACGTTCCGATGGAATGCCCCCTCGATTTACTCGCCATTAAATAATTTTATAAATAAAAAAAGGGATGACACCGAATTCGGAGGTTAGAATAATGGGCGGGGAGCAGAATCGGCGGGCCTTTAGTTCACTCTGTCGCACCCACGCCCAACGGCCACCCACCCCCTCCCCCACCACGCCGTCAGCGAGCGGTGTCCGGATCCACGCCGAGTCGCCTCACCGCCACGTGGGACCAGTTAGACACACCGCTTCCACCGTACACATGGAGGTCCTTTCTTTTCCTGGAAAAGGACCGAGTGTCCTGTCGATTGTCGTGAGACCCGTTGGACCCGAATCGATGGCCCATTCGTATCCGATCATATCCGAAATATGGGACCCGCCGATAGTCGGCGCTCTCCCTGCCAGCCGTCAGTTCCGTGGTACCTCGCAACGTTTTAACCCGAGTTGGATCCGATCCGACGTGGCTGCAGGTGCCTGCCAGCGGGCAGTGGCGCATTCAAGAAGGCTCACGTGAGCATACTCTCTCTCTCTCTCTCTCTCTCTCTCTCTCTCTCTCTCTCTCTCTCTCTCTCCTCTCTCATTGTTAAATATACATATAAATTATATTTTACGGATCCTAGTTTTAAAATAAATGGGGGAACCGATTGACGGGATTAAAAATATAGTTGACAACAGTAGAGGCAGCGGTCGAAAATCGAGTGGGATTCGTCACCCCGTTTCGGTTTGACTCGGGGAGGGTTGACGTGGACGTTGACTTCGTCACCCACCGGATCTTCCATTCATGGGCCGGACGGCCCGTACTTCTCTTACAAGGGACGGGAGGGGTTACCACCGCTTTTTTGCCGCATATTTCGAGCTGTTGCCGCGTGGTCCCCACTTTCCTCACGTGTTAAACGGAAATAACAAAAGTGCCACATGGTCGGCGGGCATGGATCGCCACGTAAGCTTGACGGATGCGGCACCGGAACAGTCCCTCGATTCTCACCTCACCAACTGGCGCCCTGGATTTCGCCCTCAGCTATTTTTAAAAATATTTAAATAAATGTACGTATTTATATAATAAGGGGGAAATAAAAGGGTTTTTTTAGTAAATAAATAAGCCAAGCCCCCCTATATTCAATAAATTTTAAAAAATGATTATATATATATATTGTTCCAATTTAAATAATTCACCGATTATTTGAGGACAGAAAATACGTCAATGGAAGAGACTCTGACCTGCTAGAGAGAGGAGTCAATGGGCAAGAGGGCATGTGGATAGAGTGCGAGGGCAAATGCGGGAAGAGAAAAATTGCCATATTTAGAACATCATATTATATGAAAATGTTCCAAGTATGCTATAATTCATGGTAATCACCAAACTTTGGTGTGGGGCAAAACCGTAAATTTACTAGTACTTGAGGGATTAAAATTCACCGAGCTTACTAATAATTTTATTATTTTTCTATTTTGAGGCATGCAGAAAGGTGAGTTCATGGAACTCAGAAAAATCCAGCAGTTGACTAATAAATGCCACGTGGGTAATGGGAACGAACAATATTTTCATAATTTTGTCCCTTTTTTTCTTCCTTTTAAAAGAAGTCGTAGTTACTAAATGTGACAATGACGACTCTAATATCTCCAATGGGTTGACAATAACTCCTCCCAAATATGGAATAATGGGCGCCGTCGTCACATGGGGATAAGGGGCGCCATGCATGGAGCCAAAAAAAATGTCGGCGTCGGAAGCTAATAACTCCACGTCAGCAACAGTCGAGAGTGTGTGGAGGTCTCATTGACCCATCATCTAGAAGGCTCACTCCCACCAAGAATGCTTGCCCCACTTGACTAATCGTCAACATCCCGCCAGTAAATTGCGTTGACTATAAGGTTAGATTCAATTACATCGGTTGACTTCCCAGGGGTCCTTAGTGTCCACCAATAGCTAAAATGCATTCATTTATGGAAATGGTAAGTCGTCCCTAAGGGTTTTATGGGGAAAAAATATAAGCTGACCCACCCATCAAATCAATCCGGACCATGATGAATAGGAAGATGGCTGGAAAGTCAACTCTAGAAAGCACTACGAACAAGAATATGAACGGGAGCGTGAACTGGTGTGATGGGGGGGGGGTGGTGGGGAGTCTCATTCAACGCTCATACACTAATACCCACCAAATCGAGAGGACCATCTCATGTCAACTTTTCGGGGGCTATTCGAATCGCCATGGGGGGGATGATGACGACGTCCTAACCAAGATCCTAGCAGGAGAGAGACAGAGATACACTGACAGAGGAATCGAGCCGAATGATGTGGCTTTGCACCTACGAGCCAGATCCTTCTTGATGCTACAGAGGGTCTGGGCCCCGTTGACCAGTGTTTAACCGTAGGATTAGCTCGGATTCTCTCTCTCTCTCTCTCTCTCTCTCTCTCTCTCTCTCTCTATATATATATATATATATATATATATATATATATATACGTGTACATATGTATATCTCTCTCTAGAATACGAAGGGCCAGAGGGTATTAGGTCAGGGTCGGGGGCGGGTGCGGAAAAAGGGCTAATCTTTGGAACCTTTCTGTGGGCACGCAGACGGCAGGGCCCAGCTGAGATCTCGGGAGGGGGGAGGAGCGGATGCGCTCCCTTCCGATAGAAAAGAGGGGAGGAATGGATCAGCAGAGCCGTGCCCGTCATCATCACCATCGTAAGCTTTTTAGTCCCCATGTTTACTCCAGTAAGTACGCTTTACAGAGAGAAACACCGCCAAATGACTCTCTCTCTCTCTCTCTCTCTCTCTCTCTTGTGGGGAGCTTGAGATGTTGTCCACGCAGGGTCAAGCTCCTGGAGATTTTTCAAGGTCTGGGGGAACGGGGAGGAGGAGGGCGAGCCTCTGCTTGTACCGCTCGATCCGCTGGAACCGCTCCTCCTTCAAGCTGCAGCAATGGAGGACAAGATCAGGGAAATCTCAAGATGATAACCGTTACACCTGTAAGATCAAATGCTAAGTAGCTACGATTAATTGGAGCTGAGGAGTTGACCAAACTCGCGTCTCATAGGTTCTGAGGATCTAAGAACTCGGTTGGGTTTGGATCAAAGGAATCGTCAATCATCAAACCAGATCAAATGCACTTAAGTAGCTACGATTAATTGGAGCTGAGGAGTTGACCAAACTCGTGTCTCATAGATTCTGAGGATCTAAGAACTTGGTTGGGTTTGGATCAAGGAATCATCAGTCATCACCCACTAGAAATGTCCAGTGATTGATCTGGTTAGCAGTTACTCCTATAGCAGCAGCTTTATCTTTGACTTTATCATTTTCCAAACTCGTCCGAGGACTATAACAATATGATCTAATGAAGAAAAAACCGCAAGCAAAGCTACTCCAAGCTGAAGAAAATGTTTACCAGGCCCGCACTCTTCTGGCACGCTTTACATGTCTTTGTAACAAATCATGTGCAGATAACTGATCAACGGAGTCTCCATTCTGGCCAGAAGATGTGCATTCATCAGCCACATAATCCAAGAAGACAAGCATGATAAGGTCATACAGCTTATCGAGTGAACAAACTTATGCCTCATCATTTTATTAATTTTCTGAACTATGAAGAAAAATAAAATAAAATAAAATAAAATAATATTCTGAAGCATGGGCAGCAAAGTTAAATTTTTCCCACAACATTCGAATAAAAATTTTCACATCTGTAATCTCGTCATGGTATGTGGAGGAGCCTCATTAAATCTCCATTATAATTCTTGGCATATGCTCTTTTCCCTATCTTACGTCATCTCTAAAAAATTGACAGCTATCGCTGCTCTTTCTTTGTTGATTAATCAAATTTAATGCTAGAATTCGGGAAAAAAAAATGATAAATGCTTTCAAGACGGTGACCGAAGAAAACTGAGATAAATAGTGAGCACGTAGATAAATATATTAAAACGTATGAAATTTCTCAGAAAGCTATTGGGAACCTCTTCTCTCTGAGGATCGTCATCTTTAACGTCAACTACTCTCTTTCCTGATGAAGTGGGTTCAGCTGCTTTTAGAGGTAACGGTCTCGGAAGAAGTTGAACGCCATCACCAAATTTTGGCTGAAAGAATCAGAAGATTAATATCACAATTTAATTTAGAAAACATATATGGATATAATTTATGCATCACTAAAATGTCAAACCAATTCCACGACAAGTGTCCATAAGAAAATTAATATCCTTCTGAACCAGTGATAATATAAGAAGTCAACAACAGAGGCTTACACACATGACATTACTTTTCTGTTCTATGTCTCCTTACCCAACCATTACTTTTGTCCTCGCTCTGTGTGAACCTAAGCGTGGCCTTCAAAACATTGCCGAGGTAAGAAGACGCTCAAGATATCCAAGCTCCCCCAAGGTGAGTAGTCCAACAAGGCCTTTGCACTCACTTGCTACTCCCCGCCACTGGATGCTTCGCCCCCGGCCATTAGGTATCACATGACGTTTAAGGGGTAACAATGTCTCACACTATGGCTTGCACACAGTACCATGTATGTGTCTCCTGATACCCAAACCTTGTTGCACCACTAGATCTACAGCTTGACAGTAAATCTTATCTGCACCACATCCCAAGTACCAGTGAACCAGGCAACACCTTCTCAACTAGGCATAAGGCAGCTGGCCTTATGGATTAAGGTGAATAATGCAACCTGATTCAAAGGACGTTGTTAATTCTAACTAAGTTCTTCCCTGATTCTTTCATGTTCACATATCCCTCGTCTTTCTATCATTCATCCTCCATTTTTCCTCCGTTTTTTTCGCCATTACTTCAACTATGGGTGGGTAGAGAAGTTACAACTAAGTGGGATGGAGATATATTACGCAGATTGGAGATTAATGAGCCACAACTTGCAGACATTCATGATTGGTACAACGTGTCAGGTCTACTCGCATATGAGCCACAACTTGCAGACATTCATGATTGTTGCATCCACTGCCAGACAAAAGAGAAGTGGATTCGATAGCATAGTGCACACTAGACTGGCCACGACAAATGGGTGTGCTTTCTAGTCCACTCTGATTCGAACTGCCCTCTTGCTCCCTAAGTGGGAATGTTGGCTTAGTTTTCTTTTCTTCAGACAGCCATCAATCACAGTAATAAACACAATAACGAATACTCAAAGGTTGAGTATTCACGAGAATAATAATACTCGATCATTGCCTCATTCTGGACAGGATAAAGTACCTGGTACACAACAATAAATTGGAGTATTGAGAAATCTTTCTCGGAACTAATTTAGCTCGAGGTATCGCCCAAACAAACCTAGTAATCATCCAGATGGTAGGCAATAATTCTGTATCCACTACATTATTTGGCCCCGAATGTAAGTTGCATTTGAATTCCTTTTCACTTAGAACACTCAAAAATCTTGAGACCTCAGTCAATGGGTACCTCTAAATACAAAGCTGCGAGTAGTCAAGATCTCAAATAATAAACGGCCAAATATCTTTAAAAGCAACCGAATATGTAGGCACAACGAAATCGAGACGTCTGACAACATTACTGTGCCATAACTACATGACAATCTCTTAGCATGGCTCCTGTTGATGAAACAGTAGCATTAGGAGGGAAGATGGACAAACGACGAATGGTTAACCAATGACGGGCAAATAAAGTAGAGGGGGGAGGAACACGTTAGGGAAAGGATATGCCCACCACGTCACAAAAAGAAGAAGTATGCAGATAATAATGAAAGTTTTAGCCAATTGAATACCAAGTTGTCCCATTTAGCCCAAAGAGAAAGAATGTCCCTTCACATATTTGGATCAGAAGAACATTGACCGAGAATATCATTGGTTAAAAAAGAAAATTCCAGCTTGCACAAAAAAATAAGCTGGTTTTCTCGAAGGTAAAAAGGACGTTTATCCCATTAAATAAAAGAAGTAATATAATGGATATGTTCATACCTGAATTTCATGAGGCAACCCGTTGCGTAACCATGAACGACATAGTCCATACAGAAGACCTGAGGGACTTTCCGATATTCTAACCTAAAAATTAGCAGGGAAAGTCATGAATAATACAAGCTACAATGAAGGAACCATAACTAATAAACACATCCTGATAGGCAGTGTACGAGTCCAAACTACTCCAACAGTTTCTGTTCCTAAAAACCAATCAGTTGCCTTCTCTTATCATTCGTTAAACTTCGAAAACAATCTGCCATTGCTGTCCAATTCCCATCGATAATATTTTGTGAAGTTTACTTTTGGGCATGAAAAAAACCTAAACTTAAAGAATACTTTTTGCATAATCCAAAAGGAATGATTCTTTCTATCAAAAATTATGAAACGTGCATATCAAAAGGGAATTCGACTTCAGCACTAACATAACAAATATGATGATTATATAAACCAAAACGAAAGGCTCTGTATGGTATCAACACGGTGGTAGAATAAAACCGCAAGCCCATTACACCAGTCACAAACAGAGATAAGGATCTAATGATGGTTTCTTACTTTTCGATCATAAACTCGAATGATACCATCATCTCTACTTTTGTCCCTAAAAAATAGATCAAGAAAACTTCAGGTTTGAGTAGGAGAATGTTAAAAAAAAAACATTGAAAATTAAATGTTTCTACCTGAATTCCTTGAGGGTGCTCAACTCGTGGTTTGAGGTTACAAGTGGAAATGAGGAGACCTATACAATTCTAAAATGAAATTAACAAGACAAAAAACACAACTATTTAAGTCATCCAGGAACATCCATGTCCCTATATTTCATTTCAACAGATAATAGATACTTAAAATACAATAAAAATGTATTTAAGAAGATAACAGAAATGAAGCGTTCTCTTTTCCCACTGAGAACATGAAATTTTAAGGATCACAGCCGCAACCTCAATAATCAAGAAAACGAGGGAGAAAGTGTAGACGTAAACAACCAAATCGGATAGCCATCAGGACCTGACGAGTTCCAACAGCATCTAAATCAGATTGTTTGTCTAGTTTTTATTATAGCTTTGTGCTGCTACGTTCAGCTCTTGGATTGAGTACAATGTTGTCTTGACCCGTCGCGCATGATCTTTGGAGTCATGAGTGGTTGGTGATTTAGCTCCCACAGTCATGGACTCTGTCGAATTGTCCCTGAGTTTCCTTTGCATATCATTCTTGTTAGGGTTCGATCTCGGGTTATGCCTTTTCCTCTAAATGCCTGGTAAGTAGCGTATTTAGGGTTTCCTCAATTCTCCCCGCAATTTCCCATCATCTTTGAAATCGATCACCGCTATCATTCTACCTTTACCGTCAACAAACGAAATACCTGGAGAGAGACGTGCAGATAGGGTGGAAGCCTACCCCAAAATTCGCGTTAGGCAAAGCAGGACATTTAGAATACGGCAAAGCAATGAACACCGAGAAAATTAGAGAGTCAATTACGTAAGTTGATACGAGAGCAGAGCGCCATTGAATGGATAACAGCAACAACCTTGGAAGCAAGAGCGGGAACCATCGACGAAGCGAAATCAGGCATAGGAGGAGCCCCAACACCGCCCACTCCAGTTGTCCTAGATGGCGCAACCTGCGAACCCGACTGCTGCTGCCCCTGCGGCGGCTGAAATGGAGGCCTCCCGTGATGCACTAGAGCCTGTTGCTGACGTTGCTGACGCTGATGATGATGATACATCTGTACCCCGTGATCCGAGGGAAATCCCAATGGCCTCGCCTGCACGGCGGCCGCTGGGAAGGTCACGACGGCCGTAGGACTGTTATTCCTGACGTAACCCGCCGGATTGGCCACCGTCACCGCATGAGGAGGAGCGGAGTGTCCCCGGCCGCCGCCGGCGGGCCTGGGAGGGTTTCCACGGCCGGCGCCGCCGACGGTGTAGAGGATCCCCTGCGGGGGACCGTGAGAGGGATTGGGGGGCCTCCCGAGGATGGACTGGGGAGAGAAGTGAGAGGGGAGGGGGAGGAGTGCGGGGACAGGGCCGAGGGGTTTGGTAGAGGCAGAAGAGGGCGTCGTCGCCGCCGCCGCCGCCGCCGCCGGCGGATCCGGGCACCCGGCGGAGGAAGGCGCCGCCATGGCGCGCGCGGAGCAGCTTTCGGGAACGCGGAAGAACCGTTCAAAGTTTGGAGTTTAATTCGCATTGTGGGTCCCATCCTCCCCCTCCCCCCTCCAGATTCACTCCCATTCCTCGTCCCTCCACGCCGACTCTCTCTCTCTCTCTAAAAAAAACATTTTTAATTGTTATTTATTCATTTCTGTGAATCTTTCGCCATTACCCAGGATCTCTCTCTCTCCATAGATATATATATCTCCAGAGCAAGGATTCAGCCCCAGCGTGCACAAGCTCGAAGGGCTGGATGAGCCTTTACCCATTGTATTGTAGCTTAAAGAGAGAGAGAGAGAGAGAGAGACAGAGAGAGGAAGAGAGGCAGCTGAAAATAGAAACAGTAATGAAAGACCATCATAACTTATCTGGAAATTGAGTAAATGACACATGCAAGGGTCTTATTAAGAAATCTACAGCTCCTTGCTCCTTGGGCCATCGACTCCCTGCGCCACCGGAGTATCGAACCCGAGTCTCCAGCTGAGCATCTGAAACAAAAACCTTGAGAGATAAAGAAGACAGAGAGAGGAGAGAGAGAGAGAGAGGACGGTATCAGCGGGGACCGCAGAATAAGCCCCTGTCCCCTTTTCTCTTTCCTCTCACCTCAACGATCGGCGGCGGCGGACGTGGAAGCGCGGCGACGTACCTTCCTCGGTGCGCCGCCGCAGAGGCGGAGAAGGGAACACATTCTACTCACGATTCCCCAGAGGATGTGCCCCCGCCGCGGTACACACTGGAGGTCAACACCCCGCTGAAGCCCTCTGAGCTCCGCCATTAGTGCCAAGAATGAGCTGGTCTAACTGCTTTTATAGAGTCGTTGACCCAATAAAATAGTCCCAAGGGAGTAGGACCCGGCAGGTCAAACGAAGAGTCACGCGGCAGCGCTCGGGATTACGTCAACTTAACGCGGAAAGATATCTCATTGTGAATCTTACACGATCGAAACTTCTAGAGAGAGAAACACAGTTCATTAACGTCAAAGTGAACCACGGTGGCGGACGATATGAACTATTTCGTGTTCATTCCCATAGAACTAGGAGTCAACAAAAGTTACTATTTTTAGAAAAGAATGTTATACATTTCGTCCGCAGCCGTGTCAATATCTCTCTTTCTCTTTCTCTTTCTCTCTCTAGAGCTTCAGATAAATCTAGCCCCATAGATCATTTCAGTGAAAATACAGACGAAATAGGACATAAATTTACATTAAAACCTAAAATATATATTTTTTTTCCAGAGAGAACAAGCTCGAGAGAACTCAGCCGAGGAGACCCATCTTAATAACCGCACGACAGCTCGCAAGAGTACACACGCTCAAAGGGCTAGATGAGCATCACAGTGTAGCCTAGAGAGAGAAAGAGAGGCAGCTGAAAATAGAACAGTAATGAAAGATCCTCATACCTTATCTGGAAATTGAGAACTTGCCACATGGAAGGGGCTTATTGAGAAATCTGCACCTTCTTGCTTGGCTGATGAATAATGACGGAGATAGATAGATAGATAGATAGAGATATATATAGAGAGACAGAGAGACAGAGCTTGACACGGTTAGGGACGCGATCAGACGGAAGAACAAGCCTGAGAGAGCCCGGCAGGGGAGACCCATCTTCCGATCAAAACCCCAATTTTCAACGAGAACCCCGGGATGATTCCCATGACTATCACACTGTAATCTAGAGAGAGAAAGAGGCAGCTGAAAATAGAACAGTAAGCAAAGACCGCATACCTTATTTGGAAATTGAGTACTCGCCACATGCAGGGGCTTATTCAGAAATTGACACCTCCTTGCTTGGCTGAAAGATGGTGGTGAAGAGAGAGAGAGGGGGAGAGAGAGAGAGAGATCATGAGAGGCCAAGAACTTTGCCGGTGGAGAAGTCAATGTCGATGTCGAAGAAGCAGGGTCGTGTGGGGAGGCCCGGCATGGTGCTCATGGTGCCGACCAGCGGGTAGATGAAGCCAGCTCCGATGCTGGCCCTCACATCTCTGATGGGCAGGACGAAACCAGAGGGAGCTCCCTTCTGGGAAGGCACGTGGGAGAAGGAGTACTGGGTCTTCGCCATGCAGATCGGGAGATCTGAGAAACCTTGTCGGGTGTACATCTCGATCTTCTTCTCGGCCTAGCACAAGGAGAGAGCTGATGTCAACTCACTTACCCCAAAAGGAAAAGAAAAGAAAGTCAATGAATGAGTTCATCTTTTCCCAATTGAGTAGAGCTTCAATCAGGTAAAGTTGAAGAGAGAGAAGAGCTACCTGTTCTGAGTACTCAACCCCGCTGGCTCCATAGGACTTTGCAATGGCCTCTATCTTCTCCTTGATACAAATGTCGAGAGGGTATAGAAACCTCAAGGGCTCTGTTTGACTTTCACATGCCTTTTGAACAGCGATGCCAAGGTCAACCTGCAGAAATTCAGAGGGAGTGAGATCGCTTCACTTCCATTCGCTACCATCTCCAATCATAATAATGAAAGGTTAATCAGACTTCTACTGACCGCTCCCTTTCCTCCGTGGGCATGATGAGTGCAGATGACCGCATCAAAGGCACCAGCAGCCAATGAAGCACTTCTCACTACATTCAACTCCGACTCGGAATCCGATGCGAACATGTTGACTGCCACAACAACGTTGACCCCATAAGCTCGGGTGTTGGAGATGTGCCTGGCCAGATTGACACATCCTGCTTCAACGAGGGCAACGTTCTCAGATAGGTAGGCATGGTCCAAGGGTCTTCCTGCCACAACCTCGGGCCCTCCTCCATGCATTTTCAGAGCTCTAATGGTTGCAACGATCACTGCACACTGAGGCACCAGAGCACTGTACCTACACTTAATGTTCATGAACTTCTCTGCACCAATATCTGCACCAAAGCCCGCCTCTGTGACTACAAACCCGCCTGGTCCAACCAGCTTGAGGGCGATCTTGTCCGCAACAATGGAAGAGTTCCCGTGAGCTATATTAGCAAAGGGCCCTGCATGGACAAGAACAGGCGTTCCCTCGAGGGTTTGCATGAGGGTGGGGTTGATGGCATCCTTCATGAGAACTGTTAAGGCCCCTCCCAGGCCAAGATCATCCGCAGTGATCGGCTCACCGGACTTGCTGTTCCCTATAACCATTCTCCCGAGCCTTTCTCTCATGTCTGCAAGGGAAGTGGTGAGAGCAAGAACTGCCATAATCTCACTGGCCACAGAGATATCAAATCCAGTCTCTCGGGTCATCCCCTTTTCTTCCGGGCCCTGGCCGATGGTTATCTTCCTCAGGAAACGATCGTTGACATCCATCACTCTTCTCCAGGTGATGGAGTCTGGATCTATGTCAAGTCGGGCAAACTTCTTGATCTCATCTGGGGTGAGCTCATCGGGGTCGCTCTTCGATATGCCGAGTTTCTGGAGCCGCCGCAACATGACATCAGCAAATCTTCGTTTACCTTCTTTGTTGGGAGGGCACAGCCTGTTGAACAGAGCCTTGTCGGATTGGGAAGCCTCGTGAAAGATTCGCGTGTCAATTGCTGCAGCCAGAAGGTTGTTTGCGGCAGTGATAGCATGGATATCTCCAGTAAGGTGAAGATTGAACTCGTCCATGGGGATCACTTGACTGTAGCCGCCACCTGCAGCACCTCCTTTGATCCCGAACGTTGGTCCTTGGGAAGGTTGACGAAGACATGTGACAACCTGAGGAAGAAGTATGCAGCTTTTTATATGTGAAGTAACATAATCATGGTGTTAATGATCACACAGAGTAAAATTTCTGGGGAGGATTGCCGAGCGTTGAAGATATGAGAGCGAAATTGGTAATCACGACGCATCTCAGACCTTCTCGGATAACCTTTTCTCTTTCGGGATCAGGAATCGGTGACCTAAAATGAAAGAGAAACAGGATTGTGATCCAGAAAAACTTGTCGACTTATTTGTCGGATCAGGATCTGGGGAACGAATCGGAGCAGATCGAATGAGAGCCATACAAAGGATTCGCGAATTCCCTAACATCGGCGATGAATCATTGGAGATCCCACCCCATCTTAATCATGAGAGGCAAGAGGTGAGCCGAAGGAACATACCTTCTTATCGAGAAAGGCCCCTAGAGCCTGGCAGAGACCCACGGTAGTGGTAGACTTCCCTTCTCCAAGCGGCGTCGGGGTGATCCCCCCGACAACCACATAGTACCCATCGGCCGATCCTTGGAGCTCATCAAACACAGAGAGTAACACCTGACAAAACCAGTCGACTCGAGTGATCGAAACCCTAAAATCGAGAAAACGGGACAGGAAGAGACGCCTAGAGAGAGAAATAGAGAGGGAGAGGACCTTGGCCTTGTACTTTCCATATAGGTCGTAGTGGCTGGGGCTGAGGTCGAGGGAGGCGGCGATCTCGGAGATGTGCAGGGGCTCGACGGCGTTCGCAATGTCTATGTCTGCCGGCACCGGCGAGAGCACCTGGAGCTTCCTCGCCGTCTTCGGTGGCGCCATCTCCTCCTCCGGCGGCTTGCTCCACCGCCCCCACAAGCTCCGCCAGTAGCCTCTCTCTCTCTCTCTCTCTCCAGTGGATGCTGATCCTCTTTCCCCTAATCCCCTTAGAATATTATTTTCCTAAAAGCCAAGAATAGACCGTATCGACGGTGGAGATTCATCTAGATTATCCGCTGGGAATCTGCCGTCATCCTCGGGGGGGAGGTGCGATGGAGCTCTCGTGGGGTTGATGGTGACGACATCGACTATTGGGCCTAAAAAAGCCGATTTCTCGGACTGACCCGTCCACAAATAGACAGAAAGAGAGAGAGAGAGAGAGAGAGAGATAGATAGATAGATAGATAGGGCGAGAGAGAGAGAGAGATAGATAGATAGATAGAGCGAGAGAGAGAGAGAGAGAGATAGATAGATAGGGCGAGAGAGAGAGAGAGATAGATAGATAGATAGAGAGCGAGAGAGAGAGAGAGAGAGAGAGATAGATAGATAGATAGATAGGGCGAGAGAGAGAGAGATAGATAGATAGATAGAGCGAGAGAGAGAGAGAGAGAGAGAGAGAGAGAGAGAGAGAGAGAGAGAGAGAGAGAGAGAGAGAGAGAGAGAGAGAGAGAGAGAGAGAGAGAGAGATAGATAGACAGAGCGAGAGAGAGAGAGAGAGAGAGAGAGAGAGATAGATAGACAGAGCGAGAGAGAGAGAGAGAGAGATAGATAGATAGATAGAGCGAGCGAGAGACAGAGAGAGAGAGATAGATAGAGCGAGAAAGAGATAGATAGATAGATAGAGAGAGAGATAGATAGATAGATAGAGCGAGAGAGATAGATAGATAGATAGATAGATAGAGCGAGAGAGATAGATAGATAGAGCAAAAGAGAGAGAGAGATAGATAGTTAGACAGAGCGAGAGAGAGAGAGAGAGAGAGATAGATAGATAGAGCGAGCGAGAGACAGAGAGATAGATAGAGCGAGAGAGAGAGAGAGAGAGAGAGAGAGATAGATAGAGCGAGCGAGAGAGAGAGAGAGATAGAGAGATTATTGGTAAAATTAGCGTCTTTTATTCCTGTACGCACACTTAAGAAATAATTTATGAATTTATTTCTCGAAAGAAACCCACAAAAAATCGAAGATGTCGTGTTTATTCGTTTGATCGTAATGGAACTTCCTCAAATAAATGGAAAAAAATAAATTGAAATTACACGGGAATAATTACATCAAATCAATGGAATGCAAACTTGCCGGCACAGAAACGCATCAGAAACGCGGAAGGACGCCGCCGACGTCGGAGCCGGAGCTCCGGCGGGTGATCATCCTCGACGGCGGACCCGTCGGAGAAACCTCGCCGCCGGCGGGCTGGTCCGAGAGTACCGCCATTAGCCGCCGAATGCTCACCGACCGGACCGTGCGTAGGCCCGCCGACTTCATCCTCGCCGGTGAGAACACGTCGGAGGACCTGAAGAGGATGAAGTAGACGAGAGCCTGCACGAACAAGAAGACCGCCACCTTCACCACCACACTGCCGGCTTCTCCGGCGAGGAACCCCTCCCACTCCATAACGCCGCTGCTGCTGCTCCCCGAGAACGACGAAGAAAGGGAAGAAGGAGAGGATAATAAGCACCACCGCCGGAGGAGGAGGAGGGCTCCACGCGTTTTGATGGAGGCGATGAGATAATCCCGCACGAAATCTCTCCGGCGAGCGGCGGGTACGTGGCGGAGATCTCCCTTACTTGCACGTCTAGACGACTCGTTTAAGGGGTATCCTCCGCTTCCATGGAAGAGAGGTCGTCAAACGGTTCTATCCTCTTCTTCTTCTTCTTCTTCTTCTTCTTCTTCTTCTTCTTCTTCTTCTTCTTCTTCTTCTTCTTCTTCTTCCGGAGTTTGCTTGATCACGTAAACAGGGGGTCAACGGAAGCCGCCGGTTTTCTTGCAACGTACTCCCGCGAGCTGACGAAGCCCAGACGAAAGTTGCCGGAGATCTTACCAGAGAGTCCTCCCAACCGTATCTTCTTCCTATCTCCACGTGTCTGTACGTGGCGCCTATCCCCTGAGCTGACGTGCGGAGAGAGAGAGAGAGAGGAAGGATAACAGCTGGCAGGACGCTGGTAGGGGTTGACAGCCTCGTTGACTTTTCCGACCGTGGGAGGCAGTCATCGTCAATTTTCTCTGCGTGAGGGGGGTCAAACTCGCACGACGTCTCCGAATCAGCTCACGGGTCCTCGTCAACAACTCGATCCTCAAGTTTTTTTTTAAAATACCAATATATATATATATATATCTATATATATATAGTTATATATATCTTCACGCAATCTATTTGTGATGTAACTAGATTCCGTGGAATCACAAAAAGGGTAAAAAAATGTCATTTACAAAAATTAATCGAGATCATTAGTGATTGATTATCTTAAGACGTTTGACCAACCGATAGTAGTCCTGTTAGCGGACGTTATTATTCTTTGAAATATTTCACTCGATAAAAGCTTTTTTTTTTAATTTTGTAGCAATAAGAAAGGGTGTAAATTATCTAAAAAATATAGTCCCCCTTGGACTACCCCGAGACCAACGACCCTCTTAGAAATTTGTTTAATCTCCACTGTATAAATTATTGATCCCTGGGTCAACCTCGTCTCGATCCGGGAGCTCGCAAGGTTTGACAGCCATGGCGATGGTTCAGAGGTACAGAGATGGCCAATATCTTTCTCTTTTTCATATTAATCTGAAAGAATAGAAACAACTCGGAAAGGATATCTACAGTGCAAGATCATTAGGAGACGACTTCTACGAGTCATCTTCGGGGATCGCCGGCATGGGGGCTGGGGGCGAGGCGGGGGAGGGCTCGTACTCCGACGGCTCCCCGGAGAGCAGCCCCACAATGCGGCGGATGCTGGCGGAGCGGGGGGCGCGGAAGCTGTTGCGCAGCCTGTTCCTGGACTTCTCCACGGAGAAGATGCCGGAGGAAGCGGAGAGGATTAGGTAGACGAGGACCTGGATGAGAGCGAAGACCCCCACCTTCATGAGGAGCCCCTCGATGCCCTCTGCGAACACGTCCATCGCCGCTGTGTTGACGGAGATTTCCTGGGGAGGAGGAGGAGGAGGAGGAGAGATGATGAGAGTTCTTCTTGAGTCTGTGATGGGAGAAGGAAGGAAAGGGGGAGGGGGGGGTTCTTAAGGAGGGGGAGGGTTCTTCTGCGGCGGCCGCCGAGAGGGGCTTTGACGGTGGCGGCGTGGAACGCGAGTGGGAATGGGAGGCGGCGGCGGTGGGGTCCGGCGAGGAGAAGGCTGACAGTCCGACCGGCACACGGGAATGAGTCATTGTTCCACGTGAGGTTTGACGAAGCGATCTCATCCAGGCTACTTGGAAGGTTCTCCGAGGTTTAAAGCGGATGAGGTCCGTATATCTTTCGGTCTATAGAGAGAGAGAGGGAGAGAGAGAGAGAGAGAGATTCCGCCCCACCAAACGTTCTATTACGACTGGGCACCTCCCCAACAGAGACAGCAACAGACAGATCCTACGCGTATTATATGGTCTTCAATGTCAAGACACGGAGCTCGGAAGACAGAGAGAGAGAGAGTGAAATACGATAGACGATATTATCTTAGCAAAAAATCCCACAAACAGACGGAGCCATCTGGAAGCCCAGGGAGCTTCCCTCCCCCTGCCCCCTGGACCATTCAAGAGGGAGGGGAGGAAAAAGTCAACCCGACAACCATTTATTCCCCATGATTCAACCACAGCCATATACATACAATCACCATAACACCCCCACCCTCCCCTCCTTTAAATAATAGCACCACCTCAGCACCAGCCATCCAGCAGGTGCTGCTCCACGCGACTCCCTTGCAACAGCCAACAACAGAGAGGAGACGATGAGAGACTCCAGGGAGAGTGGGATATAGAGATTGATAGAGAGATAGAGAGAGAGAGAGAGAGAGAGAGATAGAGAGAGAGAGAGAGAGAGAGAGAGAGAGAGAGAGAGAGAGAGAGAGAGAGAGAGAGAGATGTAGAGATAGAGATAGAGAGAGAGAGATAGAGATAGGGAGAGATAGAGAGAGAGAGATGTAGAGATAGGGAGAGATAGAGAGAGAGAGAGGGAGGGAGGGAGAGAGAGAGAGAGAGAGAGAGAGAGAGAGAGAGAGAGAGAGAGAGAGAGAGAGAGAGAGAGAGAGAGAGAGAGAGAGAGAGAGAGAGAGAGAGAGAGAGAGAGAGAGAGAGAGAGAGGGTCGAAGAATAGCAGAACGGTTCAGAAGAAGCCCGGTTCTGAATAAGCCGGGCCAGAGGAAATCCGGGTAAAAGCTGATAAAAGAAATAAATAATAGCTGCCTACACTGTAAACAGGAGGCCAGAGGTTTTAACTTCTGGAACGCCAGCCAATGGACAAGCTGAACAGCGTATGCCATTTATTGTGACCAGAACAAGAACCCGAAGTCAACTATCAGTTCGACTGATTCAACATTATTGTCTCGACTATAATCGGCTCCAGTCAACTAGGTGGTCTTAAGCATGTCAGTCTGACAGGGAACCTACACGAGCTAATCAGATTGACGACTAATAAAGTCAACATATTGACCTGCTTCCCACGTTCGCCACTGAACGACAGCAGAGCTATCAATGAATCGACGATTACCCTTCGTTCATACTGATCAAATATAATCAGAAAATATTTCCTCAAATGCCCTTTTGCTCAACTGGGGCCTCTTTTTAGAAGGTAAGAAGACAGGGGACACATGGCAGACAGGGGAAGCATCTTTTAATGAAAGATGAAGGGGGGGGAAGGTAATAAGGTGCACAAAAACGTGCCCTTCTACTGATCCTTTCTCTTCAAGCAAGAAGAGCTCTATCGGAATCTCCTAGAATCGGAAGTTACTGACAAGAAATGCTGAAAGGAAGGATCTTCTAAGATTTTTTTAAAAAAAGTCAACGTCACATCTTGGGCCTTGCTGGTCTCTCGCGGTTCGGTTGCACATGATCTTCATGGATAGCTTGCATTGGGTTATGAATGATTTGGATGCCACGCTGGGAACCTTGTTCGCTAAAGCCAATTTTTTTGGAATGCTACTAATGGGTTTTAAGCGGCCTCCTAGAGATGAAAATTGATAAAAGGTCGAAAGAATACAGAAGGGGCATAAAAATAGTCAATGAATCTTGGGAAATGAATAAAACTCATCTTCAGTAACAGCATGACCTCATCTTTGAGTTCAGGAACATAACGTGTTTGACTAAAAAAACCAGTGCTTTTTGCATCGAAAAGATTATCAGTCAACGATGTTACTTGACTCCCCCAATGACTTGTTACCTACATATTAATAAGAACGCATAAAAAGTTGTCTCTCGGTAATGTGAAAAATATGTCATTTATGATATAAAGAGTGATAAAAGTATTTATGCTTTTATTTTTCAATTTGTATTTGAGAAATGCAAACGAATGCCAAACAATTTAAGTTGATGCTAAACATTGAATCAAAGTAGTATGAGAAAAATTGAGATAGTATTTAAAATAAATGGTTGGAGGTCGTAATATTTTCAAAAAAATTATGTTTCACTTGGATACCATGCTTGTTGGCAAAGCAAACAGGTGGTAGGCCACTTCTAGTCTTGCTTCAACAGCCTTGACAAGATGGTTGCTGCCCGCATTTTTTTCCAGTTTTTCCTCCATCTTTCCCTTCAGTCCCAGAACATGCATACACGCATTGTTGTTCCAATTTTTCCTCTTTAATCTTTCCGCTCTGCCCCCGTGTATACATAGAAAAAAAATGGCTAAAGGCACACTCTTCAGCATCAACCCCCTCTTCCCCAGTAGAAGCTCTTTATGCCCATCATTATCCGTGGATTTACAATTATTTTCATTGCCAAAGGTCAAACTCTATGCATTCCGGGTTGAATCTCCTCATAAAAAAGGCAGCCTAGCACCCTAATCCTTGGAGGACTAATCAGTGGGATGGAGGCTCTCACTTCTCAAATTGAAGCAAATACAAGAGAAATAAAGGAAATATCAATTACCAATCATAATAGCAAGTCTTCGAGCATAAGAAGAGAGCTCCCTAGCAATAGTGTATTTGACATCTCTCCTAGTAGTTGTGAATAAGAAGTATAGAATTCGACTCACTTATGCATACCTTGAGTAGAAGGAATTCTGTGGTCTACATCGGTCTCTAAGCTCTGGCATTATCAAGGCCCGCTTCGGCTTCCCCACCAACACCAGAACCACTTTCACTCGCACTGGATTCCTCATCCAGAAGCCACCCTGTTGACACTCTTCCTCGACCACTGGAGAGGCTCTCAGAACCCATCTCTGCCCTAGCCAGGCGGGCGGACGATGACGCTGCTGCCACTGATAGCCTTGGTCTTCTTGACAACAATAGCCGGCGTCTTCTGACACGCCTCATCATGCTCCCAATATCCACCAAATCGCCCTCCGCCTCAGCCAGAGCACGGTCGTTCCCAGGAAAAATCGAGCGCAACATGCTGTGGACCTCCCTCACGTCTCTCTCAGCCTCGGCTTCCTCATCTTCATCCAGCTGATTAACCCTAACCGACGGCCGCCGACGCTCTTGCTCCTCAGTAGGGAGCGAGAATCGGCAGACGGGACAGGAGTTGTGCCGGGATAGCCAGGGGAGAATGCAGTCCGAATGGTAGATGTGATTGCAGGGCAGCTGTCTGGCCTCTGTCTGGAGGACGAACTCGTCCTTGCACACGGCGCAGAGCAGGAAACTTTCGGCGGCGAGGAAGGCCTCCGTGATCTGGACAGCCGGAATCGTCTCGACGAAGCTCTTCGATGCCGGCCTAGGCCCGCCGCCGCCGCCCACAGTGTCGTGATCATCAGAGGCGGATGAGACTATGCGGCCAATTAGACGATCGAAGATGTCATGGTAATCCTCAGCAGCCGGGAAGGATTCTGGGCCGCGTTGATCTATTCCGATGGAAGGAGCGATGAGATCGTCTAGGTCGCCGGAACCGGCGCGCCCGATGTGGGGAAGAGGATCGGAGTCGTCAAGCGTGTCGCCGCCGCGGTGGCCGAGCTGGGGAAGGGGCAGCGTACGCTGTCCGGGATGGATTCGGAAATGGCGACGACGGTGCTGCGACTCCATCTCCTCGAGGAACTCTCCACGGCAGACGGGGCAAGCCAGAGGCTCGGGGTACAAGACGAGCATTACGCTCATGTCGCACTCGTAGCACCAGAAAGTTGACGTCGCCGGAACGCCACTGCCACTGCCGCCGTCGCCGGCGGCGGCGGAGACGACCGAGATGGGGCCCGCGTTGTCTGCGCCCCCGGGCACGGACGACATGTCTGGTTCCTCCCAATCCTCCTCCCCCTTTCCGCCGCCCACCGCCGCCCAAGGTTCCTTGTTGGGGTTGGTTAAAGGGGCGTCCGAATATATCTATCGGACACTGATCAACATTTTCCAATCACCTTCATTGTTTTTCCGTAATAGTATTCCACACCGCCTATAGTAAGAATTGTACATTTGTCCACAATTATTCTTAGACAAATACGCGCATACTCCTTTCTGGAACTTAAATCGTACATAAATATATATTTACGCGTTTTCTGGATTTTTCAATAAAGAGGTAATGTAATATAATTTTGGGAGACTTTTCTAAATTACCTCGAGATTTTACTATTTTTTGCAATTTTTTTATTCATCAGCGCCTTGAACCGAAGGAAGGCCATAGAGGCGACTCGGGTTGACCTCGATTTATCATCCCGGCCGCCAAACCAGGTCATGCTAACAAGTTGACTTATCCCATTGGGTCAACGGTTCAAGGAGGAAGAAGCGTCCTCCCGGGTTCTGCTAGAGCAAAAACGGGCGAAAATCTCTTGTTCCGTGGATAATTAATGAGAAAATTAAATAATACATTATTTAAATTATTTAATTCCTATATGGGCCCTACACTGGGGTCAACGCAACTTGGGTATGACTAAGAAATTTTCCACCTTCCGAGGGAATGTCTTAAAGGAAAGATCTTGGTGGGTCCAAGCCCCCCCAGAAAGGACCACCCGTTAAGGATCCGGACCGGGAACAGGCCCTATAGACATGCCTTCTATGGCCCAGGGCCGTTTTTAACGGATATATTATTGCTAAAAATAAGGATAATAAATACTTACGTTGTAGGACATTAATTGAAGCCCGATGGAGCGCCACGTGTCCCACAGAATCCAGCAGACCCAGGTCGCGCGGAGCAGCGGAGGTTTGGGTCACCGGCAGGTGACGGCAAGATTATTTTTTTATTTACTGTAATTTGTCGCGAGTTAAAGGCTCCTAAAATATGAGTAAATTAATAAATCTCAAAATAGAGGGGTTTGGAGATAATTATATTATTTTACTGGTGTTTATTAAATTAAATTAGAAGAAGGAATCTTTTTACGCGGAAATAAAGAGGTTACAAAAAATCGAGGTAAACCCTGTCGACATGCCTTCGTCTCCGATGGACGGCGGCGACTGAGAGCCGGGGAAGGATTGTCCTCGCTCGTCTTCAACCTTGGGCGCCACCGGAGTTCACTTTCGAACTGCCGCTTCCTTCCGCTACTTCTGGAACTCGCTTGTCTCCGCAGCGGGGAGATCGGTGAGGATGGAAGACGACCGTGCCGACTGGGGAGGAACGGTGGATCTGCTGCTGGCGCCGGCCGGTGGCCGCCATGGCGAGTGCCGCTCCATGCTGCAGGCGCGGGAAGAGTTCTTCCACAGGTTCGACTGCGGTGGCAGAATGCGTCGCAGATACGAACTGGACATTGCGTCCTCTGCTGAGTGCCCGTCCGGCGAGAAGAGGAAGCAGAGGCGGCGACGGTCCAAAGGTACGCCGCAACTCTGCTCATCCGTTTTCTCGTACGCGTCATCCGTCATCCTTCTTCCTGTGTGGATGGATCGTCGTTTTCCGGAGAACTCGAAGTTCGTCGAGCCGCAGGGATTTGGGGATTCCGCTGGCGAACAAGCTAGGTGCCGTATACTTCGGTAGGGTTTTCTAACAGATCGCAACTGAATAATACTTTGATGAACTCGGACTCGGGCGCTGATTCCGACGCCGACTCGGTTGGCCATGCTACTTGTCTGGTCGAGAGTCTCAGGAAGAATCATTTGGCCACCCCGATCGCCACGCTGACCCGGCCGCAATCTCGGAACCAGCCTCCATTCTGCTCAGAGATCAGATCACATGGGTTATTCACAGTAAGGAAGTGGGAATTGATATCCCGATTAGAAGATGTAGACTGCATTACATTTGCTAATACCTGAAGTCCTACCTACATGGTTAACTAATCCCATCAACTTCTGTATAGAAAACGAGAGCGATATTATCCTTCCACATAGGAGACCCAGAGCGACACAGCCGTAGCTTGAATCAGTCGAAAAGCCTGCATTGGGTTGGAGAAAAAAAAACTGTAATATACAATTAAAATAACAGCAGGACGACATATAATATGAGAAAATAATAAAGTATGCTTGCAATTAAATGCAGCGGCAGGCGGCAAGGGGTGGCATGCAAAGGCCATGAATGCAGCCTAGTGACCACTCCGAGCACGGGTTGTGTCCTGTTCTTATCAAGGACAAGATGTCTGCGTAAAAATTTATATATATTGGAGGTACTGCATATTTTTCAGTTTTCAAATTTGCCAGTTTTAGTTTAAAAGCATTTAGTTTGACGAAATGAGAATTATTGAAGGATGTAAGACAAAGACTTTGAAGCGCCGCCCCCAGCCAATTGGCTACCTTTCTTTTGGTGGATGAATGGATGGATGACCCACAAAGGAATACTAATTAGCTAAACGACGAACCCCCCTCCTATTCATCTCAGAGGCCGATCAGCGACATCAACGGATGCCCATGAAAAAGTCCGCCAGACGGCTCGGTCAACGTCGGCCTCTGGCCTGATATTAATAATTTTTGGCGGCCCGCCAATAAATATTTATCTGAAATCATTATTCTACGCTTTGACTTTCTTTGTTATATATGCCGCAGGACTTTGATCATGCCAGTACTTTTGGGTTCCTCGCATTTCGGGGTCCTCATTTGATAAAGAGTTACGGTGTCGTTCGTTTTTCTGTGGGTTATTCGAATATCATCCGCGAGTTTTCCGGATTCGTCTCTTGATATGAGTGTTTCGTCGGTTTCTAAATGAGGTATCGATTTCAGTTGATGATTTGATGCTGATGGCCAAAGTCAACGTCTTCGGCCCCCGATGTTCCATCCTTTCGCCGTCTCTTTGTACGCATACGCTTGGCCCGTCACAAGCGTGATGGCCAGCGGTCCGCTGCCGTCGCGAGCGGCGTTGTATGCTCGCGCCGTTCTCGATCTGGTCAACACCTCTCATGATGCCCAGAAGGGGGGGGGTCCCCATTTCAGTCGCTCGGTGCATGGGGATACTTTTTCTTCCCACTTGGCTCTCTCTGCACCACTTGATGAGGGAAGACGGAAGAAGAAGAAGAAGAGGAGGAAGAAGGGACATCCGAGGAGATGCTGTAGCGGCGGGGGAGGAGGAGGAAGGGAAGAGGATTCTGGAGGGTATCAGGTCTTTCTCCGCTCTGTAGTGGGCAGATGGAGAGCAGCGGCCGGATGGAGGAGATAAAGGCGCCGCTGCTGGGGCAGAAGGAGCTGGGCGGGTGTCGGAGATGGCGATCGGGGAATCTGCGCGGCGACTTTGTGTCCCGCCTTCCGGAGAAGGTCCGCCCGGGCGTTGACCCGGAGAAACCCTTCTTCATCGACATTTCCCGCACGTCGGGACTCATCGAAGGTATCTTCTATTGTGGGATTCTTCTCCCTGAAGGCCCCCCGCCGCCACTCCGGCGGTGGAGCTCCATCTTCTGACTTTCTGGTCCTCTCCCTTGGAGGATCTTTACACTGTTTGCTTTCTTTCCCCACCGAGATGATTCCCAGCTTTTTCCCTGGATGCGGTGAGCGATGCCCTACTTTTTTCGGCGCACTCGATCGGAAAGTGGTTTCTCTCTCTCTCTCTCTCTCTCTCTCTCTCTCTCTTTCTCTCTATCTATCTATTATCTATCTCTTGGTGTGCTGAGTGGATCTAGAAAATCCAATCGGCGCTTCATGGTCGGATGAGATGTGCCCCGTTGCTTCCGCCGTTCGCTCGTCACCTTCCATGTCTGTGGCTTTCGCCCATGGCTTCTCTGTTGTTTTGGCTCCTCTCTCGCTCTCTCGCTCTATCATCTGGAGATTCTGGTTTCTCTCTTTCCTATTTACAATCAGAGCTAGTCATTTGCTTGTGGGAAGAACTTTATTCCTCGTTTTCAGTTCTCCAGCATTGATCCGCATGCTTTCTGCAAACCCTGTTGATGAGATGCCTTACAGAAGAGAATGCGAACTATCCATGTTTCTAGATCACATAGTAGCTCCAAGTTTTGTGTACAAGGATGCAATATTTATCAGTCTTTTTTTTTAGCCTGGATATTGTTGGGTTGATGCCTGTGTTTTTTCCCCTTTTTTTGGCATTTTTCTCGAATACCATGATTCATATTCTGAGAATTAGAAGGTTGGTTCATAAACGTAGCTCAAAATCCCCAACCAACAGCTATTGATCACTGTGGCATGCTTTTTAGTGGAAGAAAGTAGGGATGATTTTCACCTCCATGTTCTGGTACTGCGCATTTATGAAACGATTTTGACTTTGGTTGATTGGCGAATCGACATAATTGGTCAACTCAGACTGAGCTCTGATTTATTCGTTGAGTTCCTTCCTTACCGAAAGACCAAGTGATATTCCCTTCTGGGACGATTAACCAGAGATGATGCGAGCTGTTCTAATTCTGCGTCTCTGAACAAATAGATTGGGTCTTCCTCTTGCTTGTTGGTTATTTCCAGTTTGAACGTTTCTCTCATGTGGGATGTTCATAACAGGCGAGAAGGAATACTATGAAAGGCAGTTTGCCACTCTCAGGTCATTTGAGGAGGTTGACCTGTTGGAGGGAGCGGTCAACGATGTGATTGACGATCTGGAAGAAGAAATGAATAATGAATTTGCAATGAAGGTGTCCAATTATGCAAATGTAGTTCTGCTGATATTCAAGGTCAACCTCCATCTCTCTCCCTTCCTGCTTACCTTGTCATACAGGGCTGCGACCAAGAGCATACATGCATACGTGGCCAATACCCATTTGTCCACGATGATTGCAGATTTATGCGACAGTAAGAAGCGGTTCGCTCGCCATCGCTGCTTCAACTCTCGATTCGTTGCTGGATCTCATGGCGGGTGGCATTCTTTGGTTCACTCATCTGTCGATGAAGAGCATCAACATCTACAAGTACCCAATCGGCAAGCTGCGCGTGCAACCAGTGGGCATCATCATTTTCGCTGCTATTATGGCTACGCTAGGCAAGCATCTCCCCAACTTCGCCTCTAGTAGCTTCAAGCATGCTGGAGACGTCCGAACCATGCTCATGATTTCATGTGTGATATTTGATCGATGTTTCTATAGTGGATCTACAGGAACCGAGAAAATTTCATATGATTTCGTTGCCCGGAGTCTGTCGGCCCGGAGAGTTCAAGAGATCTGCCGTTTCACTTCGTATTCCCTGCAGGTTTTCAGGTTCTGGTACGGGCCGTGGAGCAGCTGATCCAAGACGAACCGGCCAAGAAGATGACCGGGGAGCAGCTCATATGGTTGTATTCCATCATGTTGACCGCGACTGTGGTCAAACTCGCCCTCTGGATTTACTGCAGGAGCTCGGGAAACAAGATCGTCCGTGCCTACGCCAAGGTTTCCTCACCCGGCCCTCGAGCTCGAATCCCCGAGATTGCTATAAATATTGCATAAAAATGTCAACTTTTTTCTTTTTATAGGATCATTATTTCGATGTGGTGACTAATGTAGTCGGATTGGCGGCCGCTGTTCTTGGGGATAAGTTCTTCTGGTGGATCGATCCCGTTGGTGCAATCATCCTCGCTGTCTACACAATCACCAACTGGTCTGGAACCGTGCTGGAGAACGCAGGTTTTTCTTCCACGCCCATGTGTTTTTATTTACCTTATTTTATAAAAAAAATTGTGGAAGGGAAGCATATCCGTTTCTTGTTTATATTTTCTGATATTTTTTTTTTCTCTCTCTCTCTCTCTCTCTCTAGATTTAATGATGGCCGGTGAGTTTAGGGCATTTTCTTTCTCACTCTCCTTTATCCGACGTAGATTTTGTTCTTCCCCCCTTCCATTTTGTCAACTTGACCGTGGTTGAGATAAACTTGACCTATCTCTCTCTCTCTCTCTCTGTGACTTTCTCTCTCTTAAAATATGAGGATGAGAAAGGAACCATGCTTGAAGTGGATGAGATCTCCGTTAGTTCTGTGAGTTTATGAGGATGTGGTCACCCTGAGATGATTTCCTAGGAGAAAACAGTCTGGCATAATTGACCAACCAGGGACGCATTTCTCGGTCAACGCCTGATCTGAATGTCGTTCTTGCAGTTTCTCTTGTTGGCCAGTCGGCCCCTCCTGAGATGCTGCAGAAGTTGACTTATCTGGTCATCATGCATCATCCCGAAATAAAGCGGGTCGACACCGTGCGAGCATACACATTTGGTGTTCTCTACTTTGTCGAGGTCAGCGTGGTCAACCCTTCACCAGAAGACCTCTCTCTCTCTCTCTCTCTCTCTCTATATATATATATATATATATATATAGATCTCTTCGAGTAAAGTTTTACTGCGCATGTATTTATTATTGATTCATTTTTACCAAAAATGGCAGGTTGACATTGAGCTCCCCGAAGACCTTCCCCTGAAGGAGGCCCACGCCATCGGGGAGTCGCTGCAGATAAAGATCGAAGAGCTCCCCGAGGTGGAGCGGGCCTTCGTCCATCTGGACTTCGAATGCGACCACAAGCCGGAGCACTCCATCCTCGTCAAGCTCCCATCAAGTCAACCCTGATCCCCTTCCCCCCCATTTCCCCCCAAGAACAGCAGAGGTCAACCTTCCAAGTAATTTTTTTCCCTCCCTTCAAAAAATGGCCTCTTGTCGGCGTATATATCCCTTTTCTAGAATTTAATTTTCGGGCGTTGCTATGGCTCGCATGTGTAATTTGCTCAAAATAATAAGCTGTTTCTACTAAATTATGCGGTTTTTATTATTTACGGTAAAATATTTATTACAATATTCACATTCTCTCTCTCTCTCTCTCTCTCTCTCCCCTCTCGCTGCTGCTGGCCCTTTCTCCCTCATCCCCTCTCTAGCGAGAGAGAGAGAGAGAGAGAGAGAGAGAGAGAGAGAGGAGAGAGAGAGAGAGAGAGCAATTAAAAAAATGAAGATTTATAATTAAATAATAATATTTTGGGCTAGTAGGGAGAGAGAGAGAGAGTGCCATTAAAAATATGAAGATTTATAATTAAAAAATGAAGATTTTGGCTAACGATCCCAGCCGTCCGATGGGTGACCCCCGTTAGGGCTTCTCCCTGGAAGCTATATAAATTCCCTCCGTGCTTTAGTATCCTAGCTCTTTTTATTCGTTTCAGCATTCGGCCGAGCTCGTCTACAGACAGCGCACAGTGCTTCTATTCCGTTCTTAGGTCGAAAGTCTCTGGTTCTTTTTCTTTGATTTTCCACCGGTGATGGCTGGATCTGGCCGTGATGTTTCGCATTGATACCATCAAACTCTGATATCTCCGTAATGGGGGATTTTGTGGATATCCTATAACTATTGCATCTGAGCCTACAGATCTATGTTTGCCGTTCCGGTGAATCTTTTCCGCTGTCGATATGATTCATCGTTTCAGAAACTTTTTTTTTTTTTGTGTTTATTGCTGCTGGATCGTGTTCAGTCTCTCTGCTGATTCTCCCTGATCTCCGATCAGATCTTGGGAGCGTCGGGGCTCCCGTGCTGTCGAGAACAGATCTGAGTGCATAACTGCGCAGGTCCGAAAGCTGAAGGCAACCAATTAGAGTCTCCGATGCGCTTCATTCTCTGGCGTATCTGGCGCTGTACATTGCCGAGAAACGAGATTGAGCTAAATATTCTGGCATTTGTCAGATCAACAAATTTGACTTCTGCATTCAAGTGCTCAGAAATCTCCTTTTCATATTTCCCCCAATTTATTTGTTGCTTGATTCATTAATTTCTTTTCCGATAATTATTTCATCGTGACGGTTTATTTTGTATATGCTTTTCCCACCCTTGCTTCTCGTTGTTACCTTCGAGATCGGGAGTCAGATTTCTTCGGCGTTTACACCTCGTCTTCTTATAATTTGCAGAAGTTTCAGGCGGTCAAATTACGGCAGTAAGATCACGAAATGACAAGCGTTATTCAAGTAATTTGATAAATCCATATCCACTATTTATATAAAGTAGGTGAAAACTTTTAAGATGAGGTCGAAGATCAAACATCGGCGGATCCAAAATTCTGGAGAAAATCGAAAATATCTCGCAGGGTCTGTTGATCGTCTGTACGCCATGGTGAGAAAATCGTATTCCTGGTCAACGTCTCAAGAACCCCGTGATTATCTCCGCTGGCGTATCAATTGACCCCGAAATTCTGGAGATAAAGATCTCGCAGGGTCTGATGATCGTCTGTTAGGCATGGTGAGAAAATCGTACTCTTGGTCAACGTCTCATGATACCCGTGATTATCTCCGCTGGCGTATCAATTGACCCCAAGAATGCTGGAGATAATTAAAAAGAGATCCAAGGGTCTGGTTATTATCTGTCAGCCATGGTGAGAAAACCGTATTCTTGGTCAACGTCTCATAAGCACCGTGATTATCTCCGCGGACGTATAAATTGACCCCCGAAATTCTGGAGATAATGAAAAAGAGATCGCAGAGTCTGATAATTATTTGTCAGCAATGGTGAGAAAATCGTATTCTTGGTCAACGTCTTAAGATCCCCGGGATGATCTCCACGCCTTATTTATCTTCTTCCCGAGATACCGAGCCGCGTTGACCCCACCAGCTGCAAGCAGCCCGGACACCGCCTGCCGCGCGCTTGAAACCATCACCCGCCGCCTCAATGCCCTCCTTGTCCAGCCCGCAGCCTCCGCTCTTGCTGCAGCGGCTACTTCTCCACCTGCAACTACCAAGATCTCTAAAGCTTCAAGCACCTCTCTCTCTCTCTCTCTCTCTCTCGCGCTAAAGAAAGGGAAAAGCCAGGTCACCTGGGCCAGACTTCTCCAGCCGCCACTGAGCCGCCCATGGCAGAGACGAGAAGAGCGACCGCGTAGCAGCCAATCCGCAGTCCTGCAAAGTCAAAATGCTTGAGAGGCCGAGTGGGCGGACCTCCGTTGACTTTGGTAGAAACCCAGAGGCTGACCTGTCTGAAAGCCATCTGGTGGGCACTGTCCGACAACTCGAGCAGCTGCCCCTCGATGAGGTACTCCACTATGAATGGTCTGTACATCTCCTGGAAAGCCCCCGAGCTTCCTCTGACTATTTTTTTCACCTGTTATAGCTGACCACGAAGATCAGAGAGAGGAGAGAGGAGCGAGAAGGTCGAGCACAGAGATTCCCGAGAATCATCAGAAGACGAGGTTCTCTCTCTGGCACACATTTCTTGAACAGATCCTCCAGCTAGTCCTATTTTTTTCCGATTTCCCAAAGTCTGATCACAATCTTTTCAAACCAAGAACCAGATGATTCAGTAAACGGATCTCTCCCCAAGGTTCCTCTTCTTTCATTCATGATCCCATTCCGAAAAAAATAAAAATAAAATTATATATATATATTAATCATCAAGAACATGCTCATCCAAATCTTTCTCATTCACTCCTCATGATCTTCATCACATGGGTTCTACTGGATTACTAATTTGGTCTGGTCTTGGTTGATTTCATCTATATTTTTCACCAATTCTGAATAATAAAGCAGGCAAAACTTTGGATCATTCGAGCCATCCCACATCAAGAACATACTCCAGAGATTTCTCATAATCTTCAGATGCCCATTTTTGTATCACTAATATCTTCTGGATTGTGGTTCATCCAAAGTCTAAACCCCCCCCCCCCCCCTCATCCTAAACCTCTGATCATTGGGGCCGTTATCCAGCTGTCGTCTCTGCCAGGTATGAGAGTCAAGGTCAGAGGGGTGGGGGGGGAGGGGGGGGGGTTGACCTTGTTCTTGTCTTCCGCAAATAGCATCCGCAGGTCGCCCATGTATGAGAGGCTGCATATTTTTGAATACAACTCCTCCTGTTCATCGGTGGAAAAAAAAAAGAAAAAAAGGAAGAAGATTTTCTATAAATGTTCTGCAATGTTCATGAGAAGAATCAAATATTTCTATAAATTTCTACAGCAGCTGTTCAACGATTATCGATCAAACCTCTGTGAACTCAGGTTCTGAGAGAAGTAAGGCGGCGGCAGTTGCTGCCTTTAGGTTGACTTCGTTGACCTTCCCAATATCATAATTGTCAATGAGGATCTGAACCTGGCAGAGTGGCGGGAGCAAGAGAAGGTCAATGGTGCATCACCTAATCTATTTACAGTCATTCAGTAAATATAATGTCTTTTAAAATTTTAATTTTTTTCAAGCACAAGGAATTTTTTTTATAATTAAAAATTCTAACAAAAACCATCGATTGTTTTCGATTGGCCGCAATATATTTCACCAACTAAATCCGTCAAAACTCCAGGAAAAAAGAATCTTTTTTTTTTAAAAAGAAGCAGAGCTCAGGAGATCAAACCTACAGGTTTCTGCAAGCGGCCACTCAGATAGAATCTGTCCCAAGTCAGCACATCCCGAGCTAGATCTTGCATCCGTACAACTCCATACTTGATCATCTAGAAGGATTAAAGATCCAAAGTCAAGGAACTGAGTGAGAGAGAGAGAGAGAGTCCGAATGATCAGAAACTGCGAGCGCTCTCCAGGGATAGCAGAGAATCAGACCTTGTCGCTCCACTGGACGAAGGGATTGAAGTGAACCCCCACGCCGATCCCATCTGCAACTCGAGTGATCTGAATCAACGAACGGCCCCGAGAGCTTTAACAGGACGACGACGAACTCCGATCGGCGAAGAGAAGGGAGACCCAAACGGGACGGTCCCAAGAACCCTACCGTCTTCGGGCCGAGGCGAGCCATCCACGAAGCGTAATGGTGCCTGTTCCTCTCCAGGTTCTGAGTTTCGTTCACCGGCGACAGCAATCCACGAAAAAGTCAAAGATCCCGGGGGCAGTAACAGACGTAATCCAGCCTCGGCGAGAGGGATTCGTACCTCAGAATGCCACTGAACGGGATCCGAGACGCCCAAGATGTAATCCACCATGGCCGACTGGGAATCCAAGGCCGAGGGGGTGAGAAGACAGAAACGAAGCTTCCGAGCTCAGAAGGAGAGACCCGACCTTGCTGTCGCTGTTGGGCAGCAGGGAGGAGCCGTAAGCGCAGCAGAAATCCACCGGAGGAAGCATTTCCAAGGGCCCCGCAAGCTCCGCCGCCGCCGCCAGCCCCCCCATTCTCTCTCTCTCTTCCAACTCTCTCTCTCTCTCCCACCCCCCCTGCCTTTTTAAGTAGTTCACATCAGTGGAAGAGTTCTCTTTCTCTCTCTCTCTCTCTCTCTCTCTCTCTCTCTGTCTGAAGCAGGGAAGTTCCTCGGATGATTCAAAGTCTTCTCGTTGCTAAACAAGGGAACCCACGTCCCCGGGCGGAGATCGCAGGTCAAACCTCGGAGGATTCGTAATTAAAACGGCGCGTCCCTTTCTACCCGTCACCCAAAAATAATAAGAAGATAACACAGAGCCTTATACAAAGCTTCCGTTACAAGGGTACAGCATCAAACATTCTCCAATCGACCATCACCCAACTGCTTCTAGCCACCCCCCCATCAGCTGCTCCAGAGAGAGATTAAGATAGCGAGAGAGAGAGAGAGAGAGAGAGAGAGATCAAGAGATGGTCCGCCCATAGCAGACAGACGCCAAGTAGAGATTCTTCGCCCATTTCTCCTGCACAAACAACCACACACCATCAGGGTTTTCTCCACACGACGGTGGGCGACGAGCGAGCTAAAGAGAGAGAATCGATGGGAACCTTGACGTGGGTGCTGGGGAAGCCCGACGTGCGCAGGGTCTCCTGCGTGGCATCCGCCGGCTTGCGCTTAGGCACGCTCAATATCAGCGCCGACTGGTCCCAGGTGGCCGCCATCGACGTTATCCGGTAGCCCGTGTCCCACCGCCGGTGGATCCCCTCGCTCGGATACAGAAAGTCCAGCTCCACCACCTGCGCAGGATCTCCCGTCACCATCAACAACAAGAACAAGAAGACGATAGCAAAAGGGGAGATGGGGGGGCGGGAGGGGGAAGAGTTCTACCTGGTCGTTGAAACCAGCGTTGCGGGACATGACGACGCCCCAACGGCTGCCGGAGGTGGCCATGGAGGTCACGTGGAAGCCCTCTCTCCACTTCTTGTTTATCCACTTGTAGGGGAAGGAGTCGCTGACCTTGTACGACTGCTGGGTGTACTGCGTGCCTGGAGATGGTCGTTCACAGGGGGAGAGGGAGAGTATCAGTCAATGCCCGGGAATCGATATGAGGGGGGGTGGGGGTGGGGGGTTCAAAGTCAAAGTCAACCACCCAGCTTGCTGACCTTTCGACATCACCACGAGTGAGCTCCCATTGGTGGCCCCCGCGATGGCACTGATGTAGTAGTTCTTCTCCCACTGCTCCATGATCCATTCCTACCTCGACCACCGCAGATGAGTGAGTGACGACCAGAGAGCCATAGAGAGAGACGTCCGAGAGAGAAAGAAACAGAGAGAGAGAGAGAGAGAGAGAGAGAGAGAGAGAGAAGATACCTTGTGCAGAAAGTATGGTGAAAGCTCGTGGACCTGGGACGTGAAGCCCGTCCCTGCGTCCATGATCAAGGCCCAGAGATTGGAGCAAGAAGCCACACAGCTTATGAACAGGCCATCGTCGTTCCCTCTGGACACGTGCTGCCCAAGGCGGCCGTCTGCCACATTGTAGTGATATCTGGTAGGGCAGGAGAAGCAGAAAACAATCGGCTCGTCAATGGAGAGAGCTCACCTTCCATCTGTAAACTGATAGACACGGTTTTGAACGAAAAAAAAAAAGCAGAAAAATGATCCAAAATAATTCCGAGTGCACGAGGCATAGATTAACTGCACGAAAATAAATAAGAATTAAAATAGTTATAGTGCACAAATTCAGCACCCATATTTTTCTTGACCTCTTTGAATAAATAAACCTCAAATAAAAAATTTAGAAATTCTGATGTCAGTTGGGTATCCTTCAATCCAAGAACATTAGATGTCCAAGAACAGGAAATTGTTGAAATCATACCAAGAATATATACCCATGGAACTATCCACCCCCAAATAAATACAGACCATATATGCAAGTCCTACTACTAATCCAATCACGACCACACTAAGAAGGGCTCACGAGGACTTGCCAATGATAGTAACTTGCTCAACCAAGTAATAAATAAATAAAATTTGCTCAACCAAGTAAAGTAGACAAAGGAGAAGAGAGAGAGGTGTAGGGACATCAGCAGCAGTGATCTCGGAGGCAGTGACCACAGTATTTAGCAGTAATACTTATAGATGATCTAGAAGAGAGTTTGGCCAAGAAAAAAGAGCAGTGATGACAGTTCATGGAAACATTAATGATGGCAGTGGCAAGTAAGTTCGCTAATTTTCTTCACAAAACAATTAAAAACAGTAATTCATTATAAAAAATGAAGTTTTCAACTGGCCTTGATGAAGAGAAATGTGAAAGATTCAGGTAGAGAAGAAGAAAACAATGTCCACCTCTGTTTCATAGGCATCCTTGCGTTATAGACTGAGATCCACTGGGTAGCTGGAACGCCAACTCGGACCTTCTTCTTTAGCAGGCCATCTTCCTCTTCCTCAATGGTGAGCCTGGCACGTTTTTGACCAACTTGGTACATAATCTACCATTTCAGGCGAATAAAAAAAAGATCACACGTCAGATATCAGAGAATAAATCTAGTTATAAAAAACATTCAAAGATAATCGTAAAGCACGGTACTTCATCAGTTACCTTCTGAGCACCATCAGTGTTTAAGGGCCTCAGAGCTGGGTTTGGTCCAATTAAACCCTCGAAGATGGATATTAGTTTAGAGTAGTTGGGCTCTTCATCAAATTTCAAGTTAACCACGGTTTCAAGAAATAGCTTGAAAGCTGGAGGACATAAGCAGCACAGCATTTCTGGTGAAGTTGCCATCTTTTTCTTGCAAACTAAGAAAGATTTGTTCTCCCCCTGAAATGCAAGTAAGGCAAGGCAAGTAACACGAGGTTATGAAATGAATGGATTGAACAAAATTCATAGGAAGAAAAGTTAATTCCAAAGCATCTGCATACCTGATACCCTTGCCATGGTAACCTCCCTCTATGAAGGAAGATAAGTGTGTAGGCAAGAGATTCCAAGTCATCTCTTCTACTGGCGGTTCTTCCTAGGTGGGCATGAACACTGGCATACCGGACAGTCCCTCTAAATAGGGAAACAGAAAGGTAAGATACGAAGTATGCAGCATATAAGAAGTTCAGTAATATTTGATCGACTAGCACACAAGTACAAATATCACAACTAACCTGAAAACATCTGGGCGTTGATCGTACTCAACATGCTGCCCACTGGAATTGTCTCTCCATCTTGTAGCTTCATAGACAAAAAAACTCATTTACATTTCTATGGAAAAATCGAAAAACAGTAAGAAGATCACAAAGCTAGGTGAGGATGTTTTCACCTAAACCAAGGTCGACCAGATACAATTTCTTCTCTTGTGGCGTCAACGGCTGTCCGAACAGAAAGTTCTCCGGTTTCACATCTCCATGAACAAACCTAATTGAATACGAAGATACCAACAGTAAATAATATTAACGATGAAAAGACATTTCCAGCAACGTAAAAATCATATATAACACTCTCATATAAAACTTTTATGAAACTGTCTACGGTGATTTCATGGGAGTTCCTACCCTTTGGAATGCATCTTCTCAAGGATCGAGATGGACTCAACAGCAATACAGGCAACCATTTCTGAGGACATCCTGAAATTATAGAACCAATACATAATTAAATTATTTAATCATATAATAAAACTGCACAACCATCTTTATGTCCAGAGGATTTATAAGCCCAGTAACCAATCCATAAAATACTGAAGAAGATTAAAGTAGACAATTCTGATAATCAAACGCATTCGGCAATTTTGACACAGGAGACAAATGAAAGTAGCACCAGTAAAACCTTAAAAAATAATGAGAGAAGGAAAATGCACATTAGGAAAAAAAGGTCAGAGGGTAGAATACTAGGCCCTTTCAAACCTTACAGGAAAGAACAAATGATAAGACATCTGAATCATTCAAAAAACCCAGTGTCTTTATATTCATCATAAAGTGGACACTGCCAAGATACTCTCTATTAGACGAATCCATCAACAAGATTTTGTTTTCCCCAACTTTCCGTTGATCATTTGGATTACAGTTGGTTCTTCCCCAATGAAGATCATATTCGCATAAAAAAATTATGATTCATATTGAGTATTTTTTAATGTGACGGTCACATGTTCAAAACTGTGCTTATCAGGAAATTTTGAAAAGAAATGGTGTAACAAGCTTACACTAGCGGGGTGGGAGGCATAGTATCATAAGAATTAAAAAAAAATAAAAATAGAAAAAACTTACGTTTGACCTGAAGAATTCCACGCATCCCATAAACTGGGTCCCAGCATATCCATCACCTGCAGGTTGCTCCAGAGCATATCATTGTTTAGAAATGGTATGAAAACGACTACAAACCAAGTGGAAAAAGAACTGATGGGATACATCCAAACAGATTCCATGGCCAGAGTAAACCTATATACTCACCCCCCATGTAAACCAGAACAAGCCTAACATTAAATATACATTTATGCATCAGAAATCCTAAAATGTTCGTATAATGCGCCACACAATAGATAAAACCACAATTTTCAAATCCCATAACGCATAATAATGATATTTTCAGCCTTCGCACAGGCCAATAGTATTAACTATCCTATTCAAAAGAGATATCCGGGAATCTTAATAAAGTCAGCACCTTTATTGTCACCCAGATATTAAAAACAACTCATACCCAAACAATAAAGAATGTCAGCTGCATCAGAAGATTTAAATTCATACCATAACATAGTAATCTCCCGATCTTCCCTTGTAGTGTACCCTAGGGACGCCATGACTGCCACCAAGAGCACTGCTCCAGAAAATAGGGGAAATCCATGTTACCATTTACTGATTAGAAGTGAAAAGGAAATTATTTGAACGGGATGAAACAAGAATAGAGCTCCGACCTGTACACTTGCCACTCATAAGGAGGACCATAATTACAGCCTTTACTACTCCGATGCTCAAACTTCAGAGCGACCTATAGAAAAATACAAAAATGATGAGAGCTTAATCCAAATAACAAATTGAATTTGGAAATGTAACAAATTTGAAACAGCCACCTAAAAGGGAAAACTATCAAACATAGTACAACAGCAGAGGTAATACCTCCACTGCCCCAGGACCACTTGTCCATTCACTGCCTCCCGAAATAGGACGACCCACAAAAACCTGACCAAACCCACCTTTGCCCAATTTCCTCTCGATCTTATACACAGGGGATCCTCCCACCTGAACCTGAAAAAGAATATATGGGAGAATTCAGCAATCTTTCACATGATTAAAAACAGGAAGAGAAAAAAAAACCCGGAATCAGAAATAGATAGAAATTAAATCTTAAGTTTCTAGATGATGGAATACAGTAACCGGATAAGAACACCAAGGAAAATTCAGGGAGTAAAACTAAACGATCGATAAAAAAAACTCACATATTCTTCTGTATTCTTCCATTATTTGAGAGAATGGAAAGTCAAGTATAATGACTATGAAGGCAATGTAGTAGACTGTTATGATGACTTTCATGTATTCAATACATCAATGGAAATGTTACGAACCAGACCTATAAAAGGCTTTGAGATTTGAAAAAAAAGTGTTCTGAAATGCATGAGTATGAATCGAGTTTTGAAAATTAAGGTTAGTCCTTCACTCGTTTACGAGAGTTGTTCATATGCTACTGTACCTCTTCATCAATATATATGAGAGAGAATAAAGCAGGCTGATCCTGAATAGAACAAATTCATGATAAAATGTATTCAGTAAAACCGATCAGAGGAATTTGTTTCGTATTAATGAAAGGTTAGTTAACATATAACAATTGAAAATAGAACGAATAAGATGGAGTCAGTTGTTGGATGATGGCAGGAACAATCGTGAGGTATACATCAAATAGACACAAAATAGGCTGATGCAACACAAGTGACAAGTAAAGCAGGCCACCAAAAGGCTGATACAGCACAGTTGAGGAGAAAACAGAAAAGAAAACACAACTTCCAACAAAACAAGAGGAAAAAATACTATACAAAGATATAACAAACAAACAAAGTAACTTTTCTTATATTTCAAATGGGGAGATTACCCTCTCTGGAAAGGGGGCAGTGCTTCCCTCTTCCTCCTGACCCGCTGCCTTATTGGCGCTCAGACCACCACTGTCGTCGCCCATGTTTCCTTTCTTTCTGGGGCTCTCTTCCCTGGCACTTACTTCCTCTTGTCCGTCACCTCTTGTCCGTCCCTTGATATTTTCTCCTTCTAGCACGACGTACTTTAACTGCTCGGATACGTTCCCCTCCTCGACCAACACCAGCCTCGCCGCCGCTAGCCTTGTTCTTGGCTTCCCCTCCGCACCTGTATCCGTGCCTGCGGTAGCCCCTCCACGAGTCTTCGGCGCAGGAGTAACCGCGGTCCCCTTCGCCGCCACAGACCTGCCTCTCCCACGGGCGGTCTCCGGCCCCTTGGATGGTTCCGATCCCCTCGCCGCGCGCCCCCTCGGCTTTCTTGTCGGACGTTCTAAAGACAGCGCCGGCGGCTGCGCTGGAGCGCGCCCTCTTCGACGTACCCCGCTCCGCAGCTCTGGCATTCTTCGCCCATGCAACCTCTGATCAATCCCCCCCCCAGCCAGACCATTATCCCCTCATGCCGCCCCAGATCCTCCGCCACCGCGATCCCTAATAACTCTCTTATCCGGCCCGCCTTCCCCCTTCCTCCTCTCTTCCTTCCCTCCAATCTCTCAAGAAATCAAACCCCCCAAAGATGACACCCACAACCCCCGCCCATAGGAGAAGCCCCACCTCGCAGGCCAGAGTCCCGCCGGATCCCCCTCTGCTCCCCTTACCCCCGCCGCCGCCGCCGCCCCTACCTTCCTCGGAGATGACCGGTCGAAGAGGGGCTCGACGACCGGATTTGGGGAAAAAGGGGGCACAAAGAGGGCTACAGGGTTCTCCCCCGCGGCGGACAACGATTCGATGCAGACGACGCCTATATTTTCCCCAACTTTTCCGAAATTATTTTTCTCTCCCTATTATATACCCCTCCGTACATAGAACAAGCTTCCATTGACTCATCGTCCACAGCCATCGTTCCCGTATTTTTTTAAATACATGATATTTTATGCCTGAAATACGGGATTCTACTGGTGTAATAATACATCGTATTTTATCCATTAAAATGTTAAATAAATAAATAAAAGTGACCTTAGATCTCGGAATAATCCTTCGCGCCACCTCGGAGTGGGGGGTAGTTCGGCACCCGTGCGAAACGACAACACGCACGTGTGCCTAAGCTGCCTCCGCTCGCCTGCCTGCTGTGTATGTCCGTCCATCTTTCTCGAGACACGCTTATTAAACTAAGGGATATACTGATAATTTTATTGAAAAGTAGAACTAAAGAAATACCTGGGCCTGGCCAGTGGGCCTGAGCCGAAGCGGTCTTTGGTGTGGACCCACTATTACTTCGGTGGATTTTGGGCCGGGGGAAGCGATCAAATCGGCCCAATGTAAATTCTCGGATCTCGCGTACTTTACCTTCTTCTATGGATCTCCCAGGGCAAGTGCGAGATTTTACAATGTTCCATATCGTCGGTGCGATATTGGCCGTTGGATCTGAGATATCCTCACCAAGGGGGTGAACGTAAGGCAAAGGACACCGCATATAAACGAATTATTGCCTCACAATTATTCGAAAATGGAGAAAATAAAAATGATTATGTCATATTTAATGTAATTATCGCGTCACAATTAGAGGCCTTTTACGGAAACAAATAAATTAGCAAAAAAAGGCAAGTATCTCAGACCATGCTCGCCCGATCGTGTTCGAGGATTGCTCGATCACACCCTACGATGGATGGACCCATCTTCGTCAACCTAGTAGGCCCTGAATCTGACGGTGGGAGGATTGCGTAGGAACATGGGGTACAACGGCTATTTTGATACTTATTCAGGGTATTTTCGCCAAAAAACCGAAAACAAAACGGCGGTGGTTCTTCTCGTGATGAAATTATCGCCACAGCGTGGCGACATCGTCGCGGAGAACAGCGACACGACCGTCGTCACGTGTCAGGGGCCATGCGGATGATCCTGACCGTGAGATCGACGGGTGCCTGATCCAGTTCCAGCGCCCTGTCGGGCATCGCCGTTCCTTCAGTGGACCTCAAGTTTTGACACGTCTGATCTAAGGGGATTTGGGGGCGGAATATTCGATATGGACCGCTCTGATCAAATCAGGCTCGTGGAGGTAATCGCGCGGCTTCGTTGATTATTCGCGGGGTAATTTAATTCGACCCGGGTATAACAGCGGGGCGGGAAATCTACCACCCGAAGAGGTCCTTTTCCGTAATTTTCGCCTCGAGGAAAACCACGCGCCGCAGAGGAAAACGCCGAACTGTTACTGCCGCGCCTCTCGGGACCCACAGACTCCACGCCTGCTGCGTTGCTTGGCTGTGCGGTAGTGGGTATCGTCACCGCCTCCTCCCCGCGGGGTCTCAGGTCGTGGAGGTGAGTGAAGGTAACCGGGGTCGTCCCTTAATCTAATGTTCCTTATTTTTACGATTAATTACGTGAACACCCATTGTACGCGTTGAGGCGTCTCTCTCTCTCTCTCTGTTTCTTTTAACGCAGCGGCCATCGCCACAGGCCTTCAAATATCAGCCCACTATTGCCTACTCTCTCTTTCTCTGCTGCCCATCACAGCGCCCGTGGGAGAGGCCGGACAGGAACCAAATCGCATCGAGGACAGAAGGCCGTCCTGTTGCCCGCCGCCTCCCAAATCCCGCCGCTCTTCCTGGAGCCGCCCCCGGGTGACGGCTGCCGATCACGAATCCCCCGCCGTCGGGTTCTCCCAATCGTTCCGTGTCGACCCATTTTCGGGCGTTGTTCGTCTCCCGCCGTGAGAGATCGAGGATCCGATCTGGTGACGACGCCATGATTCCTTCTCCCCGGGGATCCCGACGCCCGTTCTGGATCCACCCGTGGTGATGGGCTGTTGCAGGCGGCGGCGATCTACGAAGAATGGGGGACGAAGGTATGCCGGGGCTTGTGCACAAAAGCTCTCAATTAGGCAATGCGGCGGCGGCGGCGGCGGCGGCGCTGTGCTTGCCTTCGGCGGCCGCCATTGGACCGACGTCGTCGAATGGAATCTGGTCCAAACATCGGGACGACATAAGTTTCGATCAGCTGCAAAAGGTACTTGCCGATTCCGGATGTTTGCACCCCTACGCCTCCTCGTCGTCTTTAGTATCCCTTCTCCCTTATGTCCGTTCAAACACGTGGGAGCGCAGATTGAATTGTGTCTTGGGTTGGAGATGCGAAGTGTAATCACATGGAAGCTATTCGCCAATGCTTTATGATTAATACGATTTCATTCCGATAGTATTTCTTTACACTGTGATATGTAGATGTATGAATGTGATCCAGAAAAAAAATTGGCGTCACAAGAAAATTATTTCATTTTTCAAACCGACAATTCACAATCACACGCAACTGGGAGTTTCTTGGCCAATTCGCCGTCTAATTTATCAATATTTTCTCTTGTTTGCTACTTATATGCATCAAACAACGTAAACAGAGCCGACGCTATGGGATAGCTCATTAATGTGATGCCTCTCTGTATTTCTCCTTATCACCCGGCCTACTGCAATTTTTTAACTCGTCATTCATTATTTTCTTGATGAATAGGCCATTCAAGAAATGAATCGCAACCGTTTTGGTCTTAGTGGATGGAATACATTTACAATCTTCTGTTTTAATTCTATGGTGGAATTTATATGCCACAACATTTCAGAATCTGTTGTGGAAGATCATCTGCTGAAGACCTCATGTGGCACTTCTAGTTGTTCTTGATTATTGTCCCTTTTTTTTTGCTATGGAATTCTCAGATATGGCAATGCCTAATTTATACTTAATGTTTTGACTAGTTTTGGAACGATTTGCCTCCTCACTCGCGGCGCAATCTTCTGAGAATAGACAAGCAAACACTGTTTGAGCAAGCTCGAAAGAACCTTTATTGTTCTAGGTGCAATGGGCTGCTTCTAGAAGGCTTTTCGCAACTTGTTCTGTATGGTAAATCATTGCAGCAAGACGGTGGTGGCATTAATCCTTCAAATAGAACGGGAGCAGAGAAAAGCCACATTTGCCAGGAGTCTGATGATTTGCAAGATCCATCTCTCCATCCTTGGGGAGGGTTGGTGGGTACTCGAGATGGGATGCTGACACTTTCGGACAGCTTTATTGATGGGAATTCACTCCGGCCACTGCAAAATGTATGTTGGAAGTATTCTCTAGAGATTCATCTCATTTTTCTGCTGAAAAATACTGATTTTTTCTAAGTGAAAAGTATGCTTTCTTTGCGTAGCCTGGTCTAACTCACTAACTTTTTTTTCATTCTACCATTGGGTTTAATGTTAATAGATATTTTTTCGACTTCCTATTGCTACTAGATATCACATTTATCTTGAAAAATTATCTTTAGATCTACCTTATTGGAAATTAAATTCTTAAAATAGACTAGATGTAATTTTACGCCCAAACATGCTGTTTAGTTTCTTCAGACAAAGGTACCTTTTCAGCATTTTTCATTCTGTGTTATTCGCCTTAACTACATTATTTTATCAGGTTTTTGACAGTGCACGTGCTAGAGAACGTGAGCGTGAACTACTTTATCCTGACGCTTGTGGCGGAGGAGGTCGTGGGTGGATCAGCCAGGGTGTGGCTATTTATGGCAGAGGGCATGGGACAAGAGAAACATGTGCTCTGCATACTGCTAGGCTCTCTTGTGATACATTGGTCGATTTTTGGTCAGCTCTGGGTGACGAAACTCGATTGTCTCTCTTACGCATGAAAGAGGAGGATTTCATTGAGAGACTCATGTTCAGGTTTGTTCTTTAGTTCTTCCAGTGCTGAACTTCGTTTGTTGGAATTTTTTTTTTCATATGATGGGCTTCTAGTTGCATTCGAGTTGCTCTTGTGTGAGATGTGTTGCTTTCATTTCAGATAATTCTATTTCTGGAATTGAGTGCGATGACTCTTTCGGTTTAACATCTCTCCTTTATTGTTGGGTCATTTGCATGTGGTCTGTGTTTTGATCCAGTTATAGAAATATGTAGTCTGAAGAGCACAAAAGAACATCATGCCTTCTCAATGTTTGAATAGTTGGAAAATAGCAATATTAATGAAATCCTATGCAAAATTGTGAGTTCGTGTTTAGAATATGTCTGTAAATAAGAAAGAAGGCTGTGACTTCTATGTCAATGAAATGTGAGATTAAGGAAGGCGAATAGTTCTCTTGCATGAAATCTGAGGAAAATTGTGAATAAAATGTATAATAATCGGGGCATAGTTCCTAAGCTTGTTATTTCATTACAGGACCAGAATCTTGGGAAGGCTAGGTTGTTTTGGTAGCATCTCATGAAATTAAAATACAAGTCGACTTGAAAAGTACTTGATATGTTTCGACAAGAGATGCCCACAAAATTTATGAAGCATTTCTTTTTTTCAAATTAAAGTTCTTAATTTGATTTTGTGACATGATCGATGTGCTGCGTGATGAGATGGAATTAGAGTTCCATATTGTTTGACTTTTTATCCAAGATATGTTCCGTGATAGGATGGAATATATCCATCTGAAATAGTGTTCTACTGTTTCTGGTTGGTAACTACTCTGGTTGGGATACTGCTACAACTTTTTATATCAATAAAAATTCATTGACATTTTTTAAAATTTCAATTTTCATGTTACAGGTTTGACAGCAAGAGATTTTGCCGAGATTGCAGGAGGAATGTTATCCGTGAGTTCAAGGAGCTGAAGGAACTAAAGCGAATGAGAAAGGAACCCCGCTGCACCAGTTGGTTTTGTGTTGCAGATACATCCTTCCAATATGAGGTTCATTGTGCCATCCTCTCAGCAGTTCTTTAGTGCTTAGGATTTAGTATTTCTTGAGGTTGCTACACTTATTTCATGGAATATGTCTGATTTTTTATGCATGACGCTTAAACAGTTAGAACATGATCTCAGGTATCCGATGGCACCGTCCAGGTTGACTGGCATCAATCCTTCAAAGAAACGCCTGGAATATATCATCATTTTGAATGGGCTATTGGTACAGCTGAAGGGAAGTCTGATATTCTAGATTTTGAAGATGTTGGTATGAAGGGGAAAGTTCAGGTCCACGGCCTTGATCTCAGTGGCCTGAGTGCCTGTTTTATAACATTGAGGGCTTGGAGGTTAGATGGTCGGTGCACTGAGCTCACTGTAAAGGCACATGGGTTGAAGGGACAGCCATGTGTCCACCGTAGGCTTGTAGTGGGTGATGGATATGTAACAATAACAAAAGGAGAAAATATTAGAAGATTCTTTGAGCATGCTGAAGAGGTGGAGGAAGAAGAGGTGACTTTATTGCACACACTATACTAGTTTTACTTCATAAAAGTTATAGTCTGATCTTCATGATCTTCTGTTGTGTTCTTCATTTTGAAATCTAGGATGACGACTCTATTGACAAAGATGGAAGTGATTTGGATGGTGATGGATCACGTCCACAGAAGCATGCCAAGAGTCCAGAACTTGCACGTGAATTTCTTCTTGATGCTGCGACAGTTATTTTCAAAGAACAGGCATGCGCCATCAACTAATGCTCTTGTAGTTACACCCGTTGTCTTTCCCGTATCTGCTAGTTTATAGAGGACACTTTAACAATTAACTAGCGCATCTATCTCCCATCCAACTGGAGCGCTCTTGCCAATGAAAATGTGGTCAGTAATCATCACTATTTACCTGGCCATAGTAAATGGAAAAAGGCTTTTTCTGAGTATCATCTTTTGGTCTTCGATTCATATGCTAATCTAGTAAGCTTCCCCACATCTTGGAGGCTTCCTGCACAAGTCATATGCCATAGTGTGGCTTTTTGTGTGTACTAGCCGTATTGCACATGCCTGGCATTGGTCATATGTGGAATGGTAATCAATGTGACCATGATTGATGATTTGCCCCTCCTATTTTCAGCTAGAACCTGGTCTTTTAGGAAAGTGCAAATGACCAACCTGGTTAGATGTCGGGAATTCACACATTTATCTTGGTTCCAATGAGTCTGGACTTGTAATCCAAAAATAAGAGTCTGGAGGGAAATAGGACTCAAGTCTCGATTTATCAGGCATGAACTTAGTTTTCTGGGCCTTTAATTTACAATAGGTTAGAGTCGGGTGAAATATGCATAAAAACCAATAGTACAACTGATGTGTATGAACGAATAAATCTGCAAGTTTTGTGATGGACATGTGCATTTAATTTTGGGTACTTGTGTAGGAGTATGGCTCACAGAATCTTAGCGTTATATGTTGCCTTTGTTTGAAGGTTTTTTGAGGTCTCATGGAATATATGTGGATCGCTCCCTTTCTTTTTGTTTTTTTAACGAATCCCCACCAACAATCACTTGGTCATTTTCTGTGGTGAGCCAAGGTTAGATAGCTTGCAGAGAAAGGTTCCCTGTGAAAGGCTACTTTCAACGGGGGTGTGCTGACATATTCGCCTCATCTTTCATGACTTCACATGGATCTGCTTATTCTATGTGCTCACTTATCGGAATAGTTGAAATTATCGCACATAATTGCTAACCAGTAGAGTTCATGGCATCTGAACAGAAAAACTGTCTTCAACTCAAAGCCAGCAATGGATCTCCGAGTCTCTGAACCTGCTCTCATGCCGTAAAATTTCATCCTACTGAACATCCTAACTCTGATATGCTAGAACCTTGATATACATCTTCCAAGGTCAATGCTTCTCTGTCCCTTCATTCTACGTACTGTGAAGACACACTACAACGATATGCCATTATCATCATTAATTTAATCGCAGATTCATGACCCACTCAATTATATCATCTGGGCCCTTGTAAATTCTCGTCCAACTTTCGTGGAATCAATCACTTTATAGATTGCCCTCTAAATGCTGAAACTTAGCTTGGGTTCAATTTTATTTATCTTCTAGTAGCATGTATTTTGTGTATTTTTTTTTTAAATTTTTTCGTGTGCCTTATTAACATTTATTTATTGGCACCTCCATCCTTGAATCTGTTACCGGTCTCTCATCTGGATAAGCTTAAGCTCTTATCCTTTGAATAAAAGTATGGTGTCACTTGTTGCAGGTTGAAAAAGCTTTCAGGGAAGGCACTGCCCGGCAAAATGCTCACAGCACATTTGTTTGCCTTGCTCTCAAACTGTTGGAAGAACGTGTTCATGTTGCCTGCAAAGAAATCGTCACCCTTGAAAAACAGGTGGATGATGCTAGATACGACTCTTTTCGGTTGCACTATTATCTTCGGATTCATCGATCTGCCCCCTGCGCCTGCTTGACATTTTTTTTTCTTTTATCCATGTGCATTACAGATCAGGCTTCTTGAAGAAGAAGAGCGAGAGAAACGAGAAGAAGAGGAACGCAAAGAGAGACGGAGAGCAAAAGAGAGAGAGAAGAAGCTGAGGAGAAAGGAAAGACTAAAGGTGAAGGAGATGGAAAGAGAGATAAAGAACACCGAGTCAAAGTCGCTCCCCCCCGCCCTCCTGTCAACATCATCGAACGAATTATGCAGAAGTAATGTCAACGAGGCGCCCATCACCCTCGACTCCGAGGACTCGGTTGGAGACACGGGAGATTTGATCCTATACAGCCCATCTGCATATGCCAACTCAGAGGTCGATGCCAGGGACGATGCCGATTCCTTCATACTCGAGCAGCCAAAGTCTTCCTCACGGAAACTGAGATTCAAGAGTTCCCCGCCAGAGACAGCTCACAGGCGCCCACACACCATGGCCAGCTGCGATGACCGCGAGAAAATCTCAAATGGGCACGCATTGACTTCCTCTAGATTCATGAATGGAAAGCACAGGCAGTTTTCAGCCAATGGGTCAAAGCCAAATCCAAGAGACGGCGGGTCAAAGTTCAGCGACAAGCTCCACTCCAACGGCAGAGTCCATGACAGATGTGACTTCCACTCCTGTGCTTGCGGCCACAATGGGGACTACAGGGCGAAGGAAGGCCATTATATCCCCACCATCAGATCAGGCCGGGAGGTCAAGATTGTGAACAAAACAGAGGCTTTCGAACCAGTGGCGCCCCCTCATCGGATTGCCAAATATGGGCACGGATGCTTTGCGCTGGATAGTTTCCCCTCTTCTGCCGGAAGCGTTCCCGCCGGCGTCGGCCATCTTCGGAGAGGCAAGATTCACCAGATGAAGCAGGTCTGGGAGCCGGCGGACCCTCGAAAGAAGTGCTCCAGGGGGCACTCTGATCACGACGGCTCCTCCCAGCCAGCAGCCGAAGCCCGATCCGAAGCGGCTGAAAACGGATGTGAGAAGAAGGCTCCCACTGCTGTGCTTCAAGAACCAGGCGACTGTTGCTACTTCGACGTCCCCATGGATTCAGATAAACCGGAGGCCTTGGGTGGTTCTCACCAGTGCCAGGAAGCGGCGAAATCCCACTACTATTCAAAGGATGCCGCCGGCGACGAGGAGGCTAATTCTGATCCGCTGACGGCCTCGTCCAGCTCTGATAATTGCTCTTCCTGTCTCAGCGAAGGCGGGGACAGCACCACGACCTCCTCCAGCGCCCACAACGCGGAGTCTTCGTCCATCTCCGACTCAGAGGACCCCGCAGGCCAGCCACTGGAAGTAGCAGGAGCAGGAGGAGGAAGAGGAGGAGAAATCACCCCCAACAAGCTGCGACAGGACCCGCCCGCGGATGCCAATGGATTAGCCTCGGGCGGCTGCAAAGCGAGCAGCTTTCCGAGGGAGGACCCGCCCGTCTACGGCGAGTTTCCTCGGCGGCGCCACCTGCTGCCGCTGCATAGCCCCCCGCAGCTGCATGTGCCGGTATTCCCCATGCCGGCGGTGGGATTCCACACTCAGAGCCCCGCCGCTGCTTGGGCGGCCCCCGTGCCGGCCAACCGGCTGGTTCCGCTGCCGCAGCCGCACCAGTTCATGTTCCCCCATCCTCTCGGCTACGGCCTGGCGGCGAATCCGCCGCCGGACTTCTGCAACGCCCTCCCGCAGCCGGCCGCCCCATTGCTCCACCCGGGCCATTTCCCCTCCTTCAAGGCCGTCCACTCGGGCCCTCTTAACGAGCCGCAGCAGCTCACCGGAGGGAAGGAGGAGCCGGCCAAGTCCCCGTCGTTCTCTCTGTTTCACTTCGGCGGCCCCATGGCGATGGCTCCCGAGGTGGAAGGCCCCGGTGAAGGCGGCGGTGGCGCCGCCATTGGCCCGGCGGAGCGGCGGAGCGAGCTCGACTGCAGCAGGACGGAGGCGGAGGTCGAGTACAGCCTGTTCTCGTCGACCAACGGCGTCAGATTCTCCTTCCTTCGGTGAACACCCGGTTCCGTGTGAGAAGACTCCCCCCCTCACAAGTCTGATGAATAATCCCCTCCGAGCGTCGCTATATTTCAATTCGTGCTTGCTATTATTTCTCGTAATTGTTTCAGATATCTTAGGAGGAAACCACGAGTGGCCCGTAGCATTCATCCCCCCCCCTAATGAGGTAAATTTTCCATCAGCAATGAGAATATCGGCCGATTTTCCGTCGAATATTTCCACGTCATTTTAGGTCCTAATATCCACAATGGGCCCATTCCCGCCCGATACTGATAGCCCCAAATAGGCCTGTTTTTGGGCCGGACCTTGATCGAGCCGTACGACGAGGGCGAGGACGACGACATCCGTTTGGTTTCCCACAGGAAAGCCAATACCAGGGCTGGTAGAGTCTTCCAAAATATCCACGTACCTCCTCAGCGCGGGAAAAATCCATTCTAACAGATAAACATCGAAGCGGGGCCATTATTAAACAGAGGCGGCGATATAAATCGTCCCCCCCCCCCGGTCCCCGATCTCTGCAGCCACACAACACAGCAAGAGAGAGAAAGAGAGAGAGATGGGGGTGGTGGTGCTGGACGGATCGACGGTGAGGGATTTCGTGGAGGACGAGGAGGCGTTCCAGAAGAGCGCGGACGAGCGGTTCGCGACGCTGGATCTGAACGGGGACGGGGTGTTGTCCCGCGCCGAGCTCCGCAAGGCCTTGGAGACGTTCCGCCTGATGGAGACGCACTTCGGAGTGGACGTCGTCACTCCGCCGGAGCAGATCGGCGCGCTCTACGATTCCATCTTCGAGCAGTTCGACTGCGACGGCAACGGCACCGTCGACCGCGACGAGTTCCGCTCTGAGCTCCGCAAGATGATGCTCGCCATCGCCGACGGCCTCGGCTCCTCCCCCATCCAGATCGCCGTCGACGACGGCGACGGCAAGAGCTTCCTCAAGGAGGCCGCCGATCTGGAGGCCGCGAAGATCGCCGCCGCGATCTCTCCGCCATAGACGGTGGCCTCCACGGAGTTGCGTTTCCGCCGCCTCCGGTGCCCGCTCTGAGTTTGTTAATAATATCGCGTCCCAGTGCACCATACCGGCTATCATTCGAGTGTTTGTCGGCGTACTTGATGAAAAGTAATAAAAGGCAATTTCTCCATTCTAGTTGCCCAATCTTTTTCCGAGGCCCCATCCATGGCCGAACGTGTCAATACGCCAGCCTGTTCGTCGTTAATGGGCCGAATCTGTCTAAGCATGCTCTCTTACCGGCCTATAGGGGCTAAAACATAATTTTCAGGATGGGAGCGACTTGGCTAACAAATGTACAGGTAGAAAATGGAAAGCGCGTCCGGTGTCCCGCGGGTGAGGGATGCTCTGACCGGTATCCTACACCCCTCGCCGACCGGAGTCGGACTTGGTCAAGCTGCGGAGCCTCGCGAGGAACTTGACCTTCTTCTCCCAGTTGGTGGACCCCACCGTAACCGTTCCCGCCTTCCTCTTCCCTCCCGCCTTCAAAAAAGACCCCCCGGAGGCAGCAGTTACCATCTCCCAGCTCCCCCCGGGGGACTCCGGCTGCTCCCTCTCGTCCATCTCCGAGTCCCCTTCTCCGCCATCGCTGCTCCCCTTGACGTTGCCGCCGCAGGCCAGAGCGCGCGCCTGCATCTCCGCCACCGCCTCCGAGATCGCCGCGTCGGCGTCGCCACGGTTCCGCAGGAGCACCTCGCCGATCTCCGCCGGCGTCAGAGCGCCGCCGGATCTGATGCAACTCTCCGCCACGGCGATGAGGCCGTGGTCCTCCACCCCAAGGTAGCTTCTCACCAGCTCTCGGAAGGCGTGGGGGCCGCAGGCCCCCAGCCTCAGGTGGACGTCCATCCTCCCCGAGCGCAGGAGCGCCGGATCGACGCCGTCCTTGTGGTTGGTAGTGAAGACGATGATCCGCTCCTCCCCGCAGCAGGACCAGAGGCCGTCGGTGAAGTTGAGGAGGCCGGAGAGAGTCACGCGCTGGCTTGTGCCGTCGTCGTCGTCCTCAGATCCGTCCGTCTCCTCCCTATGATGCCTGCTCCTCGTTGAGCGCCTTGCTCTGGAGGAGGTGGCCTCCTTCGCGGCGCGATCCGCGGTCAGGTTTAGAGAGCAGTCGATGTCCTCGATGACGATGATGGAGCGGTTGGTGGTCTGGATGAGGAGGGAGCGGAGCTCGGAGTTGCCGGAGACCTTGGTTAGCTCCAGGTCGAACACGTCGTACCGGAGATGGTTGGCCATGGCGGCGACGAGGCTGGACTTGCCGCACCCCGGGGGCCCGTGGAGGAGGTATCCCCTCTTCCACGCGCGGCCGACGCGGCTGTAGAAGTCGCGGCCGGCGGCGAAGGCGGAGAGGTCCGCGAGGAGGCGCGACTTGAGCACCGGCTCCAGGGCCAGTGTCTCGAAGGTGGCGGGGTGCCGGAAGGGGACGGAGGCCCAGCACCCGCCGCCGCCGCCGCATCCGGTGGCGGAGGACACGTTAGTGTACAGCCGGCGGTCCCGGGAGAGGTGCTCGAAGTCGGCGGCGCTACCGGAGACGTGAGACAGGTAGGGGAGCAGGAGGCCGGAGCGGGAGAAGCGCTTAGGCGCGCGGAGGGAGAACCACCGGCGCTCCTCCAGCGAGTCCTGGACGGTGTCCACGTTGTGGGCCCAGAGGAGGCGGTGGCCCTCGTACTGGTCCTCCACGGCGTGGTTTGGAGCCACTGACAGTGAAAGCTGCGGCGAGTTTCTCGGCCGGGAGAGGATGAGCCTGGTGGATGGATTCGGATGATGGCCACCGTCGAGGAGAGATGAGTGGAGGTAGAGGAGGACATGGCGGTAGAGGTCGTTGGGCTCTACAGCAAAGGAGCCGTTGAACTCGGGGACGTCGAAGTAAGAGTAGGGCGTCAGCGCGTCCTGCAGGGACTGCCACAGAGAGTGGAGGAGCCTCAGCAGCTGCGACGGCAACACATTCTGAAGCACAGTGAGCAGCCCCAGGAACGACCACATCTGCGAGAGGAACTCCATCTTCCTCCTATCAGAGCAGAGGGAGTGGAGGGAGGAGGGGCTCTCTGGTTTTATAGGAGAGAGAAAGGGGGAGGGAGACGGCCGGAGGTGGGTGGCGATGGTGGGGTCCGGGGGGGGCAGACTCGGGGGGTGGGGGGGGGTGCGTTAAAGTAAAAGTGAAAGCTAGCGAGGAGGAGGGAGGGGGAGGCTCTGAAACTGAGAGAAACTGGCCGGGACATCGCCTGTGAGTTCTGCTAGGGTTCCGCCTTGGGCTCCGGGGAGTGGCGGAGGGGGGAAGTAGGTGGCGTTGTGGCCGGAGTCTGCACGGGTGCACCCACGGCGGCGCTTTTCCTTTTCCCTTTCCTCTTTTGCTTTCTGCGTGATAATCCTCTCATCGAGCTGCCCTAACCATCCGAACCAACGAAGAAGAAGAAGAGAGCAGAGAGGGAGACAGATTAGGGGAGTGGCTCATCATCCCTATCAGCTGGAGAAAGAGCAATTTCTGGTTAAGTACTCCGAGACTGTTGGGGGGGGAGGGGGGGGGAAGCTGATTGTGGCCGATTCGGTGATGTCCAGTGATGGGAAATGCGGCGGAGGAAACAGCCAGCTTTTCCCTAGTGCCCTCATTTGACCATGTCCCAGCAGACCCTAGGGCGATCTTCGTCTCCTCTCGGCTGTTCTCATGTCAACCCCCCTCAGCCTTTCCCTCTCTCCCCTCGGCCTTCCAGCAAAGTCATCGCTAGAAATGTTCTTTGCGCAAAGATGGCCATATAGGAGACAGAGAGAGAGAGAGAGAGAGAGAGAGGAGCTCTGAAAGATTAGCTAGCTTACGGAGGAAGACGTTCCATGGCGTAGCCTCGTTGGAATCTGATGCCTCTGTAAAACGGCCACCTCTTTCGACCTTTGCCCCGTGGTGGCAAAAAAGGAAAAGCTCCTCTCTCTCTCTCTCTCTCTCCCTCTCGCTCTCTCTATATTCCACTGCGCAAAAGTCAGTGAAGGCTGAGTTGAAGAGCATCTAAAGAGGGACACGCCCCCAGGTCTGCGGCAACAGGAAACTTAAGCGCAGCCCTGACGAGGCTCGACGCCTCGGCCCCCACTCTGACCATTGCGCCAAGAGAGAGAGAGAGAGAGAGAGAGAGAGAGAGAGGGAATCTCCGGGGGCCGGACCAGAGGTGATGCCAGACCGTGGCATTGAGGGGGCACCTCGGGAGGAGTATCATTGGCTCTGGCCCTCCGGTGAGGGAGCGGAGGCCATTATCCGCAGTTTTTGTTGGCTTCCAGTTTTAACTCTTTCACTCCCTCGGATGGGTGCTGCGGCCTGCCATCATTCCGACAGTCTGCATTTCTTCAGCGCGGTTCCTTCGGCTGTTGAGAAAAAAATCATACGGAACAAGAGATCGAAAAGGCGCTCCCTTGCAAACGCCCATCCCCGGAGACGATTAAGACGTTGCCGGCATCGACAACGGCAGCACCGCAATCAGAGGCTTTTTTAGCATTCTCTTGCTGCTACTGCTCCTCTCTCTCTCTGAAAACAGCAGCAGCCCGTGGCTGAGTCACTGGGCCTCGATCGCCGCGCTTGCAGTGGAATCCGGTTCGAATCCAAAAAGACAAAAAGGGTAACTTGATGAACGGGGTCGCCGTAAAAAACCCTCTTTGGTTTTGTCTTTATCACCCCATCTCTCTCTCTCTTCACACACACACGCTCACACAGAAATAGGAGCATGTCTAGGAAACCTAGACGGTTCACGCAGTATGTGCTGGTACAACCTTCATTTTCCACACGTGTTTACCCCGCAGTGTTTCATCTCACTCAAGGAAAATTTTGTCCAATCAATCAGCGGCAACAGTCGTCCTCTGGGTTGCGAAGTATATCCATTTGGGAGGGTCCTATGTCAAGGCGCCGATCCCATTGGCTCCGACGACAGACTGATCACTCGGATTGGGCGACAGCTGGACACCACGTGGCCCAGTTGGAGAAATCGTGCTGTTAGAATGCGCTAGGGTTTTGAGGGGTTGAGGCCACGTACCCTTTGGCTGACGACCGACCGCGGGCTGGAGACGTGGCAGATTGGTGCTGATGGTGATCCGTCTGTGATCCATCTTGCAACGAGGAAAGCTGAGCCGTTGGTTCCACGTTGGACTGAATTCGATGCGGTGGTCTGCTGCTGAAAACGGTGGTAGTAAGTATCAAGCAAAGGTAACGAGAGTGGGTTTCTACTGACCGTGAAGTGGGAGCAAAATGGCGGTGGTGGACCATTTTTGGTGACGCCAACAGAGGCTGTTCGTAGATCGGGGGAGATGGTTACTGCTTCCACCTTCTCCTCTGCCATCCTGGCCCGCTTCCTTGCCACCGCAAGCTCCGTCGATAGTTTACTTATGGTGCCCTCCATCTCTCCAACCAGAGCCCACAGTCGCGCGAGCGTGCCGCTCTCAGCGTCGGCGAGGAGCTGCTCGACGTGGCTCACCATGACCCCGCAAGTCGCCTGCGCTATCGCCCCAAGCATGTTGTCCACCGCCTGGTGCACGTCGTCAAGCGAGGAAGAAACTTGTACGTAGGTGGCGTGGAGAACCTTGCCGACGAGGTTGGCAGTGGCGTCCAGGTCAGCCTGAGTCTGCGGGGGATGGTGGCCCACGCAGGGTGGGGAGTAGATAGAGGCCGCTCGTTTGATAAAATGGCGAAGGGAGTTATGTGTGTAATCGAAGGCATAGCGGATACTCTCCTGGTTGTAGACGAGGTGGGCCACGATGCTGCGGAGCAGGCGGACCAAGCGTTGCGCAAGTAGCCTCTGCTTCTCTAAGATCTCTTCGCATGCTTCCTTTGCTTGGGCACTGTAACTTGCTCCCTGAAAAAGTCTTCAAACTCAGAGACCAGAAAAGGTACAATGGCATGCGATCGAAGCCTTTGTGATCGTGAGAGCGGAGTATATGTCAATCCATAGCAATCGAGGAGAGGAAATCTCCCAGGATCGGCACATGAATCCGAATTCATTTCGCATTCTCACCTCTGTATACGAAACTGGAAGCTCCCGAGGAAATCCATTGACCTTATCACCAGCAAGATCACAGGTACTATTCTGCCAATTGATAGGAAACCGGAGTAATCACAAATCCACGTGAATGTATTTAAAGCCTTCGACAGTCCTCACCTCTTTCATCGAAGCATAGCATCGTTTGCCAGAAACTGCGGGTCTCTCGGCGAATCCATTAAACTTCAGGATAAATGAATCCACGCATAAGAAATAAGATTCGAATAGGGATCAATGAAAACAAAGGGAAAACAAAACAGCAGAGAAGCCGCTTGACACCACGTATAGCTCTGGACTGATGATAATGGCGCTGGATTTCCCATCGCCGGCCATCTCTTCGACCTTGAGCCCGACAAGCTTCATTAGAGGAACGGAGATCGAATCGAACACGTCGCCAACCTGCGTATAATCAAAACGAGAGGCCGGCCGGCCAGAGATCGATCCGCGTGCTCTCCAAGCTCACAAAGACAGATGCTCTCGGTAGCCCCCTCACCTCCATCAATCCAGACTTGATCTCTAACCTAAGGTCCCGGAACACCGTCCTGCACTCCTCGTGACGCCTGACGACCTCCTGGAGCTTCCGTTGGCGGCGAAGCCACGCCGTCGGAGGAGATCGGGAGCAGATCTCGCAGCCGCTATGCAGACGTCTCCCCATCTCTCCCTGCTCTCTCTCCCTCTCTCCCCCCCCCCCCCGCACCCAAGGCGCGGGCGGGAAACGCGCCTTTCATTTATACTGGAGAAAATCGCGAACTCATGAGGTGGACCTACCTCCACAACCGCAGCCACATAATCCGAGCGGACCCGAATCCGACGTATAATGAACTAAGACGGGTGAAATAAGCCCGATAAGTGGCAAAGCCCCCCACTCAGCCACAAGCATGCAGCCTTGGCCCAACCACAGCCAGCCACGTGGCCCGGCGCTCGTTGACCGACACAAGAGACAACCCCTACCCACCTTAAAACAGGGAAATTACAAGAATAACATCCGAAAGTTTGACGCCATTTCGAGACGGTCAAACAGACGAACCAAGACAGACAAAACGGACCCGATCTAAAATTCCTATCTTTACCCAGAATGGCAACGACGAGATCCTAAGAGCCATCGATCATCGACGAAGAGCTGCAGACCTGCAGAGCCATGCAAAGGAGGGTGCTACAGTCAGTGATCTCATGAATCGTTGACTAAACAAGCAGCCATGGGATCAGAAGTCAAAATAACCGATGATTCACTCATTTCACGGAATCTGCTCAGATGAGGAACAACGAGGAGATAAAGTCAACCATGGGTTCCTGAAGAAATCAATCTGCGGAATCATATTCAGATCATATAAGCTATAAGAAAGCAGCTCATCCCTTTTTTCGGACCAATAAGCAATAAGTCAACCGGGGGATTCAGCTCGGATGAGGGGCACAGTAAAAGGAGAAAAATGGGGAGCCACAGTACTATCTGATCATTTTTTTGCCACAGATGAGGAACCCATCAGATTTTTTTTTCCTTGGAACAGAAATTGAGGCAATAATGGCAGTATTAGATCGTTGACAAGGAGATCCACATAGAAGTCCCAATGAAAATTAGTCGGCTTGACTTTTTTTGCAGGTAAGTTTCCATAAAAATAAATAAAATTAATTTAAATGAGATAAAAAAATTATGATCTGGGTTTTCTTGGCGACATTGCCGAGAGTGATGCCCCACTGAAGCAATATTATATCATATCTACCAATTTCCCAGCAAGATCCATCGCTTTTCTTGGGTTCTTCCCCAACAGTGCAGTAAATAATACTTTTTTGAAAGCGATACTTCATCAAAAGTTCTTCCCCCTAAAAAAAATTATGTACTTTGATAATATATTTCTTGATTTATATTGCCAATTAGTGATATTTACACACCCAATTAGCCCAAACTATAGTCATATTCATGTAATCATCCATGAAGAGAAAGGAAAATAGAACCGGAGATAGAGAGTATGTTAGTGAAGGGATAGGATGAGACGAACCTCATCTTCCTCAAGACGCCGGCCATCTCCTCACGCTTCTTCTTGGCCCTCTTGTGAGTGCCCAGCTTCCTCTTCGCCAACTTGAGAGCTCGCTTGTCTTTACCGACCTTGAGGAGCTCAGTTACCCTCTTCTCGTATGGAGCGAAACCCGCGACTTCCCTAATCACGTTCCTCACAAAGTGCACCCTCTTGCTCGTTTTCTGGATCAGATCACGCCCAACTAGGCAAGGAGACTCACGGAAACCAGAGACCCCGCCACATCTGGCGTCGCCGCAGTGGAAACAACTCTCCTAACGCTCTTGGTGAGGAGTATGAGACTCAGTGTCCACCAGTTCGTACCCCTTTCCAAGCCGAGGGACGGGGGGCTATCTCCCTCTTGGTGACGACATGCCCCTTGTTCAGCCCCACAAAGAGACCAGTGTTCGGCTGCTTGGGGGCCATCGGCGCGTCCGCCTTCCTGGTTAGCACCCACAAGAACCCGTTCAGAAACCTAATGGAAGACAAAGAGATGAATACCAAGAGAGAATCCGCAAGTCGAGAGAGGGAGAGAGAGAGAGAGTATCTTAGCGGTCAACGGAGAGGAGAGAGGGCGGATGCCGTGATCGCCGCCGGGGTAACGGCGACGGAGTGGAGGACGGGGGACGGTAGGGTTTGCGAGTGGGAGCGGACAGTCATCTAATGTTGTCCATTGGGCCGATCGCGTGCTATTTTGGGCGTTTACTGATCCGCTGTTACGGTGGCCGCCACCTACCCTCTGTCCCGCGGCCCAGTCTTATAGTTGGGCCAATATTGGGTCAACCCTTCCCCGTACGTAAAAACTAATGCATTGGGCCCATTGTGAGTATTATTGGGCCTATATTTGGGTGCCCGATACGATGCGTGGACGGAGAATAATGTATATTGGGCCGATTGCATGCTATTTTGGGCTTTTTCTGATCATCTGTTACGATGGCCGCCACCTTCCCTCTGTCCTGCGGCCCAGTATTATAATTGGGCCAATCCTTCTCGGCCCAGTCAAACTTACAAGCGTCACGCAACGACCCTTTTAGGCCCTTCAAAACCCGCAGATATGCTGAAAGTTGAGCCGCATTATCGGCCCGGTTATCTCATCTCTCATCCGCCACGCATTGCATTCTAATCAGTTCAAAACCCCCGTCCAACATCGGCTGAGACAGACACAGTAGAGATAGAGAGAGATAGAGGGAGACAGAGAGAGACAGAGAGAGACAGCGATAGAGATAGAGAGAGAAAGAGAAAGAGAGAGATAGAGAGAGAGAGAGAGAGAGAGAGAGAGAGAGAGAGAGAGTCGGCATCTAATTGGTGCGCACGGCGGCGAGGGTCTCTCCGGTGGGGGAGGTAGTTGGGCAGAATGTTCGTTCCGATGAGGGGGGGCAGTCTTCAATGCGGCAGGAATTTCTAGACAGAAGGAAAGAACGACAGCAGCGCCACCACCGGCGAGCGAGACCGGAGGAGGAGGAGGTGGGGGCTTCCACTTTGATCTGCAAAGTACCTGCTTTTCTACCCCCCCCCCCCCCCAAACTGACTGGCGGAATTGGGAAGTCACCCACGTACCCGATTCAGGCGGGGAGGACGAGCTCCGAAGACCCGGCAGCCTCCGGCGGGAAGGTTTCCATTTTAGTCGCCTCCCCACGGCGGCGCAGAGGCCGAGGAAGAGGGGGCAGCGGCCGATCCCGGAGTCGATGCTCGCCATCATCACTTTGCTTCCGAGCGCAGCGGAAGCGGCGAGGGCGGCGGGAGGTCCCCCGCTTGAACCCCACTTTGAGCTGCCATCGCGCGGATGAGGGGGGGACACCGCCGGCACAGGTTGGAGGTGGGGACGCCTCCCATTTTTCCTTGAGTGTGGAAATCACGACGACATTCTGCTGGCTTCCCAAGGTAACCCCACAAGCTAATGATGGAGAAAGACAGTGGGTCGTATTTAATTGTTTTCCTCGGGGCACAGACTGTGGTTTACCGGCTACTGGTAAATGATGTGTGTTGTTAACCTCTTGTTATCCTCCACAGGGTATCCGATGCGTCTCTACCGCCGGAGACAACCTAACCACCCCACTCACCCACCCCCTTTTGATGTGGGTACGTCGTCTCCAATGTCCAACCTAGCTCATCTACTTTGTTCGTTTGAAAGAGGCCATGGTTCAACAACGAAAATAATTAGAATTATATTTTATTCACTTTAAAAAAATTCACCTTCCCATTAATAACTCATGAGTCATTGACAAGTTATTAGTCTGAGTTCTAGGTCCCCTCAAATTATCTTAAGATTTTTATCTTACCGTGATAAGAGTATAATGCAAGTGTGCTTATCTTATTCCAAGAGCGTTTATGTGGGATATATATTACTTACTATCTAGAACATAGTAATTGAGGGAAATTGATAAAAAAAAAAACATTGTAAATGCTTAGCTTAAGCTGTGGTATTCTCATTCTACATGGTGAGAGTGCTAGCATAGAATTGCTGAAAAAGGGTTACAAAAAAATCAAATAAATCATAATATTCGAACATGAATAAATCAATGGTTGTCAAATAATAATAAAAAGCATTGTATATCTTTCACCTAGACATGTGGCATTGAAAAGATGTGGATGTCGAAAAAGATATGTCATCTCCTCATAACAAGCTAGGGATACAAGTAGTAGATGTTTAGTTGTAACTAAATCACCTCGATAAAGGCATGTGCCTAAAAAAATATGCATTCTCAAGCTACTCTCATGATAATCATTGAGCTCTCTTCACTCTTTCTAGGTTTTTACTTGATTACATGGGACGATTGTGCAAGTTTTATATAATTAAGCAAGCGCAATGAAATAGTATTGTTGCAATGGTGCACTGAGCTTCTCAATGAAGGAACCAACAGCCCGATGGTTTCCAATAATAACTAGCACAAGAATGGGCACATACATAAAAGGAGGGACAACCACTAACTCTTGCATCAACACGTAGCATATACAAGGATCGCAAGCTGAACTTGGATCATAGTTACGTAGATGCATCAAATCATGCTCAAGAAACCAATTAATTTCGGTCAAACCCCTCCCTATTAATCATTTAATTGAAGGGTTGACGAGTCAAACCAAATGACATATTGGCGATTATCCGATGAAGCAAGCAGATAGGACTATATGTGCGCCATAAACCATGACGGTACGTATATATTTAGGGCATCAAACATACGCTGTACTATGGGAAGGCCTGTGGATGTGGCTAAGTATCTTCCTGAGTGAAGCAAATCCCATGTGATAAAAGTCAGCTTTCTAGGGATTGCGATGGGATTGCACGATAAAATTACACGAGGACCATGGAGCTTTGGTGCCGTGAACTTTTTACTGAAGGGCCCTCGATGGAAAAACCTGGTCCTTGAAAGTGGTTCTTCTGCATTTATTGCTAATCAGTGATTAACCTTACATAGATAAGATGTCTGTTCGTAAAGAAAAGATGACCACGGTTGGATTTGAGAGCGGTGACTATGGAATTGGCCAGTCAGGAACCGGCTATGAGAAAAGAGTACGGGGACTGAGGTTGCGTCTCTTCTACATCCTTTTCTTTTCTCCTCGTCAATGGGCACTCCTCATCCATCAGAGATGTTGGTACTCTGGCCTCTTCTCGTGACCAGCTACTACACGCCGAGCCCCGGTAACAGAGGTTAAAGGAGGTCCCGGTTCACCCCATGGCCGACACGTCGCGGCGCTCCGTCCGGTTGGCAGATGCAGGTCTGCCGGACGGCACCGGAGGAGGAGTTAGTGAGGAGGCAGGAGGCCCAGTACCAGGAGAGGCCGTACTCCCCCGCCTACGGCGGGCACCGTCTCCGCCCTGCTCATAATCTTTCCAACCTTACACCTCGCCGGACGGCCGTACGATCGCTGCAAGCCGCTTGGGCTCCGTCTCCGTCTCCGGCTCCGGCTCCGGCTCCGGCAGAGCGCGTACAGGCCATGAAATCTTCGAGTAGATGTCCTGGTGGCCGTGGTGCTGGCCTCTCTGTGCCATGACGAGTCCCCGTTTCCTGTACCCGCCCATCAGTTGATGGTTGATGCTTCCGCGGCGCTGCTTACATGAGATACCAGCGAGAAAGAGAGAGGATACACGCACTCCCACAAATTAACTCGTTCAGAAAGCCATTTACAACTTCTAGTCAACTAGTTCCCCGTTAATCCTTTTAAAATGGGTGTCTGGTGAGTGGGCAGTCGAACTAGAAGGTGGGAGACGCCATCTTCGATGCAAGCTTCCAAGTACATCCGTGACGTGGTATGGTCTCTTTCATGTGAAGAAGCTTCTCACCAGCCTCCCAACACACCCTTTTTGAAGCTTATTATCATCCTTTGATAGCAGATTAAAAACCCGAACTCGGACTATGCGAGTTCTCCGATATCCTCCCCGAGGTTACGAGTTATTCTCCGTGGCCTCTCTTTCTGGTCCTGGTCAAGCTATCTCCCATTTATTCCCTTTGTTCTTGATTAGGGCAGTCACAAGGCACTGTATTGGGAAAAAGGGAGCGATGGGTGGGCAACTGGGACGTTTTTTCTCTGCATGGATTGTGCAAGTTTAGAAACATGGCGAGGCGTATTACTGGGTAGAATCTTACTGAGAGAGGGAGAGAGAGAGAGAGAGAGAGAGAGAGAGAGAGAGAGAGAGAGAGAGAGAGAGAGAGAGAGTAAGGCTTAATAATCCCAGAAAGGCAGCATCCTTCCTATGATCCTCAAGAAGATTGGGAATGTGGAGATCATGCGGCCTAACGATGAGCGAGAGAGAGAGAGAGAGAGAGAGAGAGAGAGAGAGAGAGGGAGGGAGGAAATTGGTAGAAAACAGCGAGGTGCTGCAGTATACTGATCCTGGATATGCACTTGCAATCTCGTACTGGATTTGGGAGTCTTATTTCTTACACCTCTGCCGTTCTGCGTTAACTCTGGACAGTGACACGGTTTCCGAAGATGCGACGTAAATACCCGGTTCAGAAAGAAGGCTGTGCGCAGAAATTTAAAGCCTGTACTGGGTTTCATCAGTTAATCCATTTGGGCAACGATTCTATCGGTGACTTGAATCCCGCTCGAAGGAAAGATAATAAAAATCGAGGTTTTCCTCGACTTTCTGATGAATTCAATCTATTAACCAAACCTCCGTCTGCAAGAGATCTGTCAAGGCATTCAGGTCCATTCTTCTGCGTTATCTTGGATGCGGATGAGGAATCACTCTGAGAACTATTCTGCAAGGATTTCTGATGAGATTCTTTCAAGATTACGGATGACTGCGAGCAACAAGAGTTGACATTTTCTGTGTGCGATCAGGACCCCTTAGACAGGATCCAACGACGCTCTTATGGAGACAGTTCTTGGAGAGGAAGTTGCCGCAGGGTTCCTCACAGGCTACCCAGCAAGGCCCTCAACGTCCGAGGGTCTCAGTGGGAAGAGGCCGGTTATTGATGCCATCAATCTGACATTCCTTGGCAGAAATTGTCATAAAAGAAAATATATTCGTTGAATTGGCTGTTCTGCGATGCAAAATCTTCCTCATGGTTCACGAATTGTCTGTCCTTCGCCGCTTGATTTGTTCTCAACGGGATCCACGTGCTACGTCCGCTGAAAGAATTCTTGCCCAGATCTAAAAGCATCTAATATGTCCCATAGTTCTTGGATTGCTTGAATAATCCGAGAGAGGAAGAAAGAGCGGAGGTGGAAGAAGAAAAATATAAATTTAACGAGGAAATTCCAGCAGTTCGATACCAATTACAAACGCAAATCCAGACTCAAGTGTTCCTTCACTCCTGCAGCGGCCGATTCATACACAAATCGACCCTGCGGCGACGGAGCCGAGGAAACCGACCTGGCGATGGCGGCGCCTCCACCGCCGAGTTCCATCCTACCTCCTCCAGCTGCCCTCAAATCCTCGCTTCCGAGTAGAGGTAGAACCGTCGACAGGCCGCTCTGCGTCGAGGGGAAGCCACGGCTGCCATGCACTGGGGGGATTCTCCACATCCCCGGCAGCGGGCTGCCGTTGATGGGCTGAGAAACGGATCCGGGACCACCGTAGAAGCGAGCTCCCACAAGACCCCCACCAGGTGCTGCACCGTTCCATGAAGGCGGCGACTCGAAGCTGTGGCCAACGCCAAAGCGAGCGGTAGATGGGATGGAGTTGAGGTGGTGGTAGTTCACGATCCCGTAGCCGTGGGCCTGGTGGTGCTGGGCCGCCATGGCCGACTGGAGGTAAGCTCTCTTGGCGTGCTGCCGCTCGCGCTTGTGGGCGTTCTGGTGACCGCCTAGGGCCTGCGATGTGGGGAAGTTTCGGCAGCAGTAGTGGCACTCGAACTTGCGGGTAGTCTCCGCCGCCGCAGCGCCGCCGCTGGTGACATTGCTAGCCGTGTCCTTGGTGGAAGCCTCATCCTCTACGACGTCGGGTTCGTGGGAGAACTCGATGCCGAAAAGGCGGATGCCGCTGGCGGAAGTGGAGCCGCTGGGGCTCTTTCCCCCACCGGGGGGAGTGGAACGAATGAAGGGGAGCTGGGAGAAGGAGTCGACGCTCATGAAGTCCCTCGTCTCTCTCTCGCTCATCTCTCTAGGAATCCAAGCAAGCCACGGCCGCTGCCGCCGCCCCTCCTGGTCCTCTTCTGCTTCTATAGAGAGGAGGAAGGAGTGAACAAGAGAAAGCCGGTCGTTGATAAAGATAGCGGAGCGAAGTTATCTTTCTCCCCTTTTTATCTCAGTTACATCTGTAATACACCATGACTTTTAAGGAAGCATTCGCTGACTACATCTGGCGTAACTCCTCTGACAATCCCTGCTGCTGCACCGCCGCTGATCAAGTCTCCCCGCTTCTTTAAGCATCTACCCAATTCCCACAACTGTTACTAATCACCCTCCCTCTCTCTCACTCTCTAGCCGTCTAGATTTCGCGCATCCGTGAGAGTCAGCCAAGAAGGGAATGGGTGTGGGACTGGCCGCGGGTCTCTCTCGCCCCTCCCCCCTTCTTTGTCCATCTATCTCTCTCTATCTCACACTCCTGTCCCCATCTCTCATTGTAAGAGTGCCTCTCTATCAGGTACTGGTTGCTGTAATGGGTTCTTTATAGTAGTTGGCTTCTTTATAGGCGTTGCAGGAGGGTGGTCCTGGGGACGATGGAGAGGAGAAGGTAACCCGAACGAAAGAGATGAAACACGAGGCTTCCCTTTACCCTTTTGTTTGTTTGCTTCTTCTAAATGCCAAGCGATCTCCACCTGCCCCTGTCGTCCAGACTCGTCTTCCTCGGTGCCTTCCCCCCCCTGCCGGCCGGCGTTAGCTGGCCCTCCCCGCCCCCCGTTCGCCGGAGGGGCTCGCCGCCAGATCCCCCCTCCCCCCGCGCCCCCCTCCCAGATACACTCTAATCCCCATGTTTCCCTCGAATAATACGCGGAAATCTGAAATAATTCGTCATCCCCAAGTTTCTCTCGCCTTTCCTGTCATCTAGACCATCTGAAAAGGACCAGATGATGCCCCCCCTTCCCCCTCCACCTCTCTCTCTTTCTCTTTCTCTCTCTCTCTCTCTCTCTCTCTCTCTCTCTCTCTCTCTCTCTCTCTCTCTCTCTCTCTCTCTCTCTCTCTCTCTCTCTCTATCTATCTATCTATCAATCTATCTATCTGTCTATCTATCTATCTATCTATCAGATGGGAGACTCTCTGCATGGGCTCTCTCTCTAACTGAACGTATTTCCCGTTTAGGGGAATGGCTGAGGTTCGTGTGGAGCGGATCATACCATCTCTCTGCGGCGTCTTCGATTTCGTCTCCACGAGGGCATCCGGGCATGTGGGGAAGGGGGGGGGATGCGGGATCCCGCCGTGCCGTCGCCTTCTGCATGGTCTTCGGCTGAAATAGCAATTTAATGATATCCCCGCCGGAGGACGACGACGGGCGAGCCCCGCTCGCACGTGCACGCGTGCGCGCCTTCCCTCCCGATATGGGCGGTCGAGATTGGAAGCGACCCACGTCGTCGGTGCGCTGTTCGCGTCGCTGATAATGATGATAATAATAATATTATTCCTATATTATTATATATCGATAATGATGTGTTATGTAGAGTTGAGGACGACGGGAGGGAGAGAATAGTGACAGAGTTTGCATGCTGCGATGGGGCCCGCTTTATTCGTTCGTCCCTGACTCGTCGTGCTGTTATTCCCCCCCGCATAACGTATTTATCCTCACAAACCCCATTATTCTACTCTTCTACTTCATGGACCAGTCGCTGTCCACCCCTCTCTCTCTCTCTCTCTCTCTCTCGCTCTCACTCTTTATCTCTCTATCTCATCTCTCTGTCCCACTTGGGGTTGTGACGTGTAGGAGAGAACCAAGGGGATGGCTGATGGAGCTGCCCACCTGCAAACCTCTCTTGCTCCCTGGTGTCTACAATAAATGGGGAAGGGTGCAAGTCTTTAGCTGCTTCTCTCTCTCTCTCTCTCTCTCTCTCTCTCTCTCTCTCCATCTCTGCGGCTCGTTCGCGGTCTCCCTGGAGAGGAACTACTGGCGATCAGCTTTCACTTGGAGGCGAGAAGATCTGCGGATATCGATCCGCTTCATTCATGCGAGTCCCCTCTTGGCCTCCATCCTGCCGCCTTTCTTTAAGAGGAGTCAGCCTACCACTCCGGCGGTGGACCAGTCCTCGTCGTCATCCTCGCCGGCGCCACTGCGAACTGCTGGCTTCCGCGTGACGCGGGACGCCGTCCGGTTGCTGTCCGGCCTCCCGCCCTACTCTGGAACTCTCGCCGCGTGGGCAGAGAGAAGGAAAGGGTGTGTACTTAGGGTGCGCTCCCCCTCCCACAGACTCCCGCAGTCCAGACTGGCACGTGCGTCGGCACGTGTATCGGTGATGGTACTCTCATGTTAGCAAAGATGTAGTAGTACTAACTAGAGCCGCAGGTCGGAGACGGTCCCCGCTTCTTTGGGACTTGGAAGTGAAGAGGCCCCTCCCCCAAGTAGAGAGAGATAGTGAGAGAGAGAGAGAGAGATGGAGCGGGGCCTGAAGACGTTGGGTTCTACGTGGAACACTTGTATCGATGTGGAAATCGGTGTCTCACCGTTAAAGACGCTGGCGGTCTTCAGGAAAGGCATGATCGTCCTGTCGGGAGGAGATCTAACGTGAGGACCACCGGTGAAAGAATCTCGAACATGATGCGGCCAACAAGACAACTTAATATATGCACTAAAAATACGAATATTCACGATAGGGAGAGATAGAGAGGACATAATGAAAGTATACTTGAGAAAAATAAAAACTGGATGAAAAATGAATTTGGGATGACAGCTAGGGAGAGAGAGCTTGTGGCTCTTTTCACATGTCGTGATATCAAACACAAGGGATGGGGATGTGGGGGACGTCATGCGTTTAGAGCTCTCAGAGTGACTGACCTTGCCTTCAAAGCTTATATCTGGACGGCCATAGTACTGCACCTGTCATGTTAGTTTGTCTCTTTTGTCGATATCGACCTCTCCAAGTGGGTGCCTTCCGCAGTTCTCCCATAAGAGTCAGTGTATAATGGCTATGCATATAGACGTATATGTACGCGTACAGACACCCACACACCGTGAGACACAGAGAGAGAGAGAGAGAGAGAGAGAGAGCATGATATACGACCGTTACCCTGCAATAAACGCACCCATCCGAGATAAATATGCATTGGAAGGGTGCTTACATCAAACGCAACCCTAATTCAGGACGTCTTTCGTCATGTTGGCAAGGGCACGCGCTCATGGCAGTTATTCTTGGATGCTCGGGGGACTGCTGATTTGGAAGCCTCGTTGAATCAGCTTGGTCAGAAGGGTAGCTTGTCAAAGGAGCACATGAATGCTCAGGCCTCTCGTTTGCCCTCCCTATTTATGATTTCATAAATGGGTACCTTCATTGGTATGCTGTTTCACCTAAAATGAGGTTGATTCCGACCATTTGAGTGGTGAACCAGGTTATCCGAGTTAGGAAGAAGAGTGTGGGGATCTTCGGTAGATTCTCCAAGGAGCCGTTGAAATAATTGCTGGGATGAGAAGAATTTTCGAAGGCCTATGGTACATAATGGAGAGTGTTCCGATTATATGGAACATCCTCAATCCTTCACCGTTATTCACTAACTACCAGCCGATTAACGTAGTAATATAAGGTAACCTTGAGAAGAACGAGAAAATTCACCAAAATATACCCTACAAGGCAATTTTTTCAGAATTTTTTTCTCCAAACGATGTGGCACTAATTTTAGCAAGTCTCTCCAAATCGGATCCACTTGGGATTATGCTCGAATTTATGAAAAATGGTTTTCTCTTTTATGTGGCATATGTCGGAAGAACTGATGTTTCCCCGTTTTGGCAAAGATGTCTGCTCCCAGTGTCCAGGGAATGTGACCAAATTATACTCTTCTTGAGCTGGGTCAAGGGCGAAAGGACTGATTTCATCTACCCGTTTCTAAGTCGTGGTTGCTTTCATTGAATTTTTGAAAAAAAAAATTATGTTTTCTAGATTGAGTTGGGTACCATAATGTATCTCATTCTTAGTCGAAGAGATGGCCTTTCGGTAAACCACCTTAAATGGAAGTCCAATGTCGTAGTAGTGATAAAACATCAATCCAATCTCACTTAAGAGAATCATGTCCTGCCTATATGTTAAATAGTGATCACCACACGGACAAGTAAATTAAATAACAATTGAATTGATTACTGGAAGGTGAACCTAGACATCAGTAGGTTCAGAGCAATTCCTAAAGATCATACCTAGTCTTTCCGAAGATCATAGATGACCGCCTAGATGACCTTCTGGGTAATACTGGTAATTCAAGCTAGATTATGCTAGATACTCTACGTACATGTGGTCGTATTTATCGTTCATAATCTTTCAACTAAATATAATGGTCAAAGGAGTAACTTCAATGAAACCGTGTCCGTTCATTTGAATTCAAGCCCCAAATCAGTCGTTACCAAATTTGGGGAAGATTGATCGAGCAGTGCCTCGAAATCTATATAGCTGCACTCATATTGATAGGTGTTAGCTCTATTTTGATTGTGCCATCTAGAGTCGAAGGTCTCGGCTTGTCGTTGAGCAGTAATTTATTGTTCACTCCATAGATATTAACCGAGTTTCATCAGAGTTCATCGGTAGCCACCGCCAGGTGCATTCCACTCAGGCGTAAAGGGGGTATAACCATGAGATCCGACGATCACTTGTTCCCATGTTTCCCCTAGTTTTAACGGGTGTGATCAACGCCACAGCCCTTATATATAATATATAATATATATAGTATATTATTTTTTTGTAGAGAGAGGAGAGAGAGAGAAGTTGTCAGGATTGTTCCACATGTGGACGTCCCAGTCACTTTCTCCGGAACGATGCTGGGTGTCCTACTCGGGTATGAATTGGGGGAGTCGTCTTCGACAATTCGTACTTAGATAAGAAGGTATTTCCCATCATATTTTAAGAGGGAGGGAATTAAGAGTTCTTCGTGAAGTGGGCATGCCATTCCACATCAATAATGACGCAATTATTGCTTCAACTCCTACAAGGCATAAAGGCGAGGGCCCCTCGGAGGATGGGAGCCTCTCGGGA